GTGGAACCAGGCCGTCGAATTGGAATTACTTGTGCCTCTCTTTGAGTCAAAAACTCATAATACCTTAAAAACCGATCCTTGGCATAAAACAAAGAATCCCCACTCACTGCAAAAGCAGGACGTTCTCTCTCTAGCTTAAATACAATCATGCCACTGTCATGTCCAGCTGCCAAAACATTCATCTCAGGATGAACAGCAAGAATCCAGAATCTATCATGTTCTCGACGGAATGTTTGAAGTCCAGTTCGCTTTGTTACATCCCACACACGAATACTTTTATCCTCGGAATTAGATACAATAATGTCTTGTTTGGCATGGAACATAACACATGACACATTATTCATGTGCCCTCTTAAGGTATCCACTTCCCAAGCCTTTGTCTCTGCAAATAAATTAACAATTTACTAAAGCCCAAATCAATTAAGGTGTCTAAATTCTCAGCTGCACAAATATAATGGGAAGGTTGAGGTAGCTTGGCTAAAATATCAATGGCCATGTAACACACATCAAACTTAATAAAAGAAAATAATAAGGTGAGTTCTTCAGACGATTTGAATTGGTGAACAAGTATAATTACAAGAGGCTTTAATCAATATCTATACCAAATGAAATATAGATGGAGAAGAAGGCACAGTTTTCCTGTAATTACCATTCATACGCCACAATTTCACTTGGCGATCATCTGCTCCAGAGACTATTAAAGGTAAGGTGGGATGAAATGCCGCCCAATTTACTCCTCGGTCATGACCTTCCAACACATACTTAACAACTGCATCAACGCTACCAAAAAGATCTGTGTTCATCTGACTCAACCGTAAAATGTCATCTGCCGGAGAGACAGTCTTCTTTCTCAAGGAACCAATATCCCAAACTCGGACAGTCTGATCAAGGGAGGCTGACACAACCAGGTCTTCTTTAGGATGGAATGATGCACACATAACATAATGATTATGACCAGTCAACACCGATATACAAGTTCGTGACTGCCAGTTCCATATGCGAATAGTCTGATCGTCACTGGCACTCACAATCCATGGATTCTCATGATGAAATTGCACAGTACGAAGATAATCAAGATGTCCAAGAAGGGTGAAAAGACATCTATGCAACTTGTAGTTCCAGACCTTTATCTTGTAGTCATCCCCTGAAAAAAAACCATCAATTTTTAGTATCTTTTGTATTGCACAAGAACCCTATGCTTTGTCAAAGAAAATCATAACACAAATGGAAAATTTTAAGCCAATAAAATTTTTTAAGCTCAGACCTTCCTTACCCATGTTGAACAGCACTACAAATTTTCAAATTACTAAACTCACCAACATTCTTTTCAACAATAAATCTACTCACACAGAATCTGTACATCTAAGGTGCAAGGTTGAACAGCAAGTTATTTCTTTTGGTTTAAACACGGGAAAAGTGCTACAAAGTTATTTCTAGGCAGTGTAGTCTATCAGCCAAAAGTATATTAATATTAATTGTATTCATAAATTGTCTTTTCATAAATTTTTATTGGTCATAAAACCATTTTGAACAAATCCATTTATGTTTCCCTAATTCTAATGATATAATCACTAACTGGAGTGAAATGCAAATCTCATTAAAAATCAATTCACATTGTTATGAAATTTTATACATTTCGATCTATTTGTATTTACAAATTGTAACTGCATTATATCCTCAAATATGTAAAACCATTTCCCACTTATTTGTACTCAAACTCTATATTTTAAGAATATTCATCTTCATACCTTTTAATTATAGTAATTTACCCTAAAAAGGAGTCAAACGACACAAATAGAAAATTATTCATTCATTAAATCACAGGCTTGATTATAAAGATTGTGACCTTCTTTTACCAAAAATCACAGGTCATATTAACAGCTGGCTGTTAAGAGAATTTCCTATGCTGACAGAGTTCAATTAATTCAGTCTATTCTATTCAACATGCAGAACTATTGGTGTCATATCTTTGTTCTTCCAACTAGGGTGATTAATAAGATCAACCAGCTTTGATCGGCATTCCTGTGGAAGGGCAAACGAGGGAGTGCCAAGTTGGGATCAGAGATGGGACATAGTTTGGAGGCCTAAAAGTGAAGGTAGTTCGGGGCTGAAAATTTTCTGCATTGGGAATCTTGCATGTACCTTAAGGCACATTTTGTCTCTCTTTTGCAGATCAGGCTCTTTTGGTGTCTCAGTTGTATGCTTACCACCTTAAAAAAAGATTTTTTGGCAGATCTCCATCCCAATTCCTGTAGCTGGCATTGGAGAAAACTCTTGCATTTAAGGGATACTGCCAAGTCTTTAATTTCTACTGGCCCTGACTCTTACCTGGATATCTGGTTGCCATCAAAATATGCCGTTTATAATGCTTATCTACTTGGGATTGGAGACCAGTGAAACTGAAAGTTTTGGGGCATGGATTGATTCACCACATTCTCAAACACTCTTTCATCACCTGGCTTGCAGTCTTGGATAGACTAGCTACTCTCTCCAGACTTAGTTCATGGGGAATTCAAATTCCAAATTTGAACTCCAGTTTACGCAATGATGAGGTAGACTCCAGAGATCTTATTTTTATCACATGCAGATTCTCCAAAGCTGTCAGGCAGAATACACTGAAGCTCTTATTCATTCACAGGGATCCTACGGACTGGCCAAGTGAGCTACCTAGGGCTGCTCAAACTTTCAAGGGGACTTCCCTTGTTTCTCTACTTTCTCATCTGGCTTGGTCTGCTTATATCTAGTAAATTCGGAAAGCCAAGAATCAATGCAGATATTCAGGCAAAGTACCATCTCAGGCTTCTGTCCTCAAGCAAATTGTGAAGGACATTCAAGCTAAGGTTCAAAGCTTACCTGCTGCAGTTTACACGCCACCAAATAGGAGTTTATGTGCTAGTTGGAATCTTGTTCAGTGTTAATTTCCATGTTTTCTTAATGAACCATGTTTCCTTCTTGTTGTCACTAGTAGCAGACTTTTCTGTTCACTTTGGGTGGTGAAATAAAAATTTTCATTTATCCAAAAAAACACCACAAATAGATCTACATGTTGGAAATACCAGGCATACATAAAACCACTGAATAAATGCATATGATATATGCGTTCATGGATATATGAATGTATCCTATGTAATTCCATCCATGGTTCGATTGACATTCGTTTTCTCAAGAACGTCAGATCTAGAACGTCTAAGCCAAGTCCAACTACATGAAATCTCTATTAGTAAATCTAGATCCAGAATTATCATTCACATCAGAGATAAAAATTGAGGCGCAAAGTAAAGGAATCCGAACCTCCAGAGACAAACAAAGGCTGAGACATGTGAAAATGGACGCCGCGAACAGGGCCATCGTGTTCGTCGAATCGATCAATCAGAGTTCCCACTCGATAGTCCCATAACTGGATAACGCCACTGTGGAGACTCGCTAAGATCCATGGCCTCTTAGAGTGGAAACTCAGTCCCTTCACTCTATTACTCTTCGTCTCAAACTTCGTCAACATTTTCTTCCTTTTCCTTTTCTCCAACCGCCAATTCTCTGCAAAAGCAAACCAAATCCAACATCAAAATAAAGTTATCCAAGTAACCAAAAAGGGAGAATGAATTGGATTTGTGAATTGAACAAAAGAGATAAGGGAGATTGAGGATTATAAGAAATGAGAAGAAATTACCTCAGATCTGATTCAGCATCTAAAATTAAGAACAAAAATGGAAGCTCCTTTAAATCTTTGGGTTTTAATGAAAAGGGAAGAGAGTTTTCGGTTCTTTCTTTAAGATCCGACTTGAGCCCTTGGGAGTCGAAGTATTGCAACTTTGCTATCGTTTGATAAGTCTGCCTCCACGTTTTACAGCTTTTACGATGACGTTTTTGGTAAGGTAAAATTGTTCACTGTTTTAATGATGGGTCTCGTCCTAATAATGCAATTGTAAAAACCATCGTATAATGTCAGTGAATTTCAAAGGATAAAAAATGGATATATTTTATTTTTTAATTAATTTTATGTTTTTAATATACTTTTAAATGTACGTGTTTTCTTTTTATTTTATGAAATTCAAAAAAAAAAAACTAAATAAAATAATTTTTCAATATAAAAATCACCGACTTTTTAAGTTTTTTTTTAAGTGGATACTTTTTAAAAAGTGTTCATTAAAATTATTTTATAAAAAAATATTTTATTAAGAATTCAATTTTTATACATCATTAAATGTTAATGAAAATTTTAAAAATTACAAACGAAATTAAAAAATTATTATATATTTTTTATATTATTTTTAATATACCTTAAAAGGTATATAACAATCTTCCAATCTAACTAAAAAATTCTAAAGATTCCACCAAAAAATGTATGAAATAATTTTCTTTTATTAAATACAGACTTCTTTGGATTAGGCTTGAAATAAGTATTTTATTAAATGCATAATGTAATTAAATTAATTTTAATAAAATATAAATCTACAGACAATGAGGTTTAACAAATTAAAATCAATTTAACCATATGATTCATTTGGAAATACAATGAATAAACAATGCAAGTTGGTAAACAAATGGAAATACTCCATAATTCCTTTGATTATGGAACAGGATCAGTCTTGCACAATAAAATTGTTCGCAAACTGTGCCATTTCCTTCATTAAGAAGAGACCTGTTTTCACAATTTGCATGTTGAAAACACATCATTTATGGAGTCATTTTTCATTCCTGGTGAGGCACCTATTTCGCATTGCCCTTGAGCAACAGGACAATCTTCTCTGCTCTTGATTGGATGCCTTTCAAGTATTCAATAAGAATTCGTTGCTAATAAATTTGATAATTTTAAACATGACATAGTGACATAATACGAATAAAAAACACAAAATTAATTTGGTTTAAAATTTTAACAAAAATCATAAATAAGTTTATAAAAACAAAAATCATAAATATTTCATGTTTTCGTATTGACACGAATTATAACATATAATTTTCGTATAAAATTTAATACAAATATACGAATTTTAGTTACGGGTAAGAACCTCCATCCTGAAAAGAGAGAACAAAAAATGAGGGGGTGATAAGAGAAAAAGTTCTGGAAAAGAGTTCAATTTATAGCCAAAAGAAATTCAAGGCAAAGTGTGCCTCTTATCGTTCGGATTAAAGTCAGCTCGATCCATTTCTTGATTACAGCACAAAAATCTTCTGGAGAAATTTCTCCTTTACCAACAACTAATCCATCAATCAAAAGCTTGTTCCACTCTTGCTCAGGAACTGCACATAAATATGACATGAATGAATAACTTCATAAATACGACAAGATCACTTTATCAGATGAATAATGCTAAAGAAGAAACAGAAACCTTTTATCAAGGTTTCAAGACACTTCTCAGCCTTCAACGCTTCATTCCCTGCAGTAAAAACATTGTTACGAATTAGCTGTATAAGGTTTCTGACTTCAACACAAAAAGCAAGCTGCAATACGAGATTATTACCCTTCTTGGCATAACTACGTTTCGAGAGAACTGTAGAAGCATAGATTGGCAGAACCTTTAGCAACATACTATCTTAAGCCACAAGCAGATAGCTGAGCATGAAATCTCCATTGCAACTTCTTTCACAAGGACAGAATCAAGAAGGGTCTTAATGTATTAACATACCATCTTAAGCTACAAGCAGAACAGTTTTCCATTACCATTAAAACGATATGATATATAAACAGTAGACTGAACTCACTTGTTGTAATTGTGTGCTGACTTCTGCAAGGAAACCTTCATCTAGTTGCCCTGTGTGCTCCATTTGAAATATTTGCTGACAAGAATAATAAAACTATTCTTAGATGAACCAATTAAAAGACTGATTCCCAAAGAAAATATATAACAATAATTCTCATCTAGTACAGTAAAACCTATGCTACTTCTGTTAAAAAATATCTCAGCCACTATTGGATTACTATGTTAAGAGGGAAAAAGGTGAAACAGTACTAAGAGAAAATTATTTAGGCGTCTGAAACATAGAAATTTAAATTATTCATATAACATCCAAAATTGGATTAAAGAAATTTTCCATTATACTTTCTCCATTTGGTTGAGAGCCTCAGGAACTTCAGGGGGCCGTGGAATCCCTTCCTCCTCATGGACTACAGGTTTCAAGATCCCCTTAAGAACATCAGTTGCTGAATCAATCTTTTCCTGTCAAAAGGGGAAAAAGAATCAATAAGGAATAGAATGACAAAAGGAAAGAACACAGCTTTCCAGAAACCAAATTTATTTGCCTTTATCTCTGAGAGAGAGGTACATGGGTCTTATGAAGAACTCGATTATGCTCATTACAGCAGTAGCCAGTTCCTCATAATCTTCTGCAAGAGGACAAAACAATAGCATGATGATTACAAAATCTAGGGACTATAATGAGGTCAAAACTCAGTGGTACTAGTGAAACATTCAAATTAACCAACTCAAAAACCGTGCTTGATGATCATCTGATTTGCAAGTGTCAGTTCTTGCAGCAAGTAGAATCCAGAAGCTCTCACTGAAAGCAAGGATGTTTTCAAAAACTAGTTTCTGAAGCTGTCCACATGAGAAACCCAGCAAAAGCAAGGTTACAAGAAAAAGAAAATAGCAAGTGAACTCAATTACATACAACCTTGTACCAGGCAATAGCATCCAAATTAAGTTAGACAATAGAAAGAATTGAAACCCATCTCAAGTAAGAATAAACGCCAATATATGTATGGCTAAATAGATCGAAATGTTGCCCAAAGCCTATTGACAATCCAGTGCATAGGAAGACCAAATCATTGCAATCCTACCATTGGCATCTCCTACAAGACAGACTAATAACAACCTATTCCCAGCCTGAATTCCATCCAAACTAATTAAGAGAATAGCAGCATTACGGTCTTCTTCATGGTTCCTTAAACATTTCAGACATATAAGCACTCTTGTCACAAAAATCATCGTTCCATAAAGAAACAAATATGAAGAATTCATTCTCTAGACATAACTTCAGCTTAATAGACATAAATGGAATCTCCACTTACATACATGCACATGAATTTTCAGGTGGCTTATGAGAAAAAGCGAGAAGAAAATGCTTACTTCATTCGGATTTGCCTCCCTCGGCATATAGATGAGTCTGTCAACTTCTACAGTCTTTTTGAAAGCTTTCTCAGCATCTTGATTGACTGCACAGATCAAAGATCTCCTGTTTTATTAGGATTCAAAAAACTTACCATCGATATACACGAAAACAATAACATTTACTAAACGGCTCAGAGACAATTGCAGTCACAAGAAATGTTTTTTAGGTGTTAACAGATAAGTGATAACTACTAAACAGGTGCCAAATGAACGACAAATACACAGCAATTTTTACCTCCTCCACTCTATTGGAGTTATTGAAGTAAAGGGCTTGAACATCTCCTTCTGCTTTATGTTCAACCCAGAGTTCCAACCTTTAAGCAATGGACTTTGCATTGCAGGGCAATGAAACACCTGTTTCATAAATTAAATTAGAAAAAATGAGATAATTGACACCATGGGTTGTTTTTATATTGCTCTAAAAAGGAAAATAAAAAATAAAACAATCGATTTCCTTGAAAAATATGTGCCTATGTCATAAAAATTAAAATTACATATAAAAGAAAGCAGTTCCAGTCAGTTTGAGGGATTTGGGCTTTAACTTCAAATCAAAACAAACAAAATTAAAGCACCCCATCATGGAAACAAACAAAATTCCCCAAGAAAAAGAAAGAGAAAGAGAGAATAAAGAAAGACCTGACCTGGAGATATTTTGTAAAGTAAAGAGAAGGGGTTGGGCGTGCCAGAATGAAGACTGTAGCCATTGTTAGGCGTACTGACAATGTCGGGAAAGCGGTTGCTAGTAACCACCATTCAACTGAGCTGACAAAAACCAAATCTTTTTTCTCGTCATTGAAGAGCAGCGGTGGGCTGTGACAGACACGCGAAGTCGCATCGCGTACGGTACAGACCGACTAGTTTGGTTTTGGGCTGATTAATGGGCCAAATCGGGCCTATTTTGGAGTTTTATTTGGGCCTCTGAGAAAAGTTCGCTAGAAAGTGGGGACTGGACTTACTGCTATAGTAGGCTAAGGGTTAACCCAGGTGAAACGTTTGGACTTTACATATTTCCGGGATAAATTTTTTATTAGGAGAATATTTATATAATTTTTTTAAACAGGAGGATGGAGTTAAATTTTTTATCAATTTTTCACAAAGAGAAGGGAAGAATAAAAAAAAAAAAAACACTTTTCTACCATCACTCTTTATTGTTTTTTGCTTTATTTTTGGTATTTTTAATCAAATAACAGAAGTCCATTAATATTAGACATAACGATTTTAAATATGATATAATGATATAAAATAAAAACGATTCAAAAAACATATAAAAATGATAATTTAAAATTTTAATAAAATTATATATAAATTTAATAAAAAATAAAAATATGTTTTATATTTAATATGATATAATTATTGTTTAAATATGATATAATTATATATGAATTTAAATATCTATATTTATAGATGAAATACAAGAAATTAATAAAAAATAATAATAACATGATCGAGTTGATATGATATTAAATATATTAAATTGATCCAATATATTATATCAATATAAATATTTGAAATAATCTTAATTATTTATAAAAAAAATTTAATGAAAAAAATCAAAACGTTGCCAACATTATGATTATGAATTATTTATGCTCCAAAAATCTCTTCAGCATGTGAGGAAATTTTGGGACCATATAGTCAAATAATTAAAACTGCAATGTCCTCTGTTCGCTTTCCTTATCTTCGTTCTTGTTGGCTTTTTCGTGTCATGATGCTGACAAACAAGCTGCTTGATCTTTACATTCTTTTGTATTATTGGTTTTTGAAAATCTTACAAAATTTTCCATATCCAGCTCTGAAAAAAGTGTCATTTGACGTGTTGTGTGTCAGCCGATTTCCTTCCTTGAATAAAATCCTTTTGCAACGTTTCTTTCTTTTTTTTTTTTCTTTTTTTTTTTTTGGCTTTCCCATTTCATTGGAACGGGAATTTTGTCAGTTGCCAGTAGGCGATGTAAACGATTAACAACATGCTTATATTTGGTTTGTGTCATCTTGTATAAATTAATAAAATATAAATAAAATTTATTATGTTTTGTATTTTTGTGCTTTATTCATTTATTTAATAAATTTTAAATTATTTGTTAATTTTATTAAATAAATATATAACAAAAATTAATTATATTCATAAATTATTTATTAAATATTATATTCATTTATATTTTTTATAAGTTAATTAAAATATTTTAAGTTTTATTTGAGTTTTTTTCTTTTAATGATTTTAAAAATATATTTTTAATATCGATCTTATCCATTTGAATTTCGAAATACTTTGAATAAAAACAAATTTATTGGATAATGTAGGAATTTTTTATTACTATTATACATGAACCTAAATTCTTTACTACATTATTATCAGGTGTCAATTCAAATTATTTGCCAAGGGAATTGAATTTTGTTCATCAATTTGTTTTTTTCAGTTAAGTTTTAATTCGTATGAATATATCATTTGATTAAATTTTAACTTCATGCATTTTTATGTTCAAATGGTAAGTTTGAAATCCTTTTCATGCAAAATTAAAAAAAAAAATTTCTTATAAATATATTGAACAATGATGATACATGATTAGAAAAAAGGCTGAAGAAAAAATAAAAGGTTTGAGTAATTTTGTCTTGTTATAATTTTCTTTTGCTAGTTTATAATATTGTCACAACTTACAAACACAATAATGTATTTTATAATTGCAAATTGCCCTACATCAACACCAATTATATGCTTGCCCTTGACCTAGACAAAGGCAATCCCAACTAAATATTAATTCTCTTATTATATATATATATATATATATATTATAGTTTTACTTGGGCCAATTGTTTTATTTATCATTATTATAATTAAACATTAAATTAAAAATATAACATTCTACTAACAAATAACAAAACTATTGGCATTAAATTTACCACCTCTAGTCCAATCAATCTCAAAATATAATTGTAACGCCCTCAACCTTATATTAAGATAATGTATGGATAAAAAATGATATATATGTAAAAATTTAATCTCAATTTGTGAAACGTTTTTTATGAGATAAAATCATGAGTTTTTTTATCAAAGCAGACAATACTTCGCAGGTTGAGTGCGGATCTCTACAATAATTTTTTTATATAATTTTTTGAGAGCTATATTTTTCAACTAGTCAATTCAATCCTTGTTATAAACAATCTTCCTTCTTAGAGGTATTTATAAATTGATTTTATCAAATTTAATCGATTGAATTGATTTAATTCAATTAATCAATCGATTATCAAATTAATTTTAATTAGTTACTCAAAATAATTTTAAAATAATTTTGATTTTTAATTCATTTGATTCGAAAATCAAATTAACAAAAATTTTAACTGAAATATAATATAATTCAAATATAAAATAAAAAATACATGCAATAAATTATTTAATTTTATAAAGTATTAGAGTTTATGACATAATATTTTGGTATTTGAATATTTTATTAGATAATTTTATTTAATTTATTTAAAATATAAAAAATTAAGAGTTTCAAATATAGATGAACTTAAATGTATTTATTATTTAATTAATAAAAAAATAATTGATTTTATCAAATTAAATTCCATTGATTAATTTTTAAAATTTATAAATTTAAATTGATTAAAAAAATAAAATAATTTTATTAATTTTATTTTAAATAATTTAATTCAAAATTAACTAAATCAAATCAAATAAACACCTTTACAATCCTTCTTGCTTGTCCATGTATAATGAGCATTGAACAAAATGCATTATGTCAACTGCAACCACTACTTATAGAAATACTTAAATGCAAACCGGTTGTCCTGTAAATTTTTAATTTGAGAGATGAATTTATATATTATATATGTAATAATTTAAATCGAAACAGAGAAAATCAGAATGATTGATTGGAGACAAGACTGAAAAAGAAAAATTGTTAAAATATTAAACATGGCTATAATCATTATTGAATTGTATTGGCAATAATTACAGCATTGCCTAAGAACAGCTAGCAACCACAGCCAAGTTGAGCTCCTGTTTGTTTCTCTCTTCTCTCCACTCAAGCTAAGACACCGCTGCAAGGATTAGGATTTACAATGGATCATGTCGGAATAGATTTTTATTCATTTCAAATTTAATTTGATTTTATAATTTTAAAATTTAAATTTAATTCAATTCAAAAATTTTTTATTATTTTTTATATTTAAATTTGATTCGATTTAATATTATATAAATTATACATAATTTAAATTAATAAAATATTATTTTTTAAATATAAATATATAATTATATATAAATTAATAATTAAAAATAAATTTTAATATAATATCAAATCAGATCAGTTTGTCTAAAACTCGATTTTGACTCGATTCTTTTTTTTTTTATTAATAATACTCGATTCGAAATTTGATTTTCAAAAAAAACAATCGATCTTTTGAGATTATATCGAATTGAAACCTATCAGACTCGGGTTGGATTGTCAACTCTAATAAGGATAAGAAGCATAAACTTTTTAGTAGTGATTTGGATCTTATCGCAGATATGATGTGATTTGATTAAATTTATCGTATTTTTAATTGAATTTAAATATAAATTTTAATAAAATTAAATTAATATAAATTTATTATTAATTTTTTAATTATAATTATAGTAAATTTAATTATTATTTTAAATTTTATTATAATTAATTTTATCTTACATTTAAATGAAGCTGAGGTTTTTTTATTTATTTATTTTGAGACTGATATTAGAAAAATATTACAATTCTTTCCTTTTTTATCTCATGAACTTTATTTACTATCAAAATCTTTCTAAAATTTTAGTATGAAATCTTGATTTTTGTGATTTATTCATTTATTTAATTAATTTTAAATTATTATTCACAATCATTTATTAAATTTAAATATATATAATACAAATTAAATATGTTCACAAATTATTTATTAAATATTATATTCATTTATATTTTTTATAAGTTAATCAAAATACTTTAAGTTTTGTTCATTTTTTTTTTCTCTTTTTATGATTTTAAAAATATATTTTTTATATCCATCTTATCCATTTGAATTTCGAAATACTTTTGATAAAAATTAGCATCTATTTGATAAAGAAGGAATATTTATTACTATTATACACGAAACAAAATTCTTTACTATATTATTATAGATGTCAATTCAAATTATTTGACAAGGGAATTGAATTTTTATTGATCAATTTGTTCGTTTTAGTTAGATGTAAATTGGTATGAATATATCATTTGGTTAAATTTGAAGCTCATATATTTTTATATTCAAAAGGTGAGTTTGAATTCTTTTCTTTTTTTTGGATAAATAATATAATTCTTAAAAATAAAATAGAAATTATGAGTATTAAATTTTAAATATCAAATTTATTAAATGTTATTTTTTAAAAAATAAATGTATGAATAAATTAAATTAAATTTTAAATAAAATATATATACATATATTTAATAATTTAAAAAGTTAGATTCGAAGTATTTCTTTTTGTTTTAATTAAAATATGTAAATTTAAAGATATAATCTTGATTATAAACAATTAACTTATGAGTAATTTTGTCTTGGTATAATTATCTTTTGCTAGTTTATAATATTGTCACAACTCACAAACACAAAAATGTTTTTTATAATTGCAAATTGCCCTACATCAACATTAATTATATGCTTGCCCGAACCTAAACAAAGCAAGGTTATTAATATCGTATGGATAACATCTCGATTTTTTAAAAATATAATATATATCGATATCAATTGTTTTGGCGTATCATTTCAGATTTTTTTGATTTAGTACAAATATATTTATAAATATGTATGAACTTGCATATTGTAATATTATTAATAATCTATAAAATATATATGTAGTATATTCAAAAATCAAATAAATAAATTTAAAAGCATAAAAATAATATCATACAATTTTTATGATATTTTTAGATACTTAATTTGATCATATAATATTTAAATACGTATTTTTTATATAAATATTAAGATAAAAACAAAAGAGATTAAAAAAATTAACTAAGACTTTGTAATTGTTAAACTTTATAAAAATAGTATAATTGTTTTCTTGAAAAAAAAATTAAAATACGTATAAATTTTGTTTAAAAAAATAAAAAATAAAATTTTATTTGAAAAATAAAATATAAAAAAAATAAAGAAACTCAACTTTAAAGGTTATTTTGCCAATTAAATTTATTTTTTATTAAGTTAAAAATAATTAAATAACAAAAAAAAGTTAAAAATTACAAAATATGTATTACATTTATATATCAGCTCAAGCATGTTGTTTCACTAAAATTCACCGAAATAGATCGAAATTAATGAAAACAATTAATATTATCCAGTATCAATTTTGATACAAAAAATCATTATTAAATATATCATATTTTAATATAATTGGAGTATATCGATTGATACGACCGATATTAAAACAAAATTAACAATTATGAGACAAAAAAAATTCCAACTAAATATTACTTCTCTTATTTTATATATATATATATATATATTCTTTTTACTTAGGCCAATTGTTTTATTTATTATTTATTATTTAACATTGTTATAGTTAAAATTAAACATTAAGATTAAAAATATAATATTCTACTAACAAACCAAATAACAAAACCGTTGGCATTAAATATACCACCTCTACTCTCAAAGCATAAATTTTGGAGAGCTATATTTTTCAACCATTCAATTCAATCCCTGTTATAGGCAATCTTCATTCTTAGAATATTCATAATTAAATTTTAATGAAATTAATTAACCAATCCAATTTAATTCGATTAATCAATTGGCTATTGAATTAATTTTGATAGGTTAAAGAAAATAATTTTAAAAAATTTTGATTTTCGATTAATTTGATTGAAAACCAAATTTATCAAATTTTTAATTAAAATATAATATAATCCAAATATAAAATAAAAAATACATGTAATAGATCGTTTAATTTAATAAAATGTAGAGTTGTAACATAATATTTTGATATTTAAATATTTTGTTAGATAATTTATTTATTTATTTAAAATATGAAAAATTAAAAATATAATTTGACTTAAATATATTTATTCAATTAATTAAAAAATTTGTCAATCTAATCGAATTAAATTTGGTCAAAATTTTAAATTTTATAAATTTAATTAAAAAATAAAATAAAATAATTTAATTCAAAATTAATTAAATTGATCGAACGAATATTTCTATTATCATTATAAATTGTCTATTTTTTTATAACGGGCATTCGACAGAATGCATTATATCAACTGCTACTACTACTAAGAAAAATACTTGAATGCAAATCGGTTGCCATGTAAATTTTAAATTATTATATATGTAATAATTAAAAGTGGAACAGCGAATCAGAATGGTTGATCGTAGATAAGACTGAAAAAGACAACTTCTTAAAATATTAAATATGGTTACAATCATTATTGAATTGCATTCGCAATAATTAGAGCGTTGCCTGAGAACAGCTAGCAACCACAGCCAAGTTGAGCTCCTGTTTGTTTCTCTCTTCTATCCACTCATGGCAAAGAAACTACTCCAAGCAGGACAAGAAGCATAAACTTTTGAGTTTTGAAATGACAGAAAAGTGAGAAAATTTGAGACGGATAGTAGAAAATTATTACAGTTCTTTCTTTTTTGATCTCATAAACTTTGTTCACTGTCAAAATCTTTCTAAGTTTTGAGAATGAAATCCTTATTTTTCTATCTTTTATAATTACATTATTAAAGATTCATTTAGACAGACGATAAAATTATTTTCGATAAAATTAAAAATAACGATGAAATAAAATTAATTATTATAGAAATAAGATTGAATATTATAATTATAAAATTAAAATTAATAATGAGATATATGTTTAAATACAAATATAATAATAATGGTGAGATTAAATATAATAAAATAATAAAATAATCATTAAAGATATAGATTAAAATTTATATGTAATAAAAATTTTTAAATTATTTAATATTTATAAAAATAATAAACAATTAAAAATATTAAATTATTTTTATATAAATAATAAATAATGAGAGACTTGATAAACATAAATAATTTTAAAATAATTAAGTAAAAATAAAAATAAATTAACAAATTTTAAAAGTTAACAATATAAATTTATTTATCATTTAAATAATTAAAAAAATAATAGCATGAAAAATAAAGAAAAACATGAAGAGAAAACGCGACAAAAATGTAAAAAGAAGTGATGCAGTTGCTCACTGCCCCTTTTTGCTCCAGTCAAAAATTGATGCACCAGTGCAGTTAAAAACCGCATCGAATGCGATCTAAACAACATTAAATGGAGCAATTGCCCAAAAAAAAGCATGCAATCACGCCGCACTGATGCTACAGTGAGATCCAAACGAACCCTATGGAGGGTATTATTTTTATATAGGGAAAGCATTAAATTTACTGTCGAATCTTCAACAACCATGACGGGTCCCAGAGCATTGTTTCTGTCTTTCTGTTAGATATAGAAAGGTAAAAAGTAAACAGAGCCTACCCTTTCCAAATATAGTAATCTGAAAGTGTGTTCTGTTCAACAGAATGATCATGTGGCTCAAAAAAAAAATACATTAAAGAGGAGGCAGAAACTGAAATCAAATCAAACACCAGAGCCAGATCCTTTAAATAAATGTATCAATCAATAATAGAAAAGTTAAGCAAGCTGCCAGCATCAATGAATTGATAACATTTATTTTAAATTTGGGGTTTGGGTTTGGTTGTAAATGCTGGCCATGCCCCCCAAAATTTTCAGGCAGACATATTTCAGAATGAGAGTGAAAGGTTTAGCAGAAAGAGGAATATAATAAAAACTCCAGAAAGCCAAGTTGGGGCTTTCTCTTTACTCAAGAAAGAGAAAAGCTAGGCATCTATCCAGAGCTTTCTTCAGAGTCAGATAGAGTTCAAGAGCCCTGAACTTGCTGTTTATCTCATTGCCCATAATACTTATCTATATTCATTCCTTTTCAGTTTCCACTCACGACCCTTTATATCAAAGCTCTTTGTTTGTGCAAATCAGAAACCAAATAAGAAACAGGAAAGAGTATCAGGAAATTGATTAACGATGAAGATTTGGTGTGCTGTGTGCGACAAAGAAGAAGCCGTAGTCTTCTGCTCTGCTGATGAAGCTGCTCTTTGTGAAGGATGTGATCGTCGAGTTCACCATGCAAACAAGCTTGCAAGCAAACACTGTCGTTTCTCTCTTCTTCACCCAAGCTTCAAAGAATCCCCGCTTTGTGATATCTGTCAGGAGAGACGTGCGTTTCTTTTTTGTCAAGAAGATAGAGCGATTCTTTGCAGAGAATGTGACCTTCCAATTCACAGAGCCAATGAACATACCCAGAAACATAACAGACTTCTTCTCACAGGTTTTAGGCTCTCTTCTTCTTCCCCTACCTTAAAACCAACTTCATCCTCCTCTAATGGCTATGGTGCAACTATTGAAACTGAGACTAAAAGTACTTCACAGTCTTCCAAGAGATTCCGTTCAGTTTCCAATAATGAAGTCTTCAGCTCTCCTTCGATTGAGAAACCATTGCCCTCCACAACTTACAGGGTTGAAGATAATTACACCAGTGACACTGCTTCAATTTCAACAAGCAGTATATCAGAGTACTTGATGGAAACTTTACCGGGTTGGCGCGTCGACGATTTTCTTGAGCCTTTATCTGCTGCCAATGGTTTCTGTAAGGTTTAAATCTAGATTGAAAGACAGTTTTTTGTGGTTGTGACTTATCAAGGACCCCTTTTTTTAATGTTTATTTATGGGATTAATTTCATGCAGACTTTTGAGCAATTATTAACAGTGAACGGACGAGCTTTTGATAGTAGTTTAAGTTTTTTTTCATCTCAAGCAATTTGGGTAGACGAAGTTTCTGCTCAATCGCCTCAGCTTTTTATATTTCTCTATTCGTCGAAATGATTTGGTAGATGGGTGTAAGAAGTTCAAAGAAGTTCAAAGGTGTTTTAGTTCCTCAAGTCAGCTCTTCCTCTGTCAAAAAAATTCAGACAATTTCGCTAGAAATCCATGTTCAAGCTGGAGATAGAGAATGTCCATATGGAATGTTTGTTCAATCCGTTCGTCCTTGGATCAGGGTAGTGTTTTTTTTCCTTTTATTTCTCAGCGATTTTCGATGGTTTTTTTTTTTCTACTTCTGTAATTTATCCATATGTTAATAGAAAGTTTCATTTTCCTTCATTTAATTCTTCCTTCAAATCGAATCGAAATATTTAAAATAAACTAAACAAATTATATTATTTTATTTTAGTTAATCAAACTGAATTTCTAAATTTTAAAAATTAATAGATTTCGATTAATTTTTTTGAATAATAAATATATTTAAATTAAATTAAATATTAAATATTAAATATTTTATATTTAAAATAAATTAAATAAAATCATTCAATAAAATATTAAAATTCTAAAATGTTACATTAAAAATTTTAATAATTTATGAAATTAATACATGATTCATTTTATATATTTTATTATTTTATATTTGAATTATATTATATTTTAATTAAAATTTTAATTAATTCAATTTTCGAATTGAATAATTAAAAATAAAAAATTTTAAAAAATTATTTTCATTAATTCATCAAAATTAATTTGATCAATTAACTGAATTAAATCAATTTTATTGATTAATTTAATTAAAATAAAATTATAAACACCTTTAATCAACCTTACAATAAAACATAAACCCTAAGGATCCCCTTACGATATTTTGAAACCCCCAAAACAGCTACTTTGATGTTCATTTCCTGGTTAAGGCGGGGGACTGGGATTGAGGCGATGACCACTTCTGGTCGAAAGAAGAAAAAAAGGGAAACCCCAAGGATCCCCTTACGAACAATAAAAGTTCAACCCTAAATTAATAAATCTCAAGAAACTGTTGACATTTTTTATCTGTGTTATGCCCTTCCCCCTTCAGGTTTGCTACATAAACCAAGAAAAGTAAAAGCAACAGAGGGAGATTTGAGCTTTGAGTTAAAGAATGAAAGAGATCGGCAACTCAACATTGCAGAAAAATTATAGCCTAATTGTCTAACATAACATCGATATCCTGGGCAATTTCGTTTCCTAAAATGAAGACAGTCATGGTTTATGAACAATAACATTTTACAAATAGCCACGGCACGAAAAGTTGCTTCATAGGAAGCGTAAATCGTTTCTGTACGTAACAATTGAAAGTTTTAAAAGACAGATCACAAATTTCGCTGCAAAACAAAGCAACATCGTGTATCTGAATTTTGGATGTAGTGATTTTACCCCTTTTTTAAATCTTTTTGACCATTAATCTCTTTCTTATTTTTACAGCTCCCCAGTGACAGTGAGGTAGAGAACAAGCCATTGACAAACCTTTTAAACAGTTAAATACGGAAAACCAATGAAAGAATTGTACCCGCTTATCACATTGAAAACAGGAAACAGGTGATCGAACCCTGCAAGCAAAAAAGATAAAATGTTAAAATTTCATGATCTGAACAGCTCTTTTTTGATGTGGGCAGACAGCTAGAAGAGCGAATCGAAGTTTCTTCATTCGATTCGATTTATCTCATAATAGAAGATGAGTGTGTATACTACAAATAGAAAAGAATTAATTTGCATGACCTTCGTTAGGAGGGTATAAATAGTAGTGTCAAGAAGTGAAAGCAAAAAGCCTATCCGCAATCTTTGTGCGACAAATTGGACACTCAGAACAAGCAAGCGAACAAGATTTACATACTGCAAAAAACGAAAAAAATAAGCATTTCCAAAAATAGTTGATAAGCACTAAGTGCAAAATATACAGTATGGCTTAGAAAATCACTTACAACAAAAATGCCGACAAGGGAGAAGAATTGCAGCGGTTGGTGATTCAAAACATACTTTACACATATGGGAATTGGCATCTCCGTTTCCCAGGGATTTGAGCTCCTTTTCCTTCATCTCTTGCATTCGGGCCTGTAAGTATTAAAGCGTTTAAGTTTGCAGTGGTCTATGCAAAACCATTAACTTCCATGAAATAATGTGATTATCGCCACGGAATAATCAAACAGAATGATCTTTCAAGAAAACATTTGTCTCCCAATAATGAATCAATCCACGGGCTCCTAAGCCCTATCAAAGTTTGCAATATTACTCAATGAATCAGGATATACTTTCAGAATTCTAAACTAAACTGTATGATTTGACAAGAATAAGGAAAAAAGTAGAGTACTAACTGAACATGCAAGAATTAATATAAGCAAAGATGAGCCGGGTGTAAGTATGAAACTTGGAAGTCTAGCACAGCCTAATGATTATATTTGGAATAATCTTTCTTCAAAAAAAGAACTCTGAAGTTAACATGATAATGTAGTATGCCCAACCAGAACACAGGTTTGGTGAGGGCGATGGGAGGAATGAATGACAAAGACTTAAAGCCTCACATAAACATTTACGATCTAGTGTCTGAGAAAGTATTTGGTGTTTACAGATGCAATAGGGGTCCCTGATCTATGGGGTTGATCTCACCTAAAGCATGGACTGAGTTTAGTTTTGAAACAGGAAGAAACATGCTAGCAGAAAAACTTAAAACAGCCTATGAGTGAGGCATCTGAGTGAAGGCAATGAGCCCGCGGGGGGGGGGGGGGGGGGGGCATGATAAACAGAAGTCAGCTCAAATTTGCGGTGCTTGAAAAGTCTGTACAGGAACAAACCTTCAGGCGAGAAACCAGGGGCTCTTCGTTAGGTATTTCATTAGCTGATTTTAATGACACTTCTGAAACTTGTCTCTCTTTCAGGATATCATTAATCTCAATGTTGTTTGCTTTTGGATCATCAACATTATCCAGACCATTACCATGGTGCTCATCTGTATTACTCTCAACAGTAGCAGCTCCCTCTTTCTTCAACTTAGCAACAAGCACCCACATGTTAGCTAAATCATTCTCCAGAGCTTCCTCCCTCTTCTTTGCTTCTTCAACCTTTTTCCTGTATTCATCTTCTATGAACTCCTTGTCAGCTAGGGCGGCTTCAAGAGCTGCCTCCTTTTGTTTCCTAGCCTGTAGTTCCATCTTTAGGTCATCTGGATCAAGATTCCACAACTCAAACTGATCACCAACTGCTCCAGAAAAGTCATGAGAGCGGCCAGAGTGCCGCCCCTTCCTACCAGGTTTCATGCTGTCACTATACTTACGGTTGACACCATTGACAGTTAGATTAGCAGAACCTCTAGAGTGCGCCAACTCTTGAGCAGCCAATAATTCCTTCTCCAGTTTGGCATTCTGTACTGAGAGCTTGGTCATCTCACCAGCCAAATTCTTTAACTCAACAGCAGCAGCAGACGCCAATTCTTTAGCATAAGAAGCTTCCTCAGCAAGTTTCTGATTTTGGACACACAACCCACTGTTCTCCTCAGAAAGTTGCACCTGTTCTAGTTTTAGTTTTTCATTCTCAATCTCCTGCATAGTTAAACACAACTTAGATCAGTTCAAAGGTGCAAGGAAGACAAAGGACTATATTGATGACAATCAAATCTTTGCTCTTAACATGTGGATATTATCATATTACATAATTAACTATGTAAAAGGCATACTAATGAATCATCTTAATAGAAAAACTCAGCAAACCTCCATCAAAATTTAAAATTTTATGAAATATTTAAGAAAAGAAAAGCTGAGAACCAAGTAAAAATCGTTTATAATAGGTGCACCTTACAATTTCATAGCAAGAGTCTTACAATCTACCTAAAATGCTACTGAGTCATGAGTAAGTGATAGAAGCAACATTCAAAAGGAGAAAATGGCAGAGAATTGCTTAAAAGATATCACGTCACCTGCACTAAGATATCAAATTACGTCACAAAATTTTAATTGCAAGTTGTGACCATCACACTTTGAATTGTGCTAAACATTCCTAATATATATGAAACAAAAGAGACAAGTAATTGATAGCCTCCTGATTAAAATGATTTTTTTTTTTTGTTTTGTACTTATCATGGAGGTGAGTTCAGGCAGAGGCATATTGGTAATATTTCGTGAAATCATATAAAACTAAGACATACCACTATATGAAAACAAACCAGTTGAAGACTAAAACTTGTGACAACAGAAAGGATCAGCCATTAAGAGTTAGACTATCCCAACAATAAGTAAATTACCTGAGATTGAATCTTTGTTCTTAACTCGTCAGCATATTCTCCAGATATTCCCTGTTCAGAAGATAATTTGTCACCAGAAAGAGATGCCAACTGCTGCTCCAGGAGATTCACCTTCCCTTGCAATTCCTCATTCTCAGAACACTGCAAACAACCAAAACCATAAGTGAAAATAGTTCCATAATTATGAAGGAGAAACTATCAAGCTACAACATATTGATTTAATAAAAAAGCTAGCAGCAGCTAAAGAAGGACCAAATGCAACACTAAAATTTATATTAGCCATAATAAGCCATTTTATGTATGGAGGAAAAAAGACATCAAGCACAAGGCTTTCACCTTGTTCTGCAATTGTTCTTGGAGGATACGATTATCTGCTGATTTTATCTGTATCAAGGAGCAGAATCAACTTGATTACACAATGAACGTAAAGAACCCTGTTTATCAATGCCACACCACTTATATCACTACCAGAAAATTGAATATTTAAGAAATTGTCACTATTTAACATGCCTTAATCAATGGTGAAAGAGTGATCAAATGTACTTCAACTCCATAAATTAGAAGATTGGAATGAAATCACTCACCTCCAGCTCAAAACTTTTTTCATTACACTGAGTCATCAATCTCATAACTGTCTGTTTCAACAAGAAAACATTTAGAATTAATTAAACGAAAGCCAATGGCAATAAAACCCTCACATATAATTTAATATAAAATAAAAAAATTAGTATAAACAACATTGACATAAACAGAATGACAACACTACCTGCTGCATATCCACAAATGATGCATTAGCAATTGAAGCTTCACCACTCTCAATTATGTGTTGCTCTAAAGCCCTCATTTGCCTCCTCTTTTCTTGAATCTCTATTTCCAAATTCTGTATCTGTTTTCAGGGAAAAAAAAAAAAATTATTAGGACCTTAAGAAAAAATATGAAAAGTTTAATATTGAGTCAGTAGATAGATAATGGAAATACAAGTAAGAACTGAAAGTTTAGTCTAGATTGCACTCCCCTTTGCATTAATTAGATTCAAACTTTGTCTTATAACCTCATGGGCATCCAGATAATCTTAAAATTTATAGATAGACTGGAGAATAAGTATTAATAATAGATCAGTTCAATCTTTCCTCTTTGCCATAGAAAAGTAAGTTACCCATGGAATACCATCAAAACCCCAATTCTTCCAGCAACAGGAATATCCATCAGTACTTTCTCTGAATTAACATGTGCTATGATGTAAGACGGAGGAAAAGAGTACCTGAGCTTTTGAGCTATCAGGATCATTTACAGACTGGTCCAACAGGCGTTTCAGGGTACTGGTGCTAAATGCAATCTCTCCAGCAAGCATCTTAACTTGCTCAACAAGAAGGTCCATCTGATCTGATGTCATCCCACCCTATAACCACAGAGGTGTTTGCTTTTATTACATTATCAATAGCAATTCAGGAAAATTAGAAAGATTGATATCAATGAAAGCAACTACGATTTGTGATTCATGGAAGCAATAGAGGATGATATGTCACTGTATTATGATTTATAAAAATATCTTCACATGAAATGTGTGTTGGTGACAGGTGAATTTCAAATTTCAGCTGCAGATAGATAAACTGGAAAAGGGAAATGAAGTGGAATAGAAGAGTCAAACTACACTCTGCCCCATGCTGAAATGATGCTTCTAAACCAAAGTTTAAATGTCAAAAAGAGTAACTTAAAAAAAGATTGCCAAGGAATACACCTGATGGTTTTCACTCAATTCTATTTCCTAATGTTTAGCAAAACCTGTTTAGCACAGTCATATCTAACAGGTATGGGAAATTTTTAACTAAATAAGTCTAAAGGCACATCTTTTTAGTCACCTAGAGTTAAGGAGAACCACCATAAAAATTATTAAAAAAGAAAAAAGACAACATGAAATTAAAAGATGGAGAGGATTGATTATGTGGGTATAAGACCATCCAACTGTCAAGTTAGAAAGAGAGAAATTTAATAAAGGAAAATACAACGAATCCTTTCAGAAAACATAACAAATGAGAATTAAAAAGGTAGAAATAAATGAAACAAGCCAAACATACTGCCAGCAGTTTTGTCACACTAATAAGTTCACCCGCTTGAGTTGATTCAGTGACAGTACTGCTTGTTGGCGAGAGCTCATCATTTCTCCTGCTGGAGGATCTTCTGTGTTTAAACTCATAAGATGGATCAGAAGCAAGCGCTGCAATCAAAGATGGAGAATCTTTTTGGTTCTCACCATCTATGATCAAGGTACCATCTACATCCAGTTTCTGATGAAGGAAAAGTGTCAAAAAGATTAACACCATAATCATGTTAATAGACTGAAAACCAGGACCTACAAAAAGTTCTCATGAGTCATGACTACAATATACAGTCCTACAAAAGAAAGGCAGACAAGGATGGTAAAACTCAGTAGCAGAGATATATGATATAGAGATACAGATGCATAGTTGAGGTATAAGCACTCAAAAAATTTACAGGTTAGAGAACATATTTTGTTTCATCTTTTTCATCATTTGAATAGAATGGTACATTGGCCCTTTTCTCTGTGTGTGTGTGTGTGTGAGTGTACGCGTGGTGTGTGGACTATTCTTGCGGTCTTACTTCTTCAACCATCAGTCTAAAAGAATCAAGCTTTTGGTTTGGCCTATTTATGATAAGAACTTACATCATCCGCACCAACAGAATGACTCCTATGATGACTTGGTACATCACTCAAACATCCAGGAATGCTAGCTTTGGTAGAAACAAGTATAAGCTTGGTGAGCCTTTGGATTCTGCTCATCAAAGCAGCTTTGGCTTCCTCTTCTTCCTCTAATCTGGACTGCATTTTCACCTGTCCTTCCTCCAACTGTCCCATAACCAACACATAGCATGAAGAATACAGTAAATAGTCACTCCATCAAATAAAACAATATGATTGTGCAAAGGAAATTGCCAAACCTGTTGCCTTAAGCTCAAAAGTTCTTCATGATTAACACCAACAAGCATTCCCTGCCTTAGATGATCAAGTTCTTCTTTTAGGACGGAAATTTCTCTTTGATACTTCTTAATCAATGATTTTTCATCAATAATCTGGAATAAAATTTAATTTTGAAAGCATCATAAGATTGGGTCTTAAATATATCTCACTATAACTAGTCAATAGAAACGACACTGATGCTATAGAGACCTTATTACGTGAGGCATAGATTTCCACTTGCTTTGCCCTGCTTGCAAACTTCAGGGTATTATGAGTTTCCTCCATATTACTAGATGCAGGTGTGACTGTGCAAATAAGCTGTAATTTTAGAGGAAAAATGCAAAATAGATGAATAACATTTTGACAATATTGATAATGAATACATAATCACAGACAAATTACATAATAAGACTAGAGAAAAAATTGAAAGAGAGGAAAATTGTAATTTTATGTTGTAGGAAGGTAGGTAAAATCCAATGAACCTATCAGAATTAGCAAATAATGCACAGTTACAAATAAAATATACTGATCAACTTACCGAAACATGTCCATGCCCACTAAGTGAAGATTGCAAAAGGCGGGTAAGCTTGGAGTCTCGATATGGAACATGGGATGCTTTTCCTTCACTTAACTTTCCTATTACCTTCTCATCGAAACCAGATGATCTAATTATAAAACTAAAAATAATAGCTGAGATACCAGCCAATAAAACAAAGTCAGAAATGAATAATTTGACCTTAAAACTCATTATCCACTCCGCACTTATTGCTATTAGTAAATAACTGAGACTGCTGGAGAAAATAAATTTGTCAAGAATCAATTCCTTTTCTCCAACTTAACAGAAACTATAATCCTGCAGAGTAGTTGAAGGAACATACTTGAGGCTTTGTATGTTTTGGCCTTATAATAGACTGAAGGTGTTCAACAAGAGGAAAGTAATAAACATTCATCAATAATAATGTTTATACAAGGAACCTACAGTTCCAAGAGTTAGAAGACTTTTGTTTATGTAAGATCCTTCCTTTCTCCTTAGTCCGGTTGTCTCAGTTTTTGAGCTCTCAGATCCAGCTAAATCAATCAAATTCTGGAGAAAGGAACAAATAAAGTGGCAAGTTAAGCCATTTATTAGAGAGGAATATTCTTTCTTGAAAAATGACAGTGAATTAAAACATACAAGTTGAGAGAAGACAACTCCATCATATTCATCACCGTGAGCACTACTCTCAATCATCTGTGAATTTGCCAGTAACAGCAGTTAGAAAAGAAAGGGCATGTATAACATAAGTATCAATTTTGTTTCAGAAACAGTAAAAAGCAGACATAGAAAAACCCTCTAAGTTAAACTAAACAGTGACTAACCAAAATTTAAATTTACCCAAAGTTTTGACAGGGAAATGATTAAGTTCCTATGTCAAGAATGTTTACCAATGTGAATATTGTGTGACTTCGGCTACTGTTGAGATTGAAGTTATTTGAACCGACATGACGATGCTCTACCAACCAACGCACGAATGGAAACTTAGTAGTAGAAAAACTCTCACAAATAGATTACATAGCAGGGGGAAATAAAAAGATATGGAAAAGGTAGGAAAACTGCAAAAGTAACCCCGGAAAGCACCTTCCCCTGCAGCAATAAAAGAAAGGGCATGCCCGGGAGACAAAACCACTTCTTCCTTTATACCCTCAACGTAAGTTCCCTGGAAGATAATGCTAACATAAGCAAAAGTATGAAACTACTATATGTTAATTACAAGCCATTCCATCAGCAACTTTATTGAAACATTTCTGATAATCTCAACCCAAATCCACCCAAAAGAAAAGAAAAAGCATTTATAAAGAAGATTCATTAGATTGATATTAGATGTGAAGAATGTGTCTTTGTGTGCATGTGACTTTTTTGAGAGAATGACACCAAGGTCATAAACCAAAATAAACACAACGCAAGAATTTGAATAAGATGAGCAAAATACCTGGGCATCTTCTCTAACACGCAAATTTTGACCAGTTGGATCAAGTAAGTCATTTATCACCTGATGTAAGAAGCAGAATAACATAAAATCAAATTAAAAGAAATTCCAACTTAAAAAGGAAAGGAACTGAAAGCCGGAAATTTGAACCACATAGATTATAGAATTAACAGTTGAGCAAAACTATTCTCACTAAAGTAACATCATAAAATAAACAGCAGCAACAGAAATGTGAAACCTAAAATGAAATAAATTCTAACCTCAAAGGCCATGTTATAATTCAATCATAAACTTAAAAGTACAACTCACCTCATTGTAGATTTCAAGATATGACACACGGAGTAAGAATTCTCTCCCTGGAGTCTGAATTATGAGTGCAGTCAGTCATTCAAACTTTATTCATAGGATACTATTGGTGAAAATAATTGAAAACAAGTAAACTATGCTGCAGCAAGCAAGCATTGTTATGGTATAACTACTGTTGTCCTAGACAATCAATGTCACTTACTTTTCAACACTAAATAAATGAAAGTTAATGAGAAAAAAGGTAACTAAATAGTTGCCTAAGATAACAGCAAATGCACTTCAGTTTTATAAGATGAAGCACAAATAATCCTTAACATTGCATTGAAACATGAAAGACAAACAAATAAAAAAAACCATCGAGTTAAAATGACAAGTAAATACCATTTGTTAATCAAGTGCCAAAGGTAACTTCTATAAAGCAATGTCGTCCCTACTGACACACTCCAAAACATTTTACCGTAAGGTCTATAACTGATGAACTAGAATTCGAGGAGAAAATTGGGTGTTTCACATCAAAATGGAACTGACAAATTCAAGTCATGCAGGTGCAGGTGTAGGTTAAAGAAACAACACTAGATGAAAAGGAAAGGAAAAACAGCATTCATCTGACGGTTCTATATTTAGGCTGAATAAATGATGTCACGACACTTACATCCTGGATAATGCTGAACACATCCTTTATTGCCAATGGTATAATACCAGGAGCATTTTGGTCTCCCTGTGCATAATATGAAAGAAACAAGTAAAAAGTAACATGACTGGAAATAATTATATATTTATGTAATAGGATAACACAAATAAGACTCATAATAAAGAACAGATGTAAAACTATTGATAATTCTCAGGATGCATCACACTGGGGCTGTTAATAATTGGATTTAAATAGTAATATGAATAAAAATTCCAAGAGCATATTACAAAAATCTCTTTGCCAATAAAGGGTCCCAAATGAATATACAGTTTTAATTCAACAGAACATCCCCAGATAGTAGTTAAGTGGTAAAAAATACACTTAACTGAAATACAAATACAAAATTTTTTTTCTTGTGTCTTTTTCAGAGTATGTAAGAGATGCACAGAGTATGAAATTGGAAGTTAATATGAAAACATGATTTGGTTTCATTACTACTTAAGTACAAGTAAACATGTACTAATTGATGAACATTTTCCTGAAACATTGTCCATGCAATATCATGTGATTACTAACTTTCAGAAAGGATAAATTGTCAAATATAAGACACTTTCATGTAGAGTAACTGTCAAATATAAACAAAAAGTGATAAAAGAACTCCATTGATAAGACACTTTCAAGAAACTCAAATGCAATGGCTTATGCCAAAAAAGAGGTTTTGCAATGTGTAATATCTCTACCGTCTGTAATTGATTATTTGTTAACAATTTGTGGAGACAACCTCCAGATTTGTTTTAGGAGTTCCCTTCCCAATTGCTCTATAAGACAAATTCAATCAAATGCAACATAAACTAGCAAATTTGTTATGCTGAAAAATCTATATATATAACTGCACAACCAAAATTGATACTGTAATCAATGAAGAAGTGTACTTGACAGAAAAATAAGCAACAAAATTGATTCGACTAGATTTTTAAGAATTCCTATACTACTCAATTAAAACTAGGGAAACAGTAGATAAAAGAAGTTTGATGGGAGGCAACTAGACTTACATGCATAGTGTGTGTCTTCCCACTACTTGTAACACCATAAGCAAAAACAGTTCCTATAATTCCATCAAGCCACTATCAGCTTCAATTAAATACATAATATAATTTCAGAATTGAAACAAACCAACATGTTTGAGGAACATGACAATAAATGACTTTGAATCAATTCATCTTTAGATAATTTTAGTTAAAATTTAATTAGCAATCAACTGAAAAAAAAAAATCAATTTAAGTTCCAGTAACTCAATTTTCATACCATTAACACCTTCCATTGCAGCCTTCACTACAGGTTTAGCAGCTACGTCATAAACCTCTTGAGAAGTTGCATGAGGTCCGAATACTCTGTCTGTAAAAAGCAAACAACATAACCTTCTTATGAAATCAGCATTCATTGCCAGGCATACACATCATATTTCTGCTAAATCATTTTAACCAAAAATTAGTAAATCCTTATAAATTAAACTCAGATTACATAGCAAAACCAAATCCACCAACAAATAATATATTTCTTCATTTAATTGGAATACTTTTCAAATAGATAGATTCAACAATTCCAGAAATTGACAATAAAAAAACTACAGGGAAAATCCGCAATAAATTCCAATCCTAAAAGTCAAAAACAAATTAAGCAATTACCAAATGCGTAAGCTGTAGCTGGATTATACTCGCTTCTCACAATCTTATCGCCATCCGCGTACCACGCGACCTCATCCCCTCTCTGGAATTCCCTTTCACTATAACCAGAGAAAATAAAAATGAGCATATCAATCAAATGAATTGCATTACCTGAAAATAAACTCCGACAACAATAAAATTGAAAAGAAAAATCATCTTCTTAGATCTAATCCGCTACACTCAGATCTACCACTTACTTCAACGGCCGAAACCGAATCGTAACTGAAATACTATCCCCCGATCTCGGCGCTTCCAACGGCCCGCCTATTATCTCCTCCGGCTCGTAAGCGACTGGTGTGTGAGCATTGTAACCGCGTGAACCGTAGTACAGCGAATCGGACCTGGACTGACTCGGCGTCATCGATCGAGAACCGTAACCACTTCCTGAGTTGAAGTACGAAGACGCCGACGACGAGCACGTGGGAGGCATTAGTTTGTTGCTCATTAACGATGAAGTTGAAGAAGTGGATGAGAACGGACTCGAAGGTTTTCGATATGAGAACGGCGAGCTGCTTCTTGCTCGAGAAGAAGACGCCATTTTGGAGAGACGCTGACTACTGAGTCAGTGACTCGGTAAAGAGAATGCGTAAGAATAAAAAGAAGAAGAGAGCTTGCCAGTAAACTCACATGGCTTGACAAACAAAAGCGAAGAGCATTTCGTTTGTTTTTCGGATTTTATTTCAACTTGCTTTATTGCTTGCAGAGAAAGTAGCTATGGAAATTAGAAAGCAAGAAAACAGAGAGAAAGAGAAAGATTGTTTCTTCTTCTTTAAGACAATGAAGGGTTGCATAGAAACAAAAAATATATATAAATAAAAGAGCTGGAAACTTGAAATTGAAATGTAGGATACTAAAGACTGACTGACTGGTGGGAGAAGGGCATGATTTTTTTTTTTTTTTAGTTTGAATTTACAAATTTTATTTTTACTGTAGAGTGACTTGGAGGTTGGGTGGGAGATGGGGCGGGCTTAATTAAACTCGGTGAAATGCACCCGCAAAGTAGATGGATTTTGAAAAAAAAAAAAAAAAGGGATAAATGAGCGGGAATAACCGCAGATGGCGATTGAGAACAAGCTAATTTATATTTGACATATTTCAGTTCGGGATTATATTATTAAATATTAAATTAATTTTTTATCGTTTAAATTTTAATTGAATTAATTCAATTTTTAAAATTTTTTTAATGAAATTTTGAATTGAACCGAGTTTCGATTTGATTTTTTTAGCAAGTTGTCGGAATTTTTTTAATTCAAATAACTTTTTTAACTCTACATAACAACGTTACTCACTATTCACGTAATAAAATACTTAAAATGTTTAGCGCCTTCTTGTAAAACAACCAAAAGAAAAAGGAAAAAATCTACGACTGTTTGATAGAAACGTGGGAATCAAGGAGTAGAGGAACGTCGTGGGGAGAAAGTGCTTTTGGCTGTATTTGATAAGATTGCGACACGTCACAAGTTAACGGAATTTTATGTATTTATGTATGTAACTTCCTCAACGGCTCCTTGTCATGCAATTCCTGTCGAATTCCTATTTTTAAACTTTTTTTTTTCTTCTTTAGTCTAAAAGACTTCGCTATTTCTATTTTTCATAGCTGTTGTTGTCCATTCAAGTGAAAATTTTTTTCCTTTTATGTAATAAAAATGTGGAGTAATATTAGGTATCATTATCTTAGTGGAATTCACTCAAAGGGAAAAGATAATAATAAAAATTAAATTTTAATTAATGTTCCACAAATAAGTATTCGCAATTAATCAGTGGCAAATGTTGCGTTAACAAACACGTATAGTAGCAATTAAGACGAGTTGCAACATGTACCCATCGTTTATATCATAAAAGGCACTTTGTAATAATATATATTTATTATCAATTAATATTTTCACATCCGTGTATATATATATATTTGATAAATAAATTTATTAAAAATGCAACCAATACAAAGTTAAAAAATATGATAATTATTTATGTTTTATTTATATTTTATTCTAAGATATTAAAAAATATAAATGTGAGCTTGATAAAAAGACATAATTCAAGTTTTATAGTATGCTTTAAATTCAATGCAATGTTAGTGGAGGTCAACAAAAAATCACCTCTTGTATGTTATTCAGACGAATTTCTTCAAAATTTTATTTATTTTTTGGTACACATAAAATTTACGTGTATATATGATTTTATGTTAATTTGTTAATGCAATTTGCAAATATTTAAATTTCTCAAAACTCTTTTTTTTTTCATGATGCAAATTAAGAACAAAATTACTATTGAGGAATAAGATTTAAAATTAAAAAAAATTAAGATTACAGTTTGTGTTGTTACTAATTAGTCAAATATTAAGGGGACCGAAAGAAATCAATGCGATTGTACGTCACGCGCAGAAATGAGATCTAAAGGAGAATTAATGGACGGTGGGGGGTAAGGGATATTCTCCCATGTGATGGGTTTCTATACCTGTCAGGCTTTACACGTAGGAACGAGTCCCAGAGGAACTCAAAAGTCAATTCCACGTCAACCGTGGCATTGGATCCGCTATCGTCCATTTAGCTGTTGAATCTCCGCCAGTAGAGCGGGGACTCTTGGGGCCTAGCAGGAGTTCTAAGCTTTCATTAAGATCAAAAAATATTTCGAAGTTATATGTATTTCAAATAAAGTTCTAAAATTTTTTATTAATTTAATTTATTTATTGTTGAAACTATGATTAATTGTCAAAAGAGCATTTTCAGTAATAAATATTTTGAATATACGTTTATATAGTTAAATAAAAAATTAATGGTTGAAAAATAATTTAATTATATATTAAAAATTAGTTAAAAAATATTAGTAATAAATTATTGTCTAATATTTTTAAAATATAAAATCGTGTCAATGATAATTGTAAAGTTTTTAATAATTATAAGTGAATATAAAAATTTTAACCTTTCAATATTATTATGTTATTATTGATTTTTTATAATTTAATATAGTTGAATTAAATTCACTTAATAAAATTTTAGTTCAGCGACTGTCGTGGAGTGAGGGTGCACCGGAGTTGACGGAAGTTTCGACTACCGTAGCTGCCCAGCTCTTGCTGCCTGCCTTTAGTACATTTTCATTGTGATTAACTCTTTTATTGTTAATAAGTATTTTTGTTCCTTCTTCCATTATATTTGTAACTTATTATTTTATTTTTGCTTCAGATTGCATTCAGCAACTACCATTTCCTTTTGACTAAGTGAAAGGGATGAGAATAAATAAAAAAAAAATCTTATGCATATACATACAAAGAAAAAGAAAAAGGAAAGAATTTATAGTATTAGTAAATAAAATTCAAGTACTACTTATAAACAGTGTAACGTTGCTTTTCTCTGTAAAGAAAATAAAGAAATCATAATTAAAAGTTTGCCATCCGCATGTAATGGAAAGTTGATGGAACAAATAACAATGTTTGCATTTTGGCGAGCATTCTGTTGGAATATCCTATTCATGCCTCCAATAATACCGCTTCAAAGCCTGGAATTATCATGTTCAATACATTAAAAAAAATAAAAATGCAATCCATTCTCAGTTTCTCGCATTGTTTTATTACGACGTTGACATCAGCGTCCGACAGTCTGGCAAGCGGCAACATCTTCCTATTCCCGCACCGCATGATTTTATTTTTATCTAATTAGTGTTTTTCATCGATTAACGTAAAATTAGTAAATTATAAATATAAATTAAAAAATATAACATATTAATATGTGTAAAAAATTTACATATATTTTAATATGTAAATTTTATGCTAGAATGCTGAGTGCCAGCAAAGAATTGGGAACGGATGCGGTGAGCGTATCATTTCCCGACTCTCGTCTACTTTTTACTGATTGGCACGTGCGACCTCTTTTTGGTTGTGGCCTTGCGGGGGTGGTCCTGGTGGGCAAATTATTTGGAAATAGTCTAGTGCCGTCTGAGCCAACGGCCCTGTGACCGAGAGAAGACGCTACATTAGCTGTCAGCTCTGCTTTGAATTGCGATCACAATATTGGCTCACGTGCTAGCCTGATCTGTCTCATTTCATATGTGGGGTGCAACTGCCACATCCTTTGCCATTTATATTTTCCAATTTTTCCATCTCTAATTATATGAGCTCACCGTCACATGTCACAAAGTGTCATTTCCCAATCAAATTGTCCGTATCAATTATGACATGATGTCAATTTGCTTTGACTTGGCCAGGACATATGAACCACCTTGTAACTTTTTTGTATGGTTTTTGATTGATGTACAGGGAGCAATACGTCAAAAGATAAGATTATTTAAAATCAAATAGTGAATAACAGGAATTTAAAATTTAATTTAATTATTTCCTTTGTTTTATTTTTTTATCTATTTTTTAATATAAATTTTTTTGTTTTATATTTTAAAATTATTTTATGATTTTTTTATTTTTTATATTAAACATTATGAAACTTTAATTTTAATATTAAACACATGTAAATCAAAAATTTTTTAAACTCATAATAATAAATATATAACAAATATTTTAAGATAAAAAAATAATATTTTAATTATTTTTAAGTGTTAATATTTAACACATTTGAAATTTGAATTTCAATATTATTTATAATTCTTTTTTATTTAAATATTTTTAAATTATGATTTTTTTGGTTAAAAAGATGGCAAATACAAAAAATCAACACCTAATTATACGTAGGAAAAAGGATTAACATCAAACTAAATGTAAATCAATAGAAGTTTTGCTTATTGAAACTAATGTCTCCTACAAGAACTAAGCAGCAAAATATTCATTTAAAGGTAATATTTACAATCAAAACTTCATACTTTGTACTCTCTCTAATCTTTTTTTTTTTTTTTTGGTTAATTTTTTTGGGTGTTCCAAAATTATATATATTTTAAATATTTAAAAATTTTATTTTTTTATATTTAAATTTTTTGTTGGTTTTTAACATTAAAAATATGAAAATTTAATTTTAATATTAAATTCATTAAAATCAAAATTTAAAAAAAAAAATTTCGTAAAATGTAACACAGTTCAAACATTTTTGGATGGAGAGAGTATTTCTTATCACGGAACTGAAAAAGATGGAAATTGTAAATCCTTGGCCAATCCAATTTCAGAGGAGCCCAATCCAATTGAAGGGGCCTATACAAACCACAACCAATGAATCGAAGAATCCAACAACAGTAAATTTCCCTTATCCATTGCGAACTTCAAATCAGAGTGAAGCCAGCACAAGCGAGGTGCCAGAACAAAGGTGCCAAAGCATGCTTGGCTCAGTTCTCCATTCCTCCCTCTCCACACTGGTTCTCTATCCATCGCCCCCCAAGCCAGGTACTGTTTTCCCCTCTCAATCATCATGCCAGACATTTCTTGAATAAATTTTAGTGTCAGATATCTTAATTTGTATGCCTTTTACACGCTAATATTTCCAGAAAAATGTGAATTTCGTCTATATATTTATTTATTTATTTCAAGAATAGCTATTTTACACGCGTAAAATGCGAGTGCTATGGTCATTCAGGGATTTCAACAGTGTAAATATGTCTCCAGGATGTTGTATTTCAAAGAAGTTGAATGTAAGAACTGGACAATGCAAGAATAGAGTAGAGAAATCAGCAAGGCGGAGAACAATGGTTATTGGATGTAAGAAAGAGAATCAAGAAGTGGGTTTTCAAGCTAGTGAACGGCTTTATCTTGGAATGGATTTTGGAACATCCGGAGCTAGGTATGCTTTGATTGACAAGCAAGGGACAATTCATGCTGAAGGGAAGAGAGTATATCTGCAATACGTGGTAAGAACCCTCGACAACTTCATGATTAGTTATAAATCTTTTTTGTCGAAGTTGCTTGAACATTTAAAGTTTTCATAGAATTGTATAGGTTAGAGTTCAAAATTCAAATAGGGATTGTTTATTTACCCTGCCATGCTGATGGTGTTGTTTCTGCTGTCTAGAAAGAGGGAGGAAACAATGGATTGGGCTTGGTCATGGAAAACAACCCTTTTCTCACTGCTTGAAGATGTTCCTGTTCATCTCCGTCCTCTCATCGCATCCATTTCTCTTGATGGGACTTCTGCAACTACTCTCATTATTGACGGGTGATTATCTAAAAGAATAAAAGATTGTTTGCTGATCCATGTAGCATTTTCCTTCTCAATTACTGGATTGAATTTCAATGTGGTATCTGAATTTATTACCTGCAGAAATACAGGAGAACCATTAGCCAGACCTTACCTCTACAATGAGAGTTGTCCTGATGCTTTACCAGTTGTAAAGTCCATTGCTCCTGTAAACCATACAGTCTGCTCTGGAACCTCTACCCTGTGCAAGCTTGTTTCATGGTGGAACAATGACAAATCAGACAAAAAATCTATAATATTATTGCATCAAGCTGATTGGTTGTTGTGGTTTCTTCATGGGCAGCTTGGAGTTTCTGATTACAACAATGCTTTGAAGGTATCATACAATAACTCATTACTCTTAACTCATAAGCTTAGGATTTTAATTCCTCCTGGTAACCCACAGGCTTCAGCAAATTTAAGCAATGAATGATTATGCAATTGCTCCATATGTGTCTAGGTTGGTTATGATCCTGAACTCGACTCCTATCCGGCTTGGCTGTTATCTCAGCCTTATTCGCAACTTTTACCTGCAATCAAGGCTCCTGGAACTTCAATCGGCCATTTGAAAGGGGATGTTAGAGCACAATTTGGTATGCATTTGTTCCATAAATAGCTTCCTGTGCCTCCCTAGATGGTTCAAGGGGCAGTTAATTGTGTGGTTTAAGTGTGATACATTTCGTTCTCAGTCAGAATGAGATTTTGCATTTCTACTAGAAAAGTAAAAGTTGAGATTTTGCATCCCTTAAAGAGAAATGTAAATTTGAATTTTATATTTATTTCTTCTGAAAAGAGAAATAGTTGGAAATTTTGAAAAGAAAAAGTTGGAAAACTATGGATAAATTGTTCTGGATTTATGTGCACATGATATTTGTTGCTTCTTGATTGCATGTTAAGCCTGCCCTAAACTTCTGAAGCTGCAATTAATATTTTATAAAATACATCATAACAGGTTTTTCAGAAGATTGTATTGTATGTACTGGGACCACTGATAGCATAGCGGCCTTTCTTGCAGCACGTGCAACAAAACCTGGGAAAGCGGTTAGAATTTTGTGACTTGGCTTTAATTTGTGTTTATCAGGAAATGAGAAGTGGCTTTTTGTTGGTTGTCATACATTCATCGGGATTTCCTTATGACCTTGATAGTCTTCCTCGATCTATTTCATATTTGGTTCATTATTGCCGAAGTAAATACAGACACATTTTTCAGCTATAATTCTGTTTATGATGCAATTGGCTATGGTGCATTTTACTGCTATTCTTAGAGACCTTAATTGCAATTAGCATGTCTTTTCTCTCCAAGTTTCATAAATTAAGCATATTTTTTATGTAGGTCACCTCATTGGGTTCAACCCTTGCAATTAAACTGCTAAGTACAACTAGGATAGAGGATGCAAGATATGGGGTGTATAGTCATCGCCTTGATGATAAATGGCTTGTTGGAGGAGCTTCAAATACCGGTGGAGCAGTTCTTAAGGAAATTTTCACTGATGAGCAATTGGAAAAACTGAGTGAACATATTAATCCCATGGATGCCTCCCCTCTAGACTACTATCCCTTAAAATCAGTTGGAGAGAGATTCCCTGTGGCGGATCCAAAGATGGAGCCTAGGTATTAATCTCTCTCTCTCTCCCCATTAGAACATTCATATATCCCGTAAGCTGTACAGTTCATGAGAGGGATGCTTACTTATTTGCTTGTAAGAATGTTTTATATGACTACAAGTTCTGATTCCTACTTCCACAGTATTCTGCCAGGTAGTTTAAAAGTATTATATCCAAGTTAGTTGACTGCATAAGAAACGTAGTGACTATAATGTGCTCCATAATGTGAACTGTGAAATGCTTATTTCTATCTGGAAAAGGGAATAGCGAGCCATTAGTTCACCCATTTAAGGAATGCAGATCAATATGATGACAATAGTTTCTATAGAGGAATGTATCTTCAATGCCTATGTTTTTGTTCCTTTTCTGTCTGAGATTTTGTACAGTCGCATACAGGACTGGCGGTTCAATATAGTACTAGAATAACAGAAATTATTATCCTTCTCAACATTATTTAATTTTCAATTTTGTGCAGGTTACATCCACGCCCAGAAAGTGATGTAGAATACTTGCATGGTATTTTGGAATCGATTGCCCGTATAGAGGTATAGAGATTTATTTGCTTGTAGAAAGGAGGCATGCATTGCTACTGATGAAATTTATTCTAAAATGTACTTCTTTTGATATTATATTTAGGCAAAGGCTTACATCTTATTGAAGAATCTAGGCGCGACCCAAGCGGACGAAGTGTTTACTGCTGGAGGTGGTGCAGAAAACGAGAAATGGACAAAGATTCGAGAGAGAGTACTTGGTTTACGTGTGAGCCGAGCAACTCAAACAGAGGCTGCCTATGGAGCTGCTTTGTTGGCATTGAAGGGTGCCCAACAGAAGTAATGGCTAGTGAGAGCAGGCAATGACTGTCTTCATTTTGAAGGATCAGTATATAAAATGTGGAGAGTATATAAATCCAGCTTAGCTTTTTGCAAGCAAAGCAGGAAGGACAAAATAACAATATGCAACGAATCCAAGATAACTGGCATTTGCCTAAAGACAAGTATTCCCATCACGCCAATGTGAAACAATGAAAGTTGGAGGAGGCTAGGCCAATCTGATGGCCAACCATAGGATGAAGATTTCAAATAAAATGAGTAACAAATAAACAGTACTCGTGAGAGGGGAAAAGCTAGAGCCTAAGAGCTAAACCCTAATGGTCGGGGTGTTGCTAGAATTGAACTCCAGACCTCTTGCATGGGAAGTGAGAATCATACCACTAGACAAAACACCCATGGCGGCATCCATTAAATTCAGTAACGAGTTTCGGACCAATGCTATCGTCCCTAAAGAAAAACACATTCCAGCGAGAGTAATGGCGGCAAAACTTAGCTTCTTCGTGAGACCCCTTTGCATCTCAATCTCAGGATTCCACAATAAAATCCCAATAATTCGAAAACCCCTTCATTTTTCTTCTCTTTCATCTTTATCTTCCCTCAATTGCCCTCAATCCCAATCTCTCTCTATCACCAATTCCCCAAATTCAAACCACAATGACAACTACCCTTTACCCTTGCTAGAGAAGGAACTAGAACAAGAATTTCACTCTGAAGTTGAAGAACATGATAGTAATAACGACGAGAATGATGTTGCGATTGAAAATGGTGAAGAGGGTAGCGTGGTAAATTTGGGTTTGGAGGTGGTTGCGGGAAATTCCGAGGTTAGGAAAGTGAAACTACCGAATCTAACGGTTAAGGAAAAGAAAGAGCTGGCTTCTTATGCACATGGATTAGGGAAGAAGTTAAAATTGTCAACTGGTTGGTAAATCTGGTGTTACTGATAATGTCGTGCTCTCTTTTCTAGATACTCTTGAAGCCAATGAACTTCTAAAGGTACCATCTTTTTTCCTTTGCACTTTCTAAAGGTTTGATTTTTAATTTTGCTGTTAGAGGGTTTAGGGTTTTATGTCATATTAAAATTAGTTGTCCGAGTGAATTATCATAATAAATAAACTGATTTTTTTTCCTGATTGTATTAGCTTAAAATTATTGTTCCATGCCATTTCATAATTGCTCTTTGCTTTGGATTAGTCTGTGTTCTTTTGTCTTAGTAGTGGAGTAAACGAGTCAAGCTACTTGGACTATTCAGGTCGACTCAGGGAAAAACTCGAGCTCCATCAATTAATTGTGAGATGCTTGTCAATATTACATCTTTTTTGCATTCATGGACAGAAAAAGTATCAAAGATGCCAACTTGATTTTAAGTTTTATGGGAAGATAAGTTCATGTGGATGTTCAATTTTTATTAGAGATTCATACCGATTGTGGTGAAGAGGCAGTGGGATTGCCAGCTTACTATTTGGTATATCTATTTTTTAACTTTAAACTTCATGAACAGATCAAAATTCGCAGGACCTGTCCGGGAGAGTTAGAGGATGTGGTGAACCAACTGGAGCAAGCAACTAGTTCTGTTGTAGTCTGTCAAATTGGCCAGACTATGATCATATACAGGCCTAGTCTCACCAAATTGAAGGCCGAGGAGAAAAAGAAAGTCTCAGTGAGTTTTTATGAGAAGGCAATCAAAGCTGAAACTTGCATTGATGGTAAAGACAGAAGACAGAACAACTGCATTTGTGGAATTACTCTCTATTTTCTGTTAATTGTTTGGATGCACATTATTGTATGCTGTTGCACGACCCTCCCCTAATTCCCTTTGTAAAATATGCAGAATAAAGGAGCGTTACCCAGATTATCCGGACGTGGTAGAAGGAGAACCGGCAAGGTTTGAATGCTGATTTCTGGCAATGTTTTTCTGTGACCATGGTGACTCGCTCTTTTCATAAGGCCATTTGTTCATGAAAAGACTGTCCCTGAGGATACATGTTTGGTAACAAGTTTGATGATTCAATTGAAGTTAAAGGAATCCATGGCAGGTATTGCTTGATGAAAGAGAACAATTTGGCTCATTGGCAAATATGATGCATGTAATGTTGAGAGTTGAGACAAATTCGGAGATAGGTTAGAGGACATCGTTGATTGAGGATGGCAAAGGTATGTTTGTAGTTGTTTCTAGCTTCCGAATATGTGTAGATTTTATATGCAATTTTAGCATGTGCCTTGACGGTTAATGCCCGGTTGAAACTGTTTCAATCTGTCTCTACTCTTACTCTTTACTTTCAAGATTGAAAATGGAGGTGTACATGAAAATTGAAAATGGAGGTATACATGTAAATGGGTGGCAAGAGATCCCACATTTGGAAGAATCTGAGCATCTGCCGGATGGTATCCTTCCGTGACTTTGAGGTCCACATTCTTTCTCTTCGAAATCTTAGCACTGATTCTTTCTTCAGAATAGGTAAAAGCTACGTCCTCAACCGTGGAAATAAGTGGGGAACCATACCTAACAAAGGTTTGGATTCCACCGTACCTTTAATAAGATGCTTTTGAAATCATTGTATTTTTAATTGAATTCAAATATTAATTTTAATAAAATTTATTCAATATATATCACTTTGCAGTTATAATAATTTTTATTATTATTTTCGATTTTATCAAAATAAATCTTATTGTCCATCCACATAAATCCCTTATAAAGAATGTTGTGTACACGATCAGCTTTTACTGGTCTCATCTCGCCCGCACTGATATTCTGAGTGAAGCAGGGCTTCACAAACTTTCTTGAAACTATATATATATTTCTCCACATTATTCAATCTGTTGGTGAGATTTTTGTACAAAAGTAACACATTTTCAGTATCACAATAAAAAATAATATATTGCTACAGTCGCTGGGAAGAATGAAAAAACGAAAAACATATCTCGGCCTATGGCGTTATTGAGCTCAAAGACAGATGATATTTGAACCATTTTCTATTTTTTTTTTTTTTTAAAAAGGATCTTTGCTAGCAGCAATTCAATCATATGCACAGTAAGATGAATGGCATCTGACAGTAGTCAAAGGCAAAAGGTTCTATAGTCGTCGGGTTCAGAAACTAAGACGCTGTGAGCTTCTTCACTTCATATGTCTCAAATCTTCTGAGTAGAGTATGCCACTTGGAGAAAGAAGACGTTGAAGGGAGAGGAAGAATCTAGCCTGAAAAATGTTAGAATTTCAGCATTCATATCATCTGAAACCAATGGCTTGAATGCAATTGTTACAGAGGTTAGTCTTTACCCATTGAAACCCCACAAGCGCAAACCAGCAGCCTGGCAAGCCATATCCTCTAGAACGCACAAACTGGTAACATAAAGTTAGGACAATTCTACTGCATAATCCATGCAACATATAATATTAAGAGTACTGAAAATGGGACGAGGAAGTATATCTCTACCAGCAGTAAAAGTGCACCAAATGCAAAGCATCCATGCATTGAGAAGCTAATAAATCTAAGATCTCGTCCAGCCTATAAAAAAAATGCATTTTTGATGATAGTAAATTATAGAAGTAAGCATAGGTTTTTTCATGTAATGCTCCATCATGAAGCATGACATGGACAACTGGCAAACCAAGTTATTTTGAATCGAGATATTTAAAACTAAAATTAAATCAACATACCAGCAAAGCACCTTCAAGGCTATGAGTGCTTGGGGTCACAGCTAATGCAAGAAAGAATGGTAACAGCACCTTGTGCATCTGCATGGGCACAATGAAATAGCAAGGATCAAATACTTAAAAGATCCACATGTCATTGTTGTATAAATATCCTTGTGTTCGTATCTTATACCTTCAATCCAGGACAAATAGAAAATCTCAGCTTACGAGTGAATATTGCAACAATATCCAGGATATTAGCAAATAGTAAAACATTCAGGTTTGAATTTCATCGAGTAATATCACAACAGGAGAATTGACCTCATGTGGAATCTTTTTTTGCTCATGAGTCATGCTGTAATGAAACCACTAATATTTAAATCTGTAACTGGTGGAAACATGAAGGATGGATTACAAGTTGAAGAACATGAACTAACCTCCCCTATGACCATTGGATCAGGTGTAAAGATATTGGGAAAAAACCAAGGAACTGCCATTCCAATAATCCCTACTACCAGACCAAGTGTAGCACCAATGCTGACAAGGGATTTTAGAAGCATTCTAGCCTGTTTGATATCATAAACGATTCAACACACGTTAGAGGACAACATCCATATTGAGATGCTGTACTAGTTACTCTATGCTATACATTAATGCTGTTGAGGCAGGGGAAAAAGCAATCAGCATAAAATTAAAATTCAGATAACGAACCTTTGCCAAACTACGATTGACTCCATATATCAACTCGGGCATAAATGACTGTGCAGTTTGAGAAAGAGGATTACCCCAGATGGTGCACATGCCTAATATTTGGAGCATGACCTAGTTTAAAAAAGTAAGTAGAAAATATTGGTCATTGATTTTCAATAATGCAATCTAAAGCAGACAAGAAAGAGACTAAAAATAACGAGTGTGAGTAAATCTAACCTGATGAGCAGCAATAGTGTGTGTGCCCATAGATGTGGTGAAATATATAAGGAGAGAGTAGAAAGCTACCTAAAACAACATAAAAATGCCTCAGATGAAAGGAGAGAATCACAGAGTACCAGATAGTGCTATTAAATGAAGTTGAATGTAAACCTTGGACACCAAAGTTAAAAATACAGGAGCAGCAAGTTCTAGCACGGTCAGCAGCTCATTAAGTGATGGAATGGAGATGGCAAATGCATTGTACCCTTTTTTGTTCAGAGCTTCAATCATCATATAAGCTGCAACAACCTAGAACATATGCTGGTAAGCGATGGTGGCAAAGAGTTTTACCCCATCAACGAACACTTAAATGAATATGAATGGGAAATCTGGGTCTGTGTCATTTTCAAATTTCATTCTGTACCTGTGAAACTGCTGTTGCCCATGCTGCCCCAGCAATACCGTAGCCTAAAAAGATGCAGAGGACAACATCACCAATGCCATTTATGGCACTGGAAACTGCCAGAGCTTTCAATGGTCCCCAGGAATCTTTCATGCCAAGACTAGGAGACAGAAAGAGAGTGTCAGAGTACCAGAAACGAAAATGAAGTAACAAATACTTACACTCTTGACAATTCAATAATGGAAAATTCATCAGTAATCGGAATAGAATAAATCCTACTAAAACAAGTATGCTGGTATAGGACATATAAGATATTGCAGAGTAAATATATGCATGTAAATGAAAATATGTCTTTTAAAATAGATAATCAATCCATCAGATCATAAATAATCCAAATAGCTTCTTTTTAATATCCTTGGTTTTAGCTGGACAGTAGGAGTCCAGCTAATACAGCTTCACTTTACAAACAAATAAAATAAAAAATAACTTTCCCTTGCCAAAAGCTCAATGGAAAGGCACTCACAACATTTTGTGTGCATCAAATAGTATAGTATGCCAAGAACTCACAAAAGACACAAGAAGAATACTGCAAGCTCATTAAAAGGCACTCACAACATTGTGTGTGCATCACATAGTATAGTGTGTCAAGAACTAACAAAAGCCAACAAGAAAAATGCATTGCAAGCTTATTTAAACATAATTCACGGGAAAGGGAGAAAACAAAATACATCACCACCTGGCACTTTGAGCAACCCATCCAACTAGAACTGCTGGCCATGATAAACCTCTAATCTACAAAAGAAAAGATTTTGCTTCAATTAAGAGGAATAATCAAGCATGACAAGCACAGAGGAGGCCATAAGAATAAATATTAGACAAAATTCTATTCAACTAGTTGCTGTCAAAGAATATCAAGCAGGAGGAATATGCTATAAAGGTCAGTGGTAACAGGATTAAGTAATTGATACTATCCAACCAGATGCAAATAGTAATGGCTTCAATTCCCAAAAGGAAGATTTATGTTGCCTAACTCCATCTAGGGTACTATAGCCTCAACAAGACAATTATATACCTTCTCCCCTCCATCCCCTGATAAACACATGAACAGATGAAAGCAGAAAATAGCATTTCAAATTCCATCTGCCATTGAAGATGGAGATCATTTCATAACATACTTTAACCTGGTACATATAATTTGACATCCCATTAGATAAATATAACTTGTAACAAAGTGAAGTAAGAAATTTATTTCAATAGAAGTGTGCTTCAGTTTGCCAAAGAAGAAAATTCTCTCAAATATCTCTGAACTTTGAACAGTCAAGAGGAAAGGAAATAGAACTGATGAAGAAAAAATGGCTCTAATAAGGTAGCTACCTTTCCTTCTATCTAACTCTAAGGTTTATTAGTATAAAAGGGAAGAAAGCTTACCAATAGAGAATATCTGAAAGTTTAAATGGAAAGGAGATAGAAGAATATGAACCTGAACATATGTGTTTCCAGAAGGTACAAGATGTGCATTCTTTGATCCAGAAAAAGCTGAAAAATCAAATAGTAGAAGTAATTTTTTTTATTGGATTCTTGTTATCTATTATGAATGAAAACCACAAGCATGGATGATCAACAATATTAATAGGCATCCTACATTTATATAATCTGGTACTAAAAAATCCTTTAACAGTCTTTATTACCAGTTAATGCCCATGACCCAAAGAATCTTGTTAAAAAAAGCATCAAGAAGCCACAAATCAACCCGACAAAAAGCAGGATGGATATCTGATGCTGAACCTCATTTTTATCCTGCAGCAATACCATATTGTTAAAGAGTTAAGCCTAAAATGCAGCCTTAAACACCGAGGAGCAAATAGAAACCGATTATACAAAGGATCCAAATGCTAGAGTGTCATAAAATAGGAAGACAAACAAATCACAGTCTGTACACACTAATCATATACAATTAAATAAACATGCAATAATGCTGTATCAGGATGTAGCATACATGTGAACAATATGCACAAAATTTGTAATCCTAGTGCTAGATGAATTATGAATTTATGATAGCCAGTCGTTTTTGTTATGTAAAAGCAACAAGAGAGGTATTTAAATGAGTTCTTGAAGCCTAGATAGACAGTTTCATGAGTGTGCTGAGATTACATCTTCCTTAGCTACTTTCTTCTATCCCATCTCCTTTTTTAGTTAAATCAACAATCATGTTCTGTCGTAAATTTCATCCATATTTTACATTTAAGTAAGTTTATCAATTGAGTTGATATTTCTTTAACTCACGAGTCATGACACCAACTTAGCTATAACACTATATTATAAGTAGTACTGAAAAAACCATAACATCATTTAAGAAACTAACCCGTCTAGCAAGGGAAATGGCCACCATATTGGAAGTAGCAACTGAAAGGAACATAAAAACATAACCCATATAATCACAAACAACTGTTGCAGGACCTGCCAATCCAAATTGACAATCCAATTAGTCATTATTCAACAAATTATCCTAAATGTTTTTTTTTTTTTAAGTATCAATTTCGACTTCTTTATCTATTTTTCTTCAATTAATTATAAAAACCAAAAAAAAATTTCAACGAATTTAAGTACCTAAAGCAGCGAGCTCAACCGAGCTTCCCTGTCCAATAGCCGCGGTATCAATGAGACTCATCAATGGCCCACAAATCCAAAGTCCAGTAGCGGGTCCAGTAAACATCACAATCTCTTTAATTTGATTCCATATGCTCTGATTTGCAAATCCCTCTGCCTTAATTTCCACCGTCGTTTCCTCCTCTTCTTTCTCAACCAAAGCTTCATTGCTTTCATAAGTTAATTCTTGCCTAGGGTTAATGCAATGAATTTTCAATCTAAATCTACGGCTTTGATGTTGCGATGTAATATTGCATGAACAAGAAAGCAATAAAGACCGTTGAAAACAACGGGTTGGGAAATTGATGGGTCTTTTATGGAAAAGAAATGAAGGATGGGACTTTATATTAGGGTTCGGGAGAGAAGTGAGAGAATAACAAGTTAGGGTTTTGCCTTGCATTTTCTTTGTTTTCCTTCATAGGTTTTGGGCGACGAATTGAAGCACAAAAACCTGATGCACGAGTAACAAAAGATTTTAAAGAAATGGAGGCAAATACCTAAACACAAACAACACACTCTTTTGGCGGCTAAGATAACCTCCAACAACTGACTAGCGTTATAACGTCTTAAAAGGGTAAACCGTGGATGACTATGGGCTGTGTTTTAAACCGTTTGATTTGAGTACTTTTTACTCAGGTTGGGGTCAAACTTTTGACTGTTGAGGACTACGGGCTGTATTCTAAACCGTTTGATTTACATTTTTTTTTACCACTTCCGGTCAAACTTTTGACCATTGGTGTCCCTATATAATTTGTGACCATTGGTAAATAAAATTTTTTTTTTCTTTTAAGTTCTCAATTTACTGTTTTTTGAGAATCAATTTTGAAAAAAAAAACTTGCCTAATGATTAATCTCCAAAAAAAAAATTAATTTAGAATTTCAAAGTTGCTTAAGAAAAAAATTATCATTGAGCAACCAGAACAAAAGTATAAGTTAATTCTAATTTTTACATTGAACGTTTGACGTGAAAGCTTTAAATAGCAAATTAAAAAAAAAAGAATATAAATGTCAAAATTTTAAATTCAACGTAAATCCTGATGTTTGAAGTATGTTTTGATCTTGAAATGTGACAAGTTTTTCTTACCTAAACATTTAACTTTAATTGACCAAAAAAATGTTTATATTTTAAAATGTCAATAGAATTTAATAAATCATTTAATTTGATTTTAAATTAATTGAATTGGACAAATTAAATAAAGATTAGGAATATCAAGTAAAATAAATTGATAGAATAACTATTATGGGCATTTGATTTGAGAAAATTCATAAATTTTTTCATAAAATTTTGATTGTAATTATTTTATTTTCACGTTTAATTCAGAATAATCTAATTATAAAAAAAAGTAACAAAATTTCAATAATCTTTAAAGTTTTAGAATCATAAATCCATTTTTTCTGTAATATTTTAAAATTTTAAAAAAAATACATTATTTTTAAATTTGATTTAAATAAAAAATTATAAAATAATCATTATCATATTTAAAAATATATCTAAAAATGAGTACAACTCAATTCTAAACTTTCGCTACTAAATTTTTTATATTACAATTAACGATATTTGACATAAAAAATATATTAAACAAATCGTCATTTAAAGTTTTTATTCCTACAACTACGTCTCATATTAAATAGGCATTTCTAGGTTCTTTCCACCTTCTGGGTATAAATATTTAACAAAAATAATATAAATCTATTATTTATTACTGCTTAATTTAACATTATGGCATCCTAATCCAATTTACTTTTATAGTTAAATATGTAATTTAATTTATATAATTTATTCAAATTTTTAAAAAAATAAATTTTAATGAGATTCGATTTCAAGCTTATAATTTTTGTGACTATTATACCAATATATTATGTAATTGTCATAATCAAACAAATATGACTCTAATTTTAATGTAAAAAACATCATTTCTACTTAAAAACTAAATTGTTTGAAAAGAAAGAACAAAATCCGCTAATGCAATGGGCAGTATTAATTAATTAGCGTTAATTCATTGGTTTTCCATTTTAAGCAGTGTTTAATTGGCTAATACAGCAGACAATAAGTGGGCCCCTCTGATACTGTGTGAACTGTGAAGGATGAGGCTTCTTGAGTTTGGGAGAGCGAGAGATGTGAGGAAGCGAGTCGATGAAATAAATGACATTAATTTAAGACGTTTTTAACTATAAACTTTCAAATGATTCTTTTTAATTTTTTTATTATATGTTAAAAAATTTATCATAATTATTTAAGAATTATTATATGTAAATTTTTTTAATTAAATCAATAAATTTAAATACGAAATATCTTAAAAATAAAAAAAAATTTGAATATCATTTTTTAAAATTAAATATCCCTTAATATTATTACTGATTTATTAATGTAAGTAATGAATCGTTGCTGAAGACAGAGAATTCAAGAAAAAAAATTAATAATTTAGAGAAGATGAATCAGATAGAAATTGGTAATTAACCAATCCTTCAAAATTGCTTCAGAAATGGGAAATGGTAATTGAAAAAACAACTGATAATGACTCATCTAGCTGGTGCCGTTTGCCGTCCCTTGCTACAACCATGATGTACGAACCCAGGGCAATAAAGAATAACGATAAGTTGAATTTTCTTTCGCAGCTACGACACTTCATTTTGTAATAATTTAATATTGAGCTTATTCAAGAGTCTACTTATTTATTCAAATCTTCATATTAGCTCAAATTTTGAGTGAATTTGTATAAAATTTTAAAAGTTCATTAAAAAAATTTGAGTATAATTTATAAATTTATTTAAATTTAAAATTTATATTCGATCTTATCTGAATTTATGTGTGTATATATATTATATAAAAATTAAGATTAATAATAAAATGGCGGTGGACGTTTTCAACGTTTTGACTCAAATCTACCATTTATTATCGTCAAATGAGGAATCTCGTGGGAATAAATTTGAGAAAATTAAAAATCGTTTTAAAATTGTAAAGTCGGATTTGGTTGGTTGGATTTATTTTTTTATTTAATTTGAATTAAATTTAAATATTATACAAATATATTAAGTTAAATCAATTTTTTTTATCGAGAAATAAAAAATAAATAATAAAATAAATTGAATGATATATTTTATTATTTTTTAAGTTTTAAATTTTTATAAAACAAAAATAATTCATTTATATCTAAAATTATTTAAATATATTTAAAATTAACATTAAAATAATTAAATCAATAAAATTTAATTTAAATTGTATGAAAAATTAATTTTAATATAAATCAAAATTTAAAAATTTATATATTATATATTATATAAAAAAAATAAAACTAAAGCCATCGCTTTCAAATCATTACCCCCTTAGAGACGTTACCAGTGAACATTGCCTCATTGGTAGATTTTTAGTTTTTTTTCAAAACCCTGTTAGAAATTTTCTGCAGCTTACCTCTTTTGACTATAATGAATAAAAAAATAATAATAATTGATTTTTTTTTATTTAATTGTTATCAAATCTGAGATATTTTGCTCACAACGAAACAAATCAAAGTTTGGTAAAAATCATAATCATTACAACCAAGTCCAATTTTTGCGAAACTATAACTACAACAATTATAATAACAAAAGTATAGCGGCGATTTAATGAAATTTCATTGAACAAACTGTGTTGATATGGGACCACCTCAACTCAATTTTCAACGGAGCATTAATTGATGTTGTAGATATTATTTAATAACGACAAATATGTGCTGACGTTTGAGTAGGGAAATTACAAGGGGAAAGGGACTGCTTTCGTTACTTTTTTTAGGTAGTTTTATTTTTTTTGCAGACTTTATTAATTTAAAAAAGATAAATTTCATTTATTTTTTTATATGAGATCTCTCGATCTCAAAAATTATTTTAAATTTCAATTAATTTAGAATCAAATCGAATCTGATTTTATAAAATATATAAATTTATTTTATTAATTTATAATATTCAAAATCGAAATTTTATCTAAAAAAAATTAAATTATTTGTTATTCGAATTAATAAGCATTGATAATAAATTTCATTTATACTCTTTATTATTTGGACATTTCTCACATTTTATTTTTGTGATCCTTTTTCTCATATAGTATTATGTGGTATTGTATTCTCTAAATTTTAATAAAATTATTAAAATATTTTTAAGTTATAACAAATAAAATACGTTATTTTTTTAAATAATTTTATCAAGATATAATACTCAAATAAGTCATCAAATTTTTTTAAAAATATAAATAAATCCTTAATCGTTTATTGTAGGAAATTAAAGCTATAAATTTTTATTTTATTTTAATTAGAATCTTGATTATATAAAATATTTATTTTTTATTTAAAATTTTTTAATTAAATGATTTAATTTATAAAAAAAAGTTACTTAGATTTATTTGGATGAATTAATGATAAATATTTAAAGAATATTATTTTAAGAATTTCACCAATTGAACATTATTCATCAAATTTTAAGATTTAATGAGTATTATTACAATAAAATAAAAATTTTATAGTCTTAATTTAATATAACAAAAAACCAAGAGCTTATTTGAATTTTTGAAATAAAATTCAAAATTTTATTTGGATATTAAACTTTTTATCAAATAAAATAAGACTATATCATGATTAAGGAATTATAAAGAAAAATATTTAGAACTTAAAGGTTTTGAAGTGTAAATGTTTTAAATGTAAAATACATTATAATCAAAGTAACTAAGTCTTATAATAGTTTATCAAAATTAAACAAAGTATGATTAATTTAGAAGAAATAATCATTTTCTTCCCTTCTCTATCTCATTTTATTTTCATTTGTATTTTATTTTTTTTTCTTTTAAATTTAAAACCGTACATCCAAACACGCCTTAAGGGCCGACTACAATTGCCAAAAAAAAAAAAAATCTGACTAGAAAATTTCCGGTATGTTCGAGATTTCAACACTTTCCGAGTCACTGGCTGTTGTTGGGAATTACTTAGCACTCCCATAACCACGATTTTGTCAAACAAATGGGGCCATTCCAAGAAAAGAAAGTAAATCGAAGCCTAACAATTATAGTATTTCCAAAATTATGAGGTCATTTTCACAAACTCAACTACAAATTTCAAAACCTAAATTGTTTTTATGAAAAAATTTATAAGAAAATTTTTAAATGAAATTTATAAAATTAAAAAAATTATTTAATAAAAATTTTAATAAAAATTCAAATTGATAGAGCAATTGAATTTAATATATAAATTAATAATGTATAAAAATATTATTTATAATTTAAATTTGATTAACTTTTATTTAACGATAAATATTTAATTAATATTTTTATTAAAAAATTTATCTAAAAAATTATTTTTTAAAATTTATATATTTATGTAACAAAATATTTTAATTTATAAATTTACTTTTTATTTAATTATTTTTAATAAAATATTTTTCAATTTTTCGGCCACTCCAAGCAAAAATTAATAAAAAAATCAATTAAGTTTGACAGCCCATTATTTACTGGACGCCAGAAAAAGACCAAATCCAAGCATCTTTTTTCAATCAAGTACAATTACCAAATTAGGCATGGAAAACCCGACAGCCTGTCTCGCTCTTTAAAGGTGCCTGGTTTCATTATTTTGTTGTTCTGTATCTGATTTGAAGAGTTTTCTTTCTAAATGGGGGTTTTGGGAGCGCTGGTGAAACACCCAGGTGATTTTTATCCATTGTTGAAGCTGAAAATGGCTGCGAGGCATGCCGAGAAACAGATCCCATCAGAGCCACACTGGGCTTTCTGTTTCTCCATGCTTCACAAAGTTTCTCGTAGTTTTGCTCTCGTTATTCAACAGCTTGACACCAAGCTCAGAAACGCCGTAAGCGATCACCTTTTGTTCTCGATGCTCAATTCTTTTGAATTTTTTATGATATTTAGTATGGGTATTAATTCTTAAGTTTCGACTGATAATTCTTCAGTCTTTCTTTTCTGTCTTCCAATTTTTTTTCACAAGGTTTTGATTTTGTAATCTCAAACATACCATTTTGAGGTTTTGCAGGTCTGCATATTTTATTTGGTTCTTCGAGCCCTTGACACTGTTGGTTTGTTCCTTTTCTTCTCTTTCATTTTCTTCAATGTCATTTTCCCATCATGTATATTTTTTCACTGATTCTACATTATTAGGAATCTTTTCCTCATATTGGCTCCATCACATGCTAGGTTGCATATGAATCAAAGTAATATTTTGCATGTGAAACTTGATCTAGTTTGATTCCTTTTCAAGTTGGTGAATGAGAAGACAAGTTTTGCTCTTTTCTTTAGATTAATATATTCATGAGGTTGATCTGTACTGATGGTTGTTCTTGCAGAGGATGACACTAGCGTAGCAACAGATGTCAAAGTTCCTATTCTCACAGATTTTTATCGTCACATATATAAACATGACTGGCACTTTTCATGTGAGCATCTTGAAGTTTTCTTGTATTTAGTTTTTCTGGAATAGCAATAGGTCCATTGGGCTCATTTTATTGCTTGAAATTTCACCTGTCAAAAGAGAATCTTGGTTCACTTGCTTATATGGCTTTCTCTCGTTTCAGGTGGTACAAAGGAATACAAAGTTCTCATGGACCAGTTTCATCTTGTGTCTGCTGCTTTTCTGGAACTTGAAAAAGGGTTAGTTATTAAGTTTTTTCTTGATCTTCCTTGTTTATGCCAATAGTTTAATTTGATACTGATATCTTAAATATGTAGTTCAAGTTGTTTTTGCTTTTGGATTTTTGGCATATAGTCAATAGTTCTCAATTGATTCTGCAGTTATCAGGAGGCAATTGAGGACATTACACTAAGAATGGGTGCAGGGATGGCAAAATTTATTTGCAAGGAGGTTCGTCATGCATATATTATTTATTTTCACCTGCCTTATTCCTGATGAACAATGATTTTCCTAGTGAACGGTGGGAAGGAATGACAGGGTTCTATTTCGGTCAACTAAATTCAGGGTTTTCCCTTAAACAAGAAATATCTAAACACTGGAATTAATTTTACAGAAGGTTTTACCTATGGATATTTTCATATTACTTGCTATACCTGTCATGAGTTACTGGGCACTGACTTATTACCTGGATGTATGAATGTGAAAAAGGTTTTTGAGCTTTAGATATTTGACTATTCGCCAATGAAATGTTCATTTATGAAGTATCAAACACTGGTTGATCTCTTCTAGTTTGTCTCTTACTATATATGAGAACTTGATCTCTCAAGCTTAGTGACTAAATTTGCACAATATGTTATGCATAAATGCAACTTTAAATGTATTCATATTACCTTATATGTGAAGCCAAGAACTTGTGTTTTTATTTCAGGTAGAAACAGTTGATGACTATGATGAATATTGTCACTATGTAGCTGGACTTGTTGGATTAGGTCTGTCCAAAATTTTCCATGCCTATGGGTCAGAAGATTTGACTCCAGATTCTATCTCCAATTCAATGGGTTTATTTCTTCAGGTTTTGCTCTGATATATATAAATGAGCCAACATTTTTCATGCCTGGATTTTAACATTTGTTTAAAGATTTGATTATAAAACTTGTGTTTTGGATCTAACAAAATGACAGAAAACAAATATTATCCGAGATTATCTAGAGGATATTAATGAGATACCAAAGTCACGCATGTTTTGGCCTCACCAGATTTGGAGTAAATATGTGAACAATCTTGAGGTATGCCTCTGTTGCATCTTCCATCTCAATTTCTATCCTAACTGCCTGTCAAAGTTGCAACTGAATTTAATTCAAGTTTGAGTAACTTGTTAAATATTTGGAATATCTTTTCAAATAGTTGTTTATTAAATTATATTTTCATCTGTAGGACTTGAAAGACGAGGAAAACTCAGTCAAGGCAGTGCAGTGCTTGAATGACATGGTTACTAATGCTTTGCTGCATGTGGATGATTGCCTGAAGTACATGTCTGCTTTACGTGACCCTGCAATATTTCGATTTTGTGCTATCCCTCAGGTTGGAGAGAGCATTCCATCAGTTGTCTTCGCTCTTGTATATCATTTGAGTTGCATGTCATTCTTTTATCTTATTCTTGAAGTGCATTAAATCAGCTCCGGTTTTCAAATATTAATGAGCTGTTCAAATTGGTCTCTAATTTCTTGTGTCTTGCTTTTACTAGATCATGGCTATTGGAACACTATTCTTATGCTACAACAACATTGAAGTCTTCAGAGGTGTGGTGAAAATGAGGCGTGGTAAGATAATAGTCTTTGGAATCATTTTCTTTGGAGATTAAACTTGATGCACAGACAGTTAAATGGGTTTGAAAGATTTCTTTAAACTTGTTTACATAAATAGAATCATAATAAACCTGATCTTGGTGTGCTTTGCTACTTTTATGTCAATCTATGATCATTCGATTTTTCATCTTAAGTTTTGGTCCAGGGAATATATAGTAAACGGTTATAGGGTTAATGTTTGGTTTATCTTGGTTATGTTTGCAGGTCTCACTGCACAAGTCATTGACCAAACAAACTCAATGGCTGATGTCTATGGTGCTTTCTATGATTTTTCTTGTATGTTGAAAGCCAAGGTATGTGGTTCTTAATATTAGATGAGATATACCAACACATGCTAACCATGCATGCATGAAAAAAACCCATGTTTTTTTGTTCTTTTCTTTTTTTTTTTGGTTTCATGACACCAAAAGTACTTCCTTGGCTATTGTAGGTTGACAGTAATGATCCTAATGCACAAAAGACATCGAGCAGACTAGATTCAATCCTGAAGAGATGCAGGGACTCAGGAGTCCTGAACAAAAGGTCAGCAAATGTTTCAAATTTCACATGGTTTTTTCTTTTCATTTTTATCCTTTCATACTTTAACAATTTTAATTGGTTTGACCAGGAAATCTTACATAATTCAGAATCAGTCCAATTACACTCCATTTCTGGTGAGTCACCGTTACATTTTTGCATCCTTTTGTCATATTCCAAAAATATTTACTAATTATTCTATTTTAACCCGATGCAGGCTGTCATACTCTTCATTATATTGGCCATCATGTTGGCTAACATGAGTCCCAACTGGCCAAATAACTAGTAAGTTCGATTTACCCAATAACGAAATGATTAGTCTAGTATTCATTTCACTAACTTGGCCCTCCTCTTTGTTCTCCATATTTTCCTTTGAGCAGGACCATCGTTTTATCCTATCACGTGTTGTCTCAAGAAGTTGTTTTCCTATGTTTATATACCAAGTTATGAAGCTATACTTAACTGTACGTCTGATGTTATTCCTGGTTTCCATAAGCTATGACGCTGTTGGATCTCCATCGTTGGAAAGGAAACCAAGCGAGTTTTCTACAAGAGAAGAGGCGAAATAATGTATCAAAAAGAATAAAAGAAATGGAATAAATCCATGTTCTAAATTTTTCCTTTTTTTTTCTCTTCGGCTATAGGGTTAAAAAAAAAAAAAAACTTGATGTTCCCATGTTTAATCCTACCCTAGAATTGCTAAACTTCGTTAACTTACGATCAGTTTCTGAAATCGCCATCGCCTTGAAAAATTACAGCAGAATAAATGTGGAATCCGGAAGTAGACCAAAAAAGAATAGGCCGAGAGGGTATTGGAGGGACAGTCGAACCAATGAGAGTCGACGGCGATCATGTGCAGAGACCTTATGCTTTGAATCATCATGCGCAGAGGGTAGGGCCCGGACCTAGGCCTGTGGTGAAGCACCAAAGTCCAAAAGGACCGCACCTCTGTTATCACTTCGTACGCATAACCACGCATCTGTTCATGTAACAGGTTATGAGCCTTATATAAGAAAATGTCTCACTTCAAATCAATATGATATAAGTAACCAGCCAAGAAGTAAGTTAAACGAGAGTTTTACACTAATCAATCAGCAAATAGCAACAAATTGAGGACACAAACCCGTGTCATAAAAATAAATAAATAAAAATAAAAAATGTATTCACGTATTGATGGGGAAATAGAAAAAAATTACGAGCGGCGATCGACCTCTGAATATATACAAGCACAAAAGAGAAAAAATACGCATACAAATTCTTCTTCTCTGACGCCAACAAGCAGAGAAGTCTAGAAACTTCTGCTACTTTGCTTGCAAGAATACGTTCCCTTCTTTCGATGTATCCGATAGGGAACCAACCTGCTTTCCCTTTGCATTCTCCTTCTGCCCACCGATTGTTTGTCACCTGCTAAGAGCATATAGAAAGTGAATCCTTATTGCAACAAGTGAAGGAAATAAAACTAGAGTCACTAGACACTTGGAAGTCATATATGAATGTAAAACTGTTAAGACTCGAGTCATTGTTAAACCTTTCGCACAACTACATAGTCACCAACTGACAAATTCAGCTCCACATCAGATTCACCGTTATATGGATGCATAACCTGAGTAATAAATCAATTTGTCAGCCATCATACAGATTACAGCAACTTGGTAATCCACAAGTGCCAATGGTGTATAGGACCAAGTTACAAACCTCGCCTAGAAAGTATCCCATGCAGTCTGTTGACCCATTATGTGTTTGAGAAGCATAAACATTAACTTCCTCATATGATGGTGGTGGAGGCATGCTGTCCACAATTGGGGCAGGAGGTGCTTCAATTCGTTGTCGTTCTGATATCATCTGTTAGAAAGATGGAGGAAATCATGTCGTCATAATACCACTGTTCAGTTGCAGCAAAAGAAAAGTGGGAAAAAGGATTCGGTAGCACAACTGCATACCTCACCTTCAAGCTGATCAAGTATCTGAAGGACTCGTTGATGATTTTACGTTCAGCCTCAACCTTTAGGCCCATGATAAAATGACACGTGGATACATTTTCAAAATTACGTTTCTACAGCATGTCATCCAGAATAGAGTTAAGTTTACATAGAAGGAAATTTACATTACCATAGAAGGAAATTTGCATTACCATAGCAACAAGCCTGTGAAGTGTCAACTTCTGCTGTTGAGCTTCAACGGCGGCCATTGCTGCAGCAGCTTCTTTCCCAATATTGCCATGTTTGACTTTAGATCTTGTCGTTTTGTCTCTGCAGATTCCAATTTCATGACACCCTCAGGATTCCTGGTGTTTCCCTCGCTCTTGCTTGGCGTTTCGAAACTTCAATTGCCTGTCCAGGTCCAAGAGAATGTAAACACGCACTTGTAGCACAATCAACTTTCATGTTTAAGCTTTAATAATGATCAAGCACAAGGGGCAAGTATATAAGGACGTTGCAATAATAGATAAAAAAGGAATATCACTCTAGACAACTCTCTAGAGAACGCAAAACATAATGCATAGACCTGCCATGAACCCCCATTTTCACAACTGATTAGCAGGCTTCAACCCTTTCACTTCATGAACCTAATTGTTTGGAAATATATTTGTATGAATGAGTATATATTCCTCTCAAATTAAAACAAGCAGATATCCAAAGAATCAGTAAGATAGTGATAGCCTATAAAACCTGTGTTTCAGCTTCTTGTCGCATTCTGTCATAACGTTGAGCAAGATCCCTCGCATCCTCCAAAGGAGCTCCCATTACCATTGCTCTTAGTGGCTCAGCAACCTAACAATCAAATCATTCAAAACATTACCCAGATGATTGTATGGCCTATCATAATTAGGGAGAAGGTTGAAAAATATACAAAATGCCAAAATGAAGAATCCATGTACAGATCATCGAATGGCCTGTAACATACAAGTCTTCTTCCATGGATTCATGAACTTAGCAACCTAAATTTCTAGGATTTTTTGTTCCAGTAATAAAACTTCTAAACAAACCTGTGTGCCAAGGGCTTTCAACATATTCCCACGTTCCTTCTCCATTTGAGCACGAGCACGTCCATTACCTAATGCAGCTTTTGATAATGTAGTGCCACTGGTACAAGTATTTTCAGTACGATATTTCCTGCTATCCTCAGATAACTTTGTTCCTGTTGAAAAAAAAATGTACATAACAAAACAACAATGTCAAGCCCATTAAATTCAAAGTGGAATTTAAAAACTAACAAATGCTTCACCAACACACCTATTTCAACTTGTTTGGATCCAGTGACGATATAGCCTTCTACACCGCGGACAATAACCCTTTGAAAATGCTGAGAACAAAATTGATCAAAGAAAATGAAGAAAACACAAGGGACAAAAGTTGATGCAAGAGAACAACTTAGCAACCTTGCCAGCACGCGTTGAGATATAATGCTTCTCAAGCTTCTGATGTTGGTGGCGTTCCACTTCATCAGTAATTACATTGTCCGAACCTCCATATCCCCCGGCACCAAACTGTTTGAGGACAGCCTGAAGTAACATTCAGCAAAATATCATCTTTGTCAGTAAAACTTAGCGAAGAAGTTCAAAAGAACAAGAACATAGTCAAGTATTTGAATTACAACACGTTAAGCAGCTGGTAAATAGCAATAAACAAATAAAGCATAATGACCAGTTTCTAATTGATTTCAACATTCAATGGATTTTCAAGATTATAGATTCATTTTCATTGTTAACATTCAATTGAAATGCCATATTGAAAAAAAGGAAATACTGATTCCAATTCCATCCTCCAACTTCCATTAGCTCATCATTTTCCATTTAATATTCGCATAACAATTAATTATTTCCACATACTTTTTAATCGATTCACGAATCATAAACGCACAAAGGCACATGGACATAGATCCAACATTTACTAAAAATCGAACGAACGCATAATCGGAATCACGCAGATTAACAAGAAAATCAAATCGAAGACAGAACACAAATATATATATATATATATATATATATATTGAAAATTTAGAGAAAGATCAAGGATGAAGCTGAGAGATGGACGTTGACTTGGATCTAAAGCAAGGTCAGAAAAAATAAGTTAAGGTTTTAATAGGGAGAGAGAGAGAGAGACCTGTTGTTGGCGGGCGACTTGTTCTCTGAGCCGCGTGGCTTGTTTTCTGATTGCCTCCATTCAACGGACAAAATGGCGCTTTTCCGATGGATTGCAGAGCTGGAAACGGAGAAAGCGAGAGAAAGAGAGAACTTAAATCGTCGAACGGATATGTTTTTGGAGACCTTTTTTTTTTTTTTTCGGCTTTTGAGTGACTAGTCGAAGTAGAAGCTTTTCTGGCGTACCGCCATGAGTGAAAATTGCACTGGTTTGAATTTGAAATTTTTTTTAGACAAGAAGGAGATTGTTATGGTGCACACGTTTTCATCTTACTCTTCCTGAGCTCTTTCTTCTGGTTTTGAATTTTCAAATATCAAACCACCCCACCTCGCTATTTCATGCTAACTCATCATTGTAGTGATGAAGTTTTGGTTAAACATTCTCTATGATCTGTTGAAATCACTTTAATACATTACTCGTCAAATCACTTATCAATATCATTTATAAATTCTATATTTGTACTATGATTGCAATTTAACCGTTTATATATTTGAAACCTTAATAATTGAAGTAATATTTTTTAAATTTTGATAAATTAAAATATGATAAAATAATATAATATAAAAAATAAATAAAAGTGATAGTGCTTAAAATTTTAATAAAATTATATATAAATTAAAAAATTAAAAAATATATTTGATATATCAATATAAATTATAATATTATATTTTATACATATTAAATATGTAATTTAATTTAATTTTTTAATATGAATAATTGATGGTGATAAAAAAGTAAAATGCTAAAAGTTTAGTACTAAATATTTATTTGGATTGAATCATACTTTCAATATAGTATAATTGAATCTATCATATTATTAATTGAATTCAAATATTAATTTTAATGAAATTTATTAAATATAAAATTTTTATTAAAAATTTTTTTAAATCGTAACTATAATATTATTTTTTTTAATTACAACTATAATAATTTTATTACGACTTTTAATTTCACTTTGGGAGAAAAATTAAAAACAAATAATTGTTCATTTGAATATGATCAAATATGATCATATTATCCATGGAAAATTTGAAACAATTGCTTTCATTTTGCAGGCAACGCTTTTTTGCACGTCGGTTTTTTCACAAATTCATCCACCTCATATAAGCGAATGAACAATTAAGATATTAATGTATCATATATGTATCATCATCTTCAAAGAATCGGATTGGAATCATATTTTTTTATATAAAAATAATGTTTGAATTTTCCACCGAGTAGCTAAAGTTCCAAGAGCAAAAGACTGTAGCAGAAGCTGTTAGGAAAGATCAGATCAAACAGAAGTGACTTCACCATCCATTGTTCCGTTTATGGGGAAAATCAGTCAACCCAAATTTCACGTCAACGTTTCTTCTACCACTTACGCATTTTCTCACTTAAAAGAACAATAAAAAACAGACAAACAAAGACTCCCATCTTCATATGATGACTCTGAAGATTGCAAACAAAACAAACAAGGCCTTAAATGATACTGACAAATGACATATCCATCGTGCACTAGCAGTGGAGCTGGTGTCCACTGCGGCCCTAGCATGTTTGCAAATTATTATATTCGCTTCTCGACTCTTCCCTTTCACCAGCTTAAGCAACAGCTGATATAAATCACCGTGTAATCAATCTTCTTTCATTGCCTTTTGTCTTTCGTATCCTTTTTTTCAGGTCTCTCTCTTTCTCTCATGGCTTCTTTTTCTTCTTCATGGCCATGGGCTGTTGTTCTTGCTTTGTTACATTCTTTGTTTCTTCTAGGGCTTGCTTCGAGCAATGTGGGTTTTCTTTCTTTTACTTATATAAGTAATTTTTTGCTTAGTTTATGATCATTCTCTGCGTTATTTCTAATAAAGATGCTTTTTTGACAGGTTTATATTGTATATATGGGAGATAGACATACTGATAAGCCAAATCTAAATCTAGTGGAGGATTCTCATCATCAGATTCTTTCAGACATTCTTGGAAGGTTTAAATTTCAACTCTCTTTATCAGAAGTTGTTTAGTTGCTTTTCTTTTCAGTATCTTTATTCAAATTAAAAATAGTAAAAAGTTGTTCTATTTATGGAGCTTTTCCTCCAATTAGTTGAATTTCAGTTTATTTATGTTATTCATTTTTTAAGTGCTAATCTCCATAAAGGAAATGTTTCTTAATTGTACTTTTGCTTACAAGAATAAAAAAATTTTCTTTTTGACAAGTTCATCAGTCAACCAAGAGACCTATTTATTGGAAAACAGAAAATAACATGTTATGATCTCAATTGGACAGCAAAGAATCTGCCAAGGAATCCATTTTATACAGCTACAAACATGGGTTTTCAGGGTTTGCTGCAGTCCTCAGTCAATCTCAAGCCAAGCTTATTGCAGGTGCAACAATGTTGGTGAACTGTAAACTCTGTTTTTGTCCTTTAGTATTTATCTTAAACTAGTCTTTTAGTTGATTTTCTGTCTCATGACATATTGATGCAGATGTCCCTGGAGTTATTCGTGTAGTTCCAAATAGAATTCTAAGTCTGCACACCACTAGGAGCTGGGATTTCCTGCAAGTAAAGCCTCAAATTGTGGCTGGGATTCTTTCAAAGAGCCATTCAGGCATTGGGACTATCATTGGTGTCATGGATACTGGTCGGCTTAGAAATTCTTTCTATACTTTTACTTCTCTCATTTTTTTTCTATAAAAAATCGAGCTATTTATCTTTGTGGTTCTTGGAATTTGACATCTTGTTTTAATCATACATTTTGCCGAGAAGGTATATGGCCAGAGTCTGAAAGCTTCAAAGATAAGGGCATGGAAAAGTTTCCATCTCGATGGAAAGGGATATGCCAGGAAGGAGAGGGATTTAACCGCTCCCACTGCAATAGGTATAATTACCTTTTGTATAAAATCATTATCAAAATTAGGTCTATCATATTGCCTGCAACATTCTCGTTGATTAACTAAGTTGCGTGCTTCACTAGTAGAATCATTTGTAATCAGCCTAAAGCATTGAATCTGTCTACTCTTGACTTTGAGAACCTTTTACCTCTGTGCTTTTGGTCTAATGTGTCTCAAAATAGGAGTATTTACTTCTTACAATTTACAGTATATTGCAAGTTAGCATTTCCAAGAATCCAGAGATATTTTTTCTTTAGAAACTATCTCCTTTCTCAGTCACACTTGTCTTAGTCCCAGATTTTCGACAATGAATGCAGTTTGATGCCATATTTGGTTTAAGTTTATTCAAACCTCTAGTCTGTTTACAATTCCTATTCCATTGTTAGTACTTTTGCAATAAACTTGGAATATACTTTATGTTGCCAAATAGAGCTTATATGATGGGGCCACATTGTCTTTGACGTTTCTGAGTTCATTGTCATTGTAGTATCTAATAATCCTGTTCAACATTTCTTAGTTCATATGAACTGTATGTAGAGTTGACTGATCAGTTTAGCTAAATTATAAGGTGCCTAATTCTGGGTATTTGGAACAGGAAAATTATCGGTGCACGTTGGTACGTTAAAGGGTATGAAGCTGAATTTGGAAAGCTTGCCCTTAGTGACGGGGTCGAGTTCTTGTCTCCTAGAGATGCTTCAGGTCATGGTACTCACACCTCATCTACTGCAAGTGGTACGCTAGTAGAAAATGCAAACTTTAGGGGACTAGCACAAGGATTAGCTAGAGGTGGTGCTCCTTCATCGTGGTTAGCTATCTACAAAGTTTGTTGGGCTTCTGGTGACTGTAGCTCAGCTGATCTTCTTGCTGCATTTGATGATGCAATCTTTGATGGTGTTGATGTTCTTTCAGTATCTCTGGGCTCACCACCTCCACTTTCCCCCTATGTTGATGACGCGTTGGCTATTGGTTCCTTCCACGCTGTAACAAGAGGAATTTCTGTTGTATGCTCTGCTGGCAACTCTGGTCCTTATTCTCAAAGCGTCATTAATACTGCTCCATGGGTTATTACTGTTGCTGCAAGCACCATTGATCGAGAATTCCCTACTGTGATCACCCTGGGAAACAACCAAACTGTTGTGGTAATTCGTAATTTCCTTCTTAACGGTCGAAAAATTCATGCAAGGTTTTATTGACATGTCAGGAAAAAAAAATCTAAATAATCAGACCAAAACAAAACTGCATAAAAAATAGTAACTTATTATTTGGTTGGTTTTTTAGATATGGTTGGCTCTGTTGGAGTTAAAATGATAAGTATTTAACACCAACAAAGATACAACAGTTTACTTCTCTCTCAAATAAGCCTCCTGTTGCAAAATTCTGCCACTAACCTGCTAAATGATATTACCATGAGCGCATGAAGCTTTGTTTTGAGTTCCCTTGCTGATGTCTGTTGGTCTATCTTCTTGTTAGGAGAAATTTATTAAAATAAAATCCCGTTTCTGCTGATTTATAGTGAAGGTGATTTTATCAACTATGAGCTTCTGCTTTTCTATTGAAATTTTTAGATTTTAATTGATTCTGATTTCCTGTGAGAGCATTTAAATGTGACCCTGGCACAGCTGATGAATACATATGAGATATTCATGTTTAGCTTGTAATTGAACTGCCATCCACTAGTACATTTTAGTTCGTGAATGCAATTTGTATACAAGTTGTGATAATAGATAGAAATACAAATTTGCTCTTTGTTTATTTGGCTATGACTTATACTTTTTTCATACAGGGTCAGTCTTTCTATACAGGAAGGCAAGTAAACAAGTTTCATTCTATCGTGTATGGACAAGATATCGCAGCCACTGATGTTGATGAAAACAGTGCTGGGTAAGACTCCTACTGCACATGAATCTTTGTGATCTAGAATACCCGGAAGGAATGACTATGCTGATATTGTATACTTCTGCAGAAGTTGTGATTTGGAAACCCTGAATGCTACTTTAGCAAAAGGAAAAGTAGTTCTTTGTTTCCAATCTCGGTCACAGAGGTCAGCTACCATTGCTTCAAACTCTGTACTCAAAGTTCAGGGTGCAGGTGTTATCTTTGCACAATTTCCTACTAAGGATGTTTCTTGTCCATGGACTTTTCCCTGTGTCCAAGTGGACTTTGAAGCTGGGACATCTCTGCTGACATACATGGCTGCAAGCAGGTCAGTTTAACATTAGAGTACCTTCTTTTCTTTTTATTGTCTTTCTTTGTTTGATTGGGCGTGAGGGCGAGGGTTGGAGTTCCTCACCGATATAGAGTTGACGTGACACGAAAAAGAATCCACATTGTTTGTTCTCTCATTCTGTAGGCATATAACTATTTATGAATCTTTTCTTCAGTACCAACAGCCAGCTATTGAATAATTTCTTGTCTTTATGAAGACATCAGTTGAACCTAGGCCTTGACATTCCATTGGAAGGGCATTATGTTGTTATTTAATGAACTCTTTCATGTAACAGAAAACCAGTAGTCAAGTTTAGCTTCTCAAAGACAGTTGTCGGGCAACAGTTAGCCCCAGAAGTAGCTTATTTTTCATCACGAGGACCCAGCTCCCTTTCACCATCAGTGTTGAAGGTATTAGCATTGTTTTTGTAAAGAGAAGTTACAACTTACAAGGCCTTTTTTTAATTAACATATGCCAGCGAATTGTTCAGCCAGACATTGCTGCTCCAGGAGTTGATATATTGGCCTCCTGGTCCCCTGCTTCTTCCTCCAAGTTACTGGATTCACCTCAAACTAAAGCATCTCCACTTAACTTTAAACTTGCTTCGGGAACTTCCATGTCTTGTCCCCATGTCTCTGGCATTGTTGCTCTTCTCAAGGGAATCCATCCCACGTGGAGCCCTGCAGCAATTAAGTCTGCACTGGTAACAACAGGTAGGAAACAGAAATTTATGGATTTTGGTTTGCTCTTGCAACTTTTTTCTACAACTTTTTTCTCTTTTCTTTGGGTTGCGAAGCTTCTGTGAAGGATGAATATGGCGAAAATACCGTAGCTGAGGGAGCACCCCACAAGCAGGCTGACCCATTTGATTATGGAGGTGGACATGTCGATCCAAACAAAGCTCTAGCCCCTGGACTCATATATGACATGGAAATCTCTGATTATGTCTGCTTCCTTTATGCAATGGGCTATAACAGCACTGCCATCAGCTCAATGACTAGGGTTCACACCCCATGTCATAAATCAGCCAAGTTCCTTGTAAATCTAAATCTGCCTTCCATCACTATACCTGAGCTTAAGCAGCAGTTGACTGTCTCAAGAACAGTCACAAACGTTGGTCCCATCAATTCTGTTTACACTGCTCGTGTTCAAGCTCCCGCAGGCACGTATGTGAGCGTCAAGCCGTCGATTTTGTCCTTCAACTCCACAATACAGAAGCAAAAGTTCAAGGTCACATTTCGTTCTCAACTAAAAATTCAAGGAAGATATTCGTTCGGAAATCTATACTGGGAAGACGGTATTCATGTAGTAAAGATCCCTCTGATTGTTAGAATTGTCATTAACAATTACTTTTACTCAGAAACATGATCTCAGATACCATAATTTGTATCACTGAATAATGAACTTAGCATCAAATAACTGCTCTTTTGTCTGGTTGCTGCTGCACCCTTTCCAAAATGTACTTGATCATTTGAGCAAAAAAAAAAGAGGTTAATCTGAACATCAGGTCCAATGGTCCATTATCAATTTGTGGATGAGGGTCGTTGAACAAGCGTGTTCACTTGCATATCTGCTCAATGATGAACGGCATGGGAGAGACTGTTTTTCTATCTTGATGCCATTAACAATGATGCAAAGACTAGATAGTGGAGGGGTAGTGATGATAAAAGTAGGTAACCAAACATCCAAACTAAAAAAAAAAAAGGGACTAATTTGTGATGTAGTTCTTAAATATCGATATTAATTAATTGAACAAAATACTTTAAGGAAAGAAAAATCAGATATCTAATATAAGTTTTTTTTAATAGATATTAAATCATTAAAAATAATATAATTCAAAGATCCTATTAGCTCAAAGACAAATGGAAACCAGCTTTTCGTTAGAAATTAAAAGGAATTAACCCAAAACCAGGTGAAACCATGCAGAGTGGGTCCTTGCTTTTGAATTTGTTTCCCTCACATTCATAAATGAACAAGATGATATGATATGTTATTGAATCATTCACTGCAAAAGACAAAATTTTTGTAAAAGGACTGGATCAAAATTAGGTAAACAACCAACCGGTTCTAAAAAACTATTGACTTCAACAACTATAATGGCTGTGATTTTCATAAATTAATTTTTGAATTTCACTAAAAAAAATGACAAGCATTGGAAATTCAACAACGAACATTTCAATTTAATGAGGAAAAATAGCTTTTACTTTGAAGTTGATATTTTTGTCAATTAAATTAATATATTTTCATAAAAAATCACAATTAAATTTTGCATGTCAAATGGATGCATAAACTAATAGAATTAGGTTCTAAATTTTGATTAAATTAAATTCAGTAAATGAGTTTTTTTTTTTTTTTTTATGTTGAGAATGAAAATTGAAATTACTTGAACTCGAAACAAAGTCATATATTATATCATAATTTTTTTTTAATCACTCGATCAAGAGATTGGTAGTTGTATTTCTTATTCTTAATCTAGAAGGTTAATTATGAAGGAAAAACTGAGGTTTAACTTAAGGAATATGTAGGACATAGATTAGCATCAATGTATATTATCAACTTAATCCCCAATTTTGGTATTGTAGAAATTTTGCCTTGTGTTAAAGACAAAATAATTGCCGGCCCATATCCGATGAAAGTTCATAGTTTCAGAACTTTCCATTGATGAATTTGAGTTGCCTTGTCAACTTCTGACCTAATTACATTTAAGTGGTTGTGAATTGGGATAAAATCCTCATATGGGGTTTAATTATCCAATTAAATAGTAATTGTTAGGTACTTAGGTTAATCCCAAATCTACCACCTTCTCCTTGTTTCTTTATTCTTTTGTTCTTATTACGTGTATATATAGCTAGCTATATTCTTTTTTTTAATTAAAATTATTAGAGATTGATTTTAATATTTGATACATTATCATTGTAAAATTTTAATTACATAAATGGTGTTAAAAGAGTGATACATATTGTTCATGTGTATTTAAAAATATTAAAAATTTAATTAAAAACAAAATAAAACATGAGTCACCTTCTTAATCTTACTTATGTAATTAAAATTTTACATTGCTAGTATATCAAATAATTAACTTTTTTTATGAATTGATTAGTACAATAAAAAAGCAGAAATCATATATTACATCTAAATTTTAATAAAATAAATAAATAATCAATTAATATATCAAAATATTTTTAATATAAAATTAAATGAGATTTATGCTATCTTTGGATAGATATTAATAAAACAAAGAAAAGAAAAGGAAAATAAAAGAAAGGAAAGAAAAAGGAAAATAAAGGAAATGAAAGTTTTTTAAAGAAAAAGAAATGGTACATGTACTCTTTAATTGGATAGTTAAAATTAATAAAAGAAAATAAAGGAAAGTAAAGAAATTTTAATAACTATTGTTTAGATAAATATTGAGAAGGAAAATAAATAATTAATTACAATATTTTTTTTTAATTATAATATTCTTTTTAAAAAAGTAACATATAATATATAAATATATATTTATACTACCTAATTTGTATAAACAAATATTTCTAAATAAAATTGAGCGTGCTTGATATAATAAGATATATTAGCTAGTTATTGATTTACACTTAATTTTATGTTTAATTCAACATTTAATTTATTTTGATAATAATTTAGCTTGTTTTGTTATTAAGGCTTGAAAAATCATAAAATATTTATAAATTAAAATATTATATAAAATCTCATAAATAGAAAATATTTTTGTAAAAAATATCAGTTATATAATCAAATTAATGTTATAATAAAAATATAGATTTAATAATTTTTTCATAAAAATAAAAATTTTCAACTTTTCTTTGTTAGTTTTTTTCTCGATTTGAAATATTAAAAAAGTAAAAATTATAAGGAAAACCAAACATTATTGGGTTTTCACCTATTTTCTTTCATTAAAATTAAAAGTTTATTCAAACAAAATAAATATTTTTTTTCCATTACTTTCCTTTTTTTTTTTTAATTCTTTTTCCCTTCCCCTCAATCCAAAGACAGTATTAAACTCAAGACTTTAACGTAATGTTTGGATAAATATCAATAAATAAAATAAAAGAAAAGAAAAAGAAATGAACGAAAATGAAAGTTTTTTAAAGACAAATAAATGATATATGTACCTCTTATTTAAATAATTAAAATTAATAAAAAAATAAAAGAAAAAAAATTCTAACAACTATTATTTGGATAAAAAATGAAAAAAATAATTTATAATGATAATTTTTTTCAATTATAATATTTAATTATCTATAATTTTAGAGTACTCCTAAATATAATAGTCTTTTTATAAAAATAAAAAATTTTAAACTTTTTTTCCTTAGCTTTTTACTCAAATTGAGATATTAAAAAAGTAAAGATTACAAAAAAAAAATCAAATATTATTAAGTTTTTACTTTTTTTAAATTAAAAATTTATCCAAATCAATAAAAAAAATTTCTATTTTTGTTATTTTTCTTTATTTTTCTTTTCTTTCTTTCCCCTTCCCGTGTAAATTTTGAAAACATTCTTCTAGTGATTAAGATAAAACTCTCTTTTTATGTCAAAAAAATTAATTGAATTGGGTTTCAATTTTAAATGTAGTAGTATTAATTATGAGGTTGACCATTAAACACATAAAAACAGTCGACATTGAGCTTAAAATTTGTTAGTGGATGAAAGGAAATAAGCATGTCATGCACATGAGCGCACTCAGAAGTGCATTGTCGTTTAGGCATTGACAACAATAATAAAGTATTCCAAAACGGCATGCCATGCTCCATTATTTCCATTTGCATGAATTAAACATACAAATACAAAGGCTGTAACGCCATGTTCTGTTTTGGTTGGATCATTCGTTAGTCTTTCTTGCATCAATAGTCGGCCACTTTCTTTTTTTTTTTTTAAAGTACAGCCAAACGATTATCCCAACACGAAATCTACGTGGGCATTCACTCCTATAGCCGCCTTTCCTTTTTTGTCAAAGGAAAATTTTTCGGCCATCACTTAGAACTGACCTTTTGATATATAAATACAAAAAGTTATGTATTTATATTATACAAAATATTATATTTTAAATAAAAATTATATATTATAATTCATATTAATATAAAAATATAAAATATAATTTTTATTTTATTAAATTTATATATAATAATTATTAAAATTTTAAATCATATAATTTTTTATTTTTTATATCATATACATATTTTATTATTATAATATATTTTAAATTATGAAATTTATTTTTATATTTACAATGATTTCTCTTTATTTTAATTATTTAAATTTATAAACAATTCAAAAATTAGAAAGAAAAATATTATTATTTAATTCAAAGTTTATTTAAATTGATTCATATAAATTACTCTTAAAAATGTTAACGAGTATGTTTTAATTTTAAATTCCAATATTTACAAAAATTTTATTCTCTAAATATTATCTTCTTTCTATAAAAAATATTACCACCATGTTTTACCTTTTGCATATATTTTAATATAAAATTATCTCTTACTTGCCATAAATAACAATGCTATTTATTTAGTTATTTTATTTTTGTATTTATTTTTTATAACATGTTCAAAATTATCTTAAAATTTTGTTTTTATTTATTTTTTTATCAATTTTAAAGATATATTTCACTTTTTATAATTTTTGAATATGACTTAATTTTGAAACAATTTTAGAAATCACTAGAGAATAAAATTCCTTTAAGATAATTCTAATAATAAGATAAATATTTTAGTAAAGTCAAATTCCAATTTAGTAACAAATAAGAGAGTATTTCTAAATAAATGTTTATTAAATTAAAATTTTAAATAATATTTTTAATAAATTTATATATATTATTAAATCATTTTTAAAAAATAATTTCATAAACTTCACATATACATACGTCATCTAAGTTTTGACGCAATTCCACAATGCAACAGGCAGGCGTTAACTTCTTACACGTAATTTGGCCACCAAATCAAGTAACCCACAGATGTACCAATGCGCACGTGATTGTCACTCGACTCGTGAACCGTCCGATACAAAATCTTAAGCCCTCTTTCCGGTCAGCTTAAACACGCTTGATCCTAGCGCTTGCTGATAAAATACCCAAAATTAGAAAACAAGGAGCGGGAATTGTTATGCAAAATCCATCGAAAAGGGCCGGGATTAACGCGGTAAAGCAATCTAGTCCTGTAAATAATCCCAAAGTCGGGTGTCAATTTTGGAAAAAGAAAAGGCAAGAAAAACACAAAATGCAGCGGTTTCGAGGATGCTGCATTACGTGTTACAGTTTTTGGACTTTTCTTAGCGCCAGAATCCGCCTGTCACCATCTCCACTCACAGACCAATCATCAATCTCTAATTCTTTAGAGGTGAAATTTCGTGTCCTTGTATCTTATTTATTTTATATTAAATAATTATAAAATACAAAATTATCATTATTACAATTTAAATCTTTAAATATTAAATATATATTTCATTTTAACAAATTTATATATAATTTATATTATTTTTATAACATATTTAAAATGATCGGTTGTACTAATTCTTTCGTCACCGATTTTAATCACAAAAATTAGATCAAATGATTTATATATTTGTATTATATAAAATTTTAAAATTTATGTATTATATTATTTTTATATAAAAATTATGTATTATAATTTATATTAATATAAAATATAAAAAATATATATTTTTATTAAATTTATATATAATAATTATTAAAAATTTAAATTATATTATTATCAAATATTTTATTTATATTATGTTCATATCTAATTTTAAGTAATAAGATCTAATAAAAATTAAAAAAAAGTTAGTTAAATTAGGAAAGACTTTCTTCGCTTTTGCATTATCGGAAGGGACCAAAAATTATTTTATTTAATTTTTTATAATATAGTACTACAGTCAAGCATGAAACAATCGGAAAGTCAGAAAATCTATGTGGAAAATTATGATTCGGTCCAAACAAAGCCAACCCTACAATAGTCAAGCTCTTTAAACAAGACCCAAGTTTGTTCTCATCTTTTTCGTATGAATAATTGAGAAATTGTTAAATAAAATCATTGAAAATTTTTGTTAAGAGACATAAAAAGATAAACCATTAACTCTAGCATTAGTTTCGCCCACGAACAAGGCCTTAACCAACTCCTCACCTCTCCTCTTTCATCTTTATCAGGTAAATCATAATTTATATATATATATATATATATAATTCTTTATCCTTTTTTTTTTGTTGTTTCTAAATTTATGGGTTTAATTGATTTAGAGATTCTGGGGACTTGATTGAAAGTTTTGTTTTTCTGGGTTTAGAAATGGAGTACTGCATGGAAGCGAGAGCATTGAAATCAAGTGTAAGAGGAGAACTAACCATGCAAAAGACCCAGCAAGTTGTTTTGGATGATTTTTTATACATGAATGTCGTAAACGCCGCCGGTCAGACTGAAGATTTTTCCGTTGATTGCTTCTTTGATTTCACGAATGGAGAATTTGAAGAAGGTTCCATTGAGGAAGAAGAAGAAGAAGAAAAAGACTCTGTTTCTGTTTCTTCCCGAGAACGTGTTGCAGACGATGATATGAACTCTAATTCTAGCAGTTTTTCCATTGATTCTATTCTTACCAAAGAACTATCCGTACCGGTAATCTTCATTTATTAAATAAATTATTATTAAAGAGTAAAAATCCCTATTTTTCACACAAAATTTTGATTTTTTTTTATTTGATGTTTCTTTAGGATGATGAAATAGCAGGGCTTGAATGGGTTTCTCATTTTGTGGATGATTCGCTTCCAGAGGTTCCTTTACCATGCCCTGTTTTTGAACAGCAAAGCGAGAACCATGCAAAAACTCGTTTGGAAGAGGAACCGGAGCCGGCTATTGTGAAAACGCCGAGTTTTTCATCGCCGGTGCCATCTAAAGCTAGGAGCAAAAGGGCTAAATCAACCGGCCGAGCATGGTCGGTTGGGTCAATGCCTCTTTCGGAGTCGTCGTCTTCGACGGCGTCATCTTCAAGTTCTTCTTCGGGGTTTTCCATGACTTCGACTAATGTTCAAAACGCGGAGTTGGGTAATGATGTCACGGAACCGCCACCAAAGAAACAGAAGAAAAAACCGGCGGTTCAAGCTAGTGGACTGTCAAGTGGGAATCCTTTTCAACGGAGATGTAGTCATTGCCAAGTTCAAAAGACTCCACAGTGGCGAACCGGTCCACTTGGTGCCAAAACCCTATGCAATGCTTGTGGGGTTCGTTACAAGTCCGGTCGGCTTTTCCCTGAGTATAGACCGGCTTGTAGCCCCACTTTTTCTGTTGATATGCACTCCAATAGCCATCGGAAAGTCTTAGAAATGAGGAAAAAGAAAGAGCTAGCAGGAACAGGATTCTGATGAGTTGACCCGGATGTTTCCGCGTTTTTGAAGTTAGGAATAGCAGGACAGGTTCACGTGACCAGGGTTGAACCCGGTTATATTTGGCTAGGATTTGTTAGGCTTATTATACTCTTTAAAAAGTGTTTTAAGGTTTGTAGAATTTTCAGGTCTAATTACGTAATTTAGGTAGGTTTGCATTTTTTTTTGCCATTTTTTTTAGAAATTTTTTGGGTCAATTCCGTTGTAAAATTTTTTTTTTATGGTTTTATGATTGTTATTTCTAGGTTTAATGAAAAGGGAGAAATTTACAAGTTGAATTTAAAGAAGATTATTATTATTTTTACTAGTTGTTTTTGAATTTTCTTAGATTTCAACTTGACAAGTGTTATTTTCACAAGAGGTTTTTAATTTTTTGACACGTTCAAAATGATTCAGATGGCTATTGCTTGTTTCTAGAGTCTTGACAATTGAAAAGGCAACGGGTGTGTGGTGGGCTGGAAGGGGACTTAAGGGACCAAGAATTGTAAAATAATGTAGGTTTGATTTGAGACCACGAAAGCTGGGCAGATTGGCCGAGTGGTTGAAATATCTGAATCAAAGCTGGAAGGGGTTAATGGGGGCTGACTCAGTATTGCGAGTGGACTGCCCTGGCCTCCCAGTGCTCTGACCAAGAAGCCTGAGTTCAAGATTCACTAACACCATTGTCTGTGGACCACAGTGATGATCAAAATATGGTACATTTGGTGGGGTAATGTGGTCTTGCTGCTTTTGATGCGATGGAAATGGAAAATTTGCCATTCATTTCTTAGTTTATACTTGTATTTTCAGCAATATTCTTGCCTCATCAGTATAATATATATTAGCTGCAAGGCTGGAAGAAAATGACATGATGCAACTGCCAACTACAAACATATATTCACTTTATAATCAAGCATTTGGATTCATCAAAGAATTAAATAAGCCAAGCAAATCATGCATAATGATCTCACTTTTGGAGTTCTATCACATTCGCATTGAAAATATATCAAACATTTTTTTTTCGTTATCCATGTAGATTCACGGGCCCAAAAACGGACGTGCAGTACTTATTAGCCATAGTTCAACAGTAACCAAGAGGCAATTCGAGCTACCACATTTAGCAATTCTAATAATCGAACATGGCTGCCATAAATCAACTGGTGTCATAATAGAAAGGGAATTATTCACATTAAAGAGTTAGGACGACATTAGAAGAAAAAGAAGAGGTGCTAAACTACAAAATAAAAAAAAAAGGTTTTACATGCATAAATCATGCAATGATAATATAATGTCAGGAATTTTCCAATGGAATTTTACTGTACAGATATACTCTATGCTGCTCTAAATTGGCCAAAATTTAAGGGTGCAAATAATCACATGAAGCTCCTTTCTTGCAGTTCCCATTTTCATGGAATTTGCACACTCTCTGCCCTTTGAAGGGCGACCTCGAAGAACTTCCTCCACTGCCAAAGGATGACTGTCTATTCCAAGGTTTGACCCCACCAAAACCAGAATCACCACCTTGAGAGCCCATATCACTTTGATTCGAGAACTTGTCTCCATAGTAATTTGATTCATTTCCCCACATGCCTGAATTTCCAGAGGGCGCCACATAACCTGGATTTGCACCTCCTGATGCTGCCCCTTGCGCGGGGGCAACCCATCCAGAATTTGCATTAAAAATGGTGGGCCCTTGGACAGGTGGTGCCCATCCTTGCATTGCATTCCCAGGAGTAGTCCAACCTGAATTTGCATTCCCTGGCACTTGTCCTTGGCTAGGTGTAGCCCAACCGGGATTTGGATTAACAGATGCTGATCCATGACTAGCAGCTCCCCAGTTAACATTAGTATTTGCAGGGAGAGGTGCTCCCCATCCCATGTTTTGATTCCCCGGCATTGGCCCCCAACCAGTGTTCTGATTTGCTGGTGCCTGTCTCAGGCCAGCACATTGGGTTTCTGCAACAGACATACCCCAAGGTAGATTGGGCGGAGCAGGAAGCTGAACTTTTGACTGAAGTGGAACAGTAGGCATCCAAGAATCCGATGCCAACATAGTCGGTTGGCCAGGAGTAGGAAATACCCCAGCAGGATTCCCTATGCCGAAAGGAGCAGAAATTTGACCAGATTGTGATGCGCAATTCCAGTGACCATAAGCAGCAGGTTGAGCAGGCATGGCAGGTGAGGGATTTGGCTCTAGCTTCTGAGCTGATGCATTTCCCCATGCTTGAGTTCCAGTTGCTGGCATAAATGACGTGGCAACTGCTTCTTGCCTTGAGACTGAGCCAGAACCCCATCCATGAGTTTCAACAGAAGGATTATGATAACTCACAGATTGAACCAAATTCTGAAGAGATGCACCAGCATTTTTCAAATCAGCACCTGAATTAATTGAAGCCTGAGCATTGACCTGTGTCCTGTTTGATTCACCTGACACCATCGGATGAGAATGCACTAAAGGAGCAACTGGGCTCCCACTCTCTGAAACAACGGGAGGTTGCAGCCCTGCGGTACCTCCTTGGAATGGATTAGCTACAGAAAGAGAACCCGTTGACTGAACAGGGGTAGGTGACCAGTTGCTTTCAAATGCTTGTCCCTTAGTCCCACCAGTGGGATTTTGGTTTGGAGTGGGAGAAGGTAGGTTTGTGTCAGAGCCCCATGTATCTCGAGAATACTTCGGGATCTCAAGTGAAGATGGAGCAACTCTGACTGTGGAAGAACTGACTTCATTTTGAGATTTCAAACTTTCTCCAGCAGATTGGCCTGACAAACCCAAAGTATGCTGAGGACTCCAAGCTTCATGATTTTGATCAAACCTCAATCTTTCTCCAACTTGACTTTCTATTCCTTGATTCAAGGTTGCTCCAAGAGAGTTCCCATACAAGGCCTTTTGAGCCTTTGGAAAGCTATCTGCTACTGCAGGGTCTTTCTGAAACTTTCCAGCCAAGGCATCAGTCAAAAGTATAGAATCATCTTGCTTCTCATTAGTTCTCCAAATTTTTAATTCAGCAGGGAAATATCCAGTGTTACTCCATTTCCGCAGCTGCACCATTGAAAATGGTCCTTGAACCTTGCGAGATGGATCCTTGTAATGCCAAATTTTCTCCGTTTCATTAATTGGAACAGTCGTTACTCCTGTGGGCAGTGGTGTAGGTGAAATTTCTGACCCAACCTTCAAAGGTGGTTCCTGTATTACAGCAGAGTGGTCCTTCCTCAAGCCAATTTCTGAACTCAAAGCAGTTTTTGGCCGGTCCCAACTGTTTTGTTGTTGTGTTTCTCTCTCCCGTCCTGGGTTCCATAAATTTCCATTTCCCATTTCACTAGTTCCAATAGAATCATCTCCTTTGCTCGTAAATCCTTTATTAGATAAGTTCCTGCTTAATTCCCGATTCATGCTAGTATAATTTCTACTCCCACTCCAAGAATCACTTGAACTGAGACCTCCATTCCGGGGAGAAATTGCTTCCTTCCCTCTCCTGCCAAAGCTACCTCTTGGCCTCATAAAGTTATCTGAATGAACCAAAAGATTATCAAACTTTATGGAGAATAAGAGATATAAGAGAATACAAGAAAAAATTTCACAAGAAAAAAGGACCTTGTTTCTTATCATCTTCTCCTTCATCTTCTTCAGATTCGTAACTAGGATCCATTTTGGGGTCCACATGTATCTCTGGAATCTCCTCTAATCTACGCTGTCGTTCCTCAGGTGCCTTTAAAATCTGCAATTTCTCTACACATTCTCTAAGCGTGAACACAAGTCAAGGGTTACATTGAAATTGTTGGAGACAAACAATCATTTCATTAGAAAGAAATTTGATGCAGACAGACTGTAGATGAATTCAGCAAACAATATGAAATTCTAATTATAGTTAGAATCAGAATTATTTTTTTACAAGTTCAATTCCGCATTCAGCCATAGGAAATGTATTGCACCCTACATTCAGGAAGTCTCTTCAATTTTTTATTAAAAAAAAAAACAATATATATATTTTTTCAGATTGCCCGTAGAGTAAGGCTAATGCAAATATTAGTATGTTTTGGAGGCCAAAACCAAAAATAATGGGCATAGTTTTTGAATGAAAGGGAAAGTGACAAGCCACACCATTGAGTTTGTCGGGGTGTTAGTTTAGAAACAACTATAACTAAACATGAATCCTATCACAATCTAACCTAACTCACAGAACAGGAGAGAGAAAGACAAGCACATGCCATGAATTGAACATAAAGATAGTGATTGATGAGCATTGAATTACAGCAAACTCATCTTTATTATTCACACAAATGTCTTGGGTTGATCAAAAATTTTATCCTAGAACATTGAATCTATCACTTAAAAAAGCTTAAGCAAGCTTGAAGTCCCTTATCAAATTATGTCTGCATGAATTATCATATAATTCAACACTCCATAGCCACATAAACATCCTTAACATTATGCTTTCTAACTATGAGGGTAAGGGATGAAAGGAAACAGAGGGAGCGGCTTTCATTATTCGGATTGCTTAAAATCAAACAGGGAAAGGAAAGGCATGGGAATATGACCGACCTTTATTGATCAAAGAATGGAATCTGAAATAAATGATAATTTATTGTGTTCTTTTAGATTTATATACTTCATAAGTTATAACAAAATTTTAAAATAAGAGTAATTTTATCAGTATAAGTAAAATATTTTTAACGAGGAATCTTCATTAAATCCCCCAATTTTGAGGGTTGAAAATTGAAGGTATCCAGGGTATTGGAGGGAAATCCCTCCCTTTCTGCTAAAAGATGTTCTGAACAAGGGTGAGGCTACCGGTCCTCCTCCCTTCCCTCAATCCAGAAATCACAGTCAAGCCTCACAGCAAATCCACAACAAATGCCAGAAGAATGCCATAAGCCATCAAAAACTAATTGACAAGCATCCAACTGCAATTGAGGAGAATAATGGAACAGAAACTAAAATTAAGAGAAAAGGATATTCCTTTCTACGTCCTTTTTCACTAGCTCGATCACGAAGATGACTGAGACGCATTATCTCTGATTCCAGCCACTGCATTATGATAACAGAGAAACTCAGATTATTCTTTTTAACAAAAAAAAAAAGGCCACAGATAAAGTATTAGAATACCAATCATACTACTCAAGTGGATCAATTTCAGGATTAAGAAAGATCGTGATCCATTTTTACATATTATCCATATTTTAGAAATGTATTTCTTCAGATGCCTTTCTTTTTTGTACACGGTATCATACTTAATCAAGACTACCCAACAGATCATGTTGTGCATCATGCTTTTCAAGATTGCAGAACATACTAATTAACCATTCTCCACAAATAAAAATAAGCACATATATCTACATAAATATATACATGATAACCCTGGTTTAAAAGAAAGATAATTACATCTTTGACTCTGACTGCCTGGATTGCCATTGCCTTTTCTTGTATATCTCCCTGCAGCAACAAATTAATCTTCTAAATATGTTTCCAAATAATATTTGAAAGAAAAAATTGATAAACATCGCATAATATATGAAAATGTGATAAATTAAAAGTGAAAATTACCACAGTCAGCCGCTTTATAAGTCCAAACTTTATGCTCTGGCGCAGACGCTTGCATTCATCCTAATAGATCAAGTGACAGCATATTTTTAACAAGAAATAAGATTTAAATAAAATAATCAAAAACAAAATACTGGCCCAACAAGATTCCAAATTATAACAAGCTCATAACACTGCTGATATTGACACTTTATATTTTTTCCATGAAAAAGAGAAATAGGTTTTTATATCTACAAGCAAAATAAATAAATTAAACAAACCTCTATGTGTCTAAGCAACAGATTATGAAAATGTTTTAATAAACATGTATTTGAGAGATGTCAAAAAAGCAAAGCCTCAATATTTATAATCAGAATTTTCTTAAAGGTCATATTTACTTTAATCAGAGAAAAGGATACATAACTCTCTTCACCAAGAATGCAGACGGAAATCAACAAAAGGGAAAAATAAAATGTACTTCCACATTCAGCTAATAATTACCTCAGTGAACTCTTGATTTGATATAATATCAATTGAGATGACCTCTGTCTTATTTAAATTTAAAATCTCTAATAGAGAATCGGTTGTTCTTTTGCCAACTCTGTATGGTTCAGCAACTTTGCTTGTACCTGTACAGCAAATCATTGATGCGTTTAACAACCTTAAGGGATTTGATACTTATGTGATCAAGTCAAAAACATGCAAAGATAAACAGTTATCCAAGTATTACCAACAACTTGCACTAGCCTATACAAATCTTGCTTTTGACCGGCACCAGATATTCTTATTCTCACAAAAGACCCAACAACTTTGTCATGGAATGTTTCAGTATCTTCGAGCAAATCTTCCACCAAATTTCGTCGCAAATAAATTAGATTGATATTATGCATATCAATGGCAGCATAATCATCTAAATTTGATTGAAGTCCCCTTGCATCACCCTTTTTACGTGTTTTACGTTTCTTATCTTTTCCAGTCCTTGTTAAAGCATCAGAGTTCCAATCAGCCTCTAGTTGATTAGCTTCAGCATCAACAACACTCCCTTGAAGATCATCTGTCTGAGAATCCTCCTTTGTGAAAAAAATGTGAGGGTCAAGAAGATTTAACATTTCAATATGCCCCACTCTTGGTTTCCCAAACAGATTCTTAAGCCTTGAGTCACAAATGACATAAGACTTACTGCAACGATCTCGAAGTTTGTGCTTTTGAATATAATCCAGTATAAGTTGACTTAGTTCCATTCGAGATAAAACAGATTTGCCACCATTTCTCATGTGCATGACAACTTCCAAGAGCTCTTTTGATGCCCACTCAGCACTTTCATTTGTAGATGCCCCTTCACCACTAGCTGTGCTTGCTGAAACACCCTCCCTTGCACGTGACTTTGATTGACTCCTAGTCTTTCTTCGTTTAGAAACAGTTAATTCCACATTCCTAGAAGAACTATCTGAGTCAGTCCCTCCCCCATCATTAAAACCATGAAGTTCATTAGGTGATTCCAGTTTAGCAGCACCTTTCCAGGGATTTTTAGCCTTAGCAAGTTCATCGGAAGTTATTGATAATCTCCTTTTTAAATCAATCCAGTAATCCTTGAATAGATATTCCCAGCTACATTTGTCATCAAAATCTACTTGTGCCTGCAAAAGTAACAAAAAAAATATAATGGAGAACTACAAAAAAGAGAATTTCCAACAATTGACAGCACAAGAGAGAGATATCTGTGACAATAAAGCAACTAATACAGAGCCCTAAAACCCCAACAAGGAATGAATCAACATTCATATGTAAAAACAGCTATAAAATACTTAGCTATGACTGTTAAATTTATTTACTGAATTAAGCAGAAATATGGATGCGTGTTTCTTGATTTCCCTTTTAGCTCGGCATAGTATCTCTCAATCTGAAGAATATGATGTTCTCCAGTCTTGTCCACTTTCACTTACAAGGAACTTCAGAACTAAAAGCAGAAACCACTGAAGATTACAACTGAAAACAATGCCAGTAAGGACAAAAGGCTTGTAGAATTTCTTGAGACAGCATACAATTCAAATGCATTCGTTATTTGCCCTCAAAGATTATGAAACATTTATAGCCCAGAGTTATGCAATGAAGAACCATAGACTGTGAAACAAACTATAAATGAAAAGACGAATACTAGCAGTGAAGACAATAAAACCAAAATAAATCACACTATATAAAACAGCTCTAAAGAGATTGAATTAATTGAAGATATTTGCAGCGAACAAACTCATACCACCCGCCAACCACCCAGAGAAAAAAACAAGAGCTCAAGAATGAAATTATTATTTTGACACCATGTGAAGGTAGAAAGTTAACACTACAAATTGCCCTGTTACATATTAACTTACCACAAAATCATAAACCTATTAGCCCAAAAACCATCAAGAGAAACTAAAACTTCAAACAGAATTGCTATAGCAAGAGCAATCAAGAAAAGTGCAGACAACTATCAGATTTGCACTATCAATTAAAATCATGGAAGCATATCGCAAATACAAAAAGACAACAGTAGGAGAAATATATACTTAATGCGCATATAATTAAAAACAGAACAATCAAGATGTCGATATTTCAAAAAGAACAATTAAAGGAAGATGGCAAATTTAAAGAATAAGTACGTAAAAAATAAAAATGAAAGAATAGTATAATAATACCATTTCTCCATTTACCTGCTCATTCCTTTCAATCAACATGACAAGATTCATGCATGACTCACAGAGGCCTTTGTTACCCCTAACACATAGGATTACAGCATCTTTGATGCATCCCTTGCATAAGGAAAAGGTACAAGTGTAACACATATAATAGGCATTCTTCTTACAGTTGCTGCACAGATGCCAACCTAATTCAAAGAAAGAACATTAATCAAATTAGATAGAGATATAAAAGACAATATAATAAACAAGTTCTGAAAACATAATAATCAAAGTTGATAAATGAATATATATATATATATATTATATAAGCACGAGCATCCAAGAGAAAAATCAGACCACAGGTCAAGTAACATATATTATGCCTGCAACATTATAACAGAGTATCGGCAAACAAGCAGTCACATAAATACAGGCAAACAAGAAGAAAGTCATGAAAGCATATTCCAAGATTCCCCTGTGTATTTGCACCCATGCAACTTGAACAAGCAGATTTGCATTATCAAGGATTCTAAAACTTATTGAACCAGTCTATTACTTTCTTCAGACATTGAAAAAAGAAAAAATGTAGGGCAATTGTTTAGCAAATACAAGCTGCAACATTGGTATAACCTTGAACATACATATTTTGAAGACCCTCAGTATAAACATAGAATGTTCATCATTCTTAGACGATCCCAAAGTGTATAAACATAGGCACATTACATGTTTGACTCTCAGTAGACTACGCCTCAAAAGTTAGCTTATCTTACCCAATGTATCCTGAAATTAATATAACCAGTTCTGTCAAATGTCTTGGCTATTGCTCATTCAAGCCGAAATATATATGTTCCCTTCAATCCTTTTTCTTTCATTTCTTCACACAAAAAGTTATACTCCTCAGTCCTTTTTGCTTCGTCTCATGGTAATGAGCATTTAAAACTTACGCTTTCTTGGGGAAAAGGGCACTGCTTAAAGCTACAAAAGAAAAGAAAAGAAAATTTCTAAGAAAAAGTAAGACCTTAATCCAAAAGATTTGCCCAGGGCTTGCAAAACAGTAGCCTCTAGTCCCATAATCAATTGACACAAGTTACTGAAATTTTAAGTTCTTATTCCTTTCTATGCATGTTCACCATATACTAACAGTTTAAACAAACAAATGACATATTTCCTGTTGGCTCAAGTAAAGGGAATTTAGATCAGATCTATATTGCCATTTGTAAAGATAGCTATGTGTCATTCTCAGTCAACTTTACATAAGAAAAAAACTGACCCAAAGTCCAATTCAGCATCCCATTACATTCCATGTGAAATTTGAACAGTACTTAGCAGCAAGACATTCACAACTTTAAAGATGCCAAACATATAATTAGTTGGACCCAAATGCACGTTTAGCATGCAAGTGCATCTCTGCCACTTATACATGAAACTCAATCATTTTGCAGGTTCCATAACTGATGCTATCTCTTCCCGACCACTTATAAGTCAAAGCACAGCAGTTTCATAGTTCCATGCTTATGTCTATACAAAAAAGCTGCTAACCAAAATGCTCTCACACTCTTGACAAGGTGTTTTACATATATAAACACTGAGAGTCACTTGAAAGCTCCGCTTCTGAGATCTTGAATTGAATTTTTCATAAGCCAAGGGTATCTAATGACTAAGAGGCGATCACATTCCAAGATAATAATTACAACTTGCAGTTTCACTAGAAATCCCAGCATTGCCAGTAGCCATTGCCTTGAATTGGGATGATAGATGAACCCTAGTTACTGCAGAAAGATGCCAAACTTCAAATGTTCTTTTGAGAAACATTAAACCAATTTGAGGAGCATGCAAAACTTAAATGGTGTGCAGGGAAAACTGAATATTGAACTTCCTGTGCCTTCAGAAAAGCCCACTCCAGCAAGCTTCACTATCATGAAAATCAAACCTTTTGCAAAGAAAAGAAGTAACAAGTTCAATAATGATGCAATTAAATAATAAAAGAGAAAGGGATGTCACGGTTCAAAGATTTAGGTGCTCATGTTCTCAAATCTGGATCAGCCAAAATACCAAACATCAATCTTTTCCCCTAAATTGCAAAAAACCTAATCATCGGCACATGGTACACTCATAATACAAGATAAAATAGCACTACTATAACAGACAACATATCCCATTTCATATTTCAAAAGGCCTCAAAAATAAAACTCAGATATTAAAAGTTAAAGAGGGCACACAGAAATAAAGCAACTTACCACAATTCCATTTACCCTTAGCTCGAAAGAATGCCTCATCTCGACCAACACAAGTAGTGTGGTAAGCCTTAGGACAGCCCCTAAGGAGGAAAAAAAACATAATGCATAATATTAGGACAGTGAATACACAAGATCACACTGGCATGAGAACGGCTTTGGTAGCCTCACCTGCGGTCACAAAGAAAAAGGTCACCACCATCAAAGCAAATGAAACAGACATCCTCTTCCATCTTCTTCCTCGATGGGGCTTTTGCCAGAACCTTAGAATTCAAATTCTTTCCCCGCTTCCGCTTGCCACCACTGGCTTTACTACCATCTTCTATCTCCTCTGCACCCTCCATCTCCTCTGCTGCCTCACTTTCTAATTCCTCCGTCATGTCGAGCGTCTCAATATCCTCTGCTGCATCTCCCATCTCTGTCTCTGTCCCTTCAGCTTTCTCAATATCCTCTACTACATTTCCCGACTCTGTATCTTCTGCCATCTCTGATTCCTCTTCCATCACTGTGTCCTTCGCCACCTCAGCCATATCCGTACCTGCTTCCCTCAGTGCATTAATATCGTCCCAATTGTCAGTTTGCTCAGACACATTAAGCACCAATTTTTCTTCCAAAATTTCACTTTTCTCAACCATGTCAGTAACCCCTGTTTCTTCCGCAACCCCAGTTCGTTCTGCAAGATCAACCACCAGTTTCTCCACCAGCAATTCCCTTTTCTCAGCCATGTTATCCACCCCTGTTTTTTCCAGAACCCCAGTTTGCTCCACCTCATTATCCACCTGTTTCTCCACATGCTTTTCCCTTTTCAAAGCCTCGTTAGCCACCTCTCTTTCCTCCATAAACCCAGTTTTCTTCATCACATTAGCCACGCCTATTTCCTCCATAACCACAATTTGCTCAGTTAAATCATCTATCTCTGCTGCCTTGGCAATTCCTTCTTCCTCTGCGACGTGAGCCACGCCAGTTTCTTCCTTAACCAGAATTTTCTCAGTCACACCATCCACCTCTGCCGCGTCGGCGATCCCTCTTTCCTCCGACACGTCAGCCACCTCTTTCTCCTCTGGAATATCTATTTGGTCTAGAACATAATCCACCATCTTTTGCTTCTTCAAATTTCCCGCTTCCTCAGCCAACTCAGCAACTTGTCGGTCCGCCACAGCCACCTCAATCACTGCCGCCGTTTCTCTTTCATCCGATACGTCAGCCTCCTCCATTTCCTCCATCACGTCATCTTTCTCCTCTGTCACGTGGCTCTCCTCTCTGTCAGCCACGCCCTCATCTTCCTTATTACCATCAATCGAAGACGAAGCTCTTATTTCATCACCAGCATCCAACATCTCGTGCTTCTCCTCTCCAGCGATCAAATCCTCGCCGCCCTCTCCATCACCGACCGCTGCCTCCAGTTCCCGCTCTGGAAGCACCTGCACATCAACAATTCCCTTGCCCTCACCTTCTTCCTCCTTTTCAGCAACAGGAGATGACGCTGATAATGCAGGTGGTCCCGACTCGTCCAACCCAGCAACGGACTCAAGCTCGCAATGTGACCCAGTGCTTTCATGCAGTAACTCGGAGGCCGTAGCTGTAGTCGTCGGCTTATCTTCCAATCGAAGAGAAGACTCAACGTTAGAGGCGTAGCCAGGCTCTTCTTCCTCGGTATCCATAGAAGAAAAAAATTGGAAAATTAAAATCGAGGGAAACCCTAGAGATTGAAAGCCCTAGGGCTTTGAATTCGGGGTAAAAATTTCGGGCGTCATTTTGTGTTTTATACAATATTTTTATTTTGCGAAATAAAAGAATCAAAGAGAGAGAGAGAGAGAGAGAGAGAAAGACAGGGGGAACAGAGACGGTGTCGTTTACAGAGAGGAAAACACTAACCTAAGGAGAGAGAGTTCTATTTTGTTGGTGAGTGAGCGAATGACGATTATGTCCTAAAGTGCGATAATGTAATGACGAATCTAAGCTCCTGGGCCCTCGGCTTTGTTGGACTCACTCCTCTCCGCCAGAGGTTATACAGTAATTACGGGTCATTGATGTAATAAATCTTTGACTTCGCTTTGGGCCTTTCGATGGCCGTGATTGTTGGGTGGGCCTTACAACTGTTTTCCCTTCTTAGGCTTTCTTGTTTGGGTTATCCAAATCCGTCTCAAAAGGATCTGTGGAGATTGCCCGTAGATTTGTGGTGAACGAACTCGCTGCCAATCGTGGGACGACTCATTGTAAAAGTTATAGGAGCTTTAAGTTCCTCATCCCACATTTATTTAAGAGAGCTTTGCCCCCAAAACATGACCGATAATGGCCACATCCTCCAAGTACCTAAAGGCTTGGAATTCAAGCATATATACATAAATTTCAATACGATGCCTAGCAACATCCTGATGCGTTCCATTAACAGCTACCTCAACACTAGCATATGATAGAGGTCACTGGGGAAGCATTCTGCTTTCAAAGCTTGAAACAATTAGCGGAGGATTTAATACATCAAGGGAAAATCACATGGATCAACAAGCGGATTTTGGTAGTAATAAATCTTTTAATCCAAACAAAAATGAAGTTCTAATGAAAATAAAATATATGCTTAACACCAACTCCACAAATTGCTAGGCTAAAATCCAAAAGTCTATCTGGTTCCAACTTCCAAACCTTCAATCATAAGCAAAGCATAATGCTAATATAAATCGTTGCCACTGACATAGGCTGCATCATCAGTACCTCCGAGGATAGCGGTCCAAATATCTCCCAGAAGGACACTCATATGCCATGTGTCCTCTTCCACCACAGTTATGGCAGATCATCAGAGGGCCCATGCAATCTCGGCTCATATGACCAAGCTGATGGCAGTTTCGGCACACAATGTCTCGATGGTCTCGGTAACCACCACTACGACCACCACCACCTCGACCTCCTATAATGTTAGCTTTTGGGCAATGCCTAGCCATATGTCCAGCTACATTGCACAAGTTGCAGATCGGATCATTTGCACAATCACGTGCCAAGTGACCTTGCCTCCTACAGTTGTTGCATGCCTTGCCATTTGTACAGTCAGCAGCAATATGACCAGACTTATAGCAGTTATTGCATAACCTCACATCCCCAGGTGGCATTGGGGGTGCTGTGCAGTCTCTGGCCCGGTGTCCAGCCTTCCCACAGGTGTGGCAGATTCCCTCATTGGGACAGTCACTAGCAGTGTGGCCAGGTTCACGACAATTCCAGCATAGAGCCTTGGTTGTGCATTCTGAAGCAATGTGCCTGTTTAATAGTTCCTGCACAGTTATAACAGCTCCACATCTACAGCAAGACTATGAAAATAAAAGAAGCATAGACTATGAGATTACTCACAAAAAGAGAGATGACAAAGAATTAACATATAGTATCGGAACTTCCCAAATTAGACCTAGTATATTTGCTTCAAGAACTCATTCCAAGAATGGAAAAAAAATAAACAAAAGAAGCAGGAAAAAGTTTTATCCAAAGTATAAAGCACAAAAACAAAGGAATTTGAAATATGCAGCATGCAAGTGCAGCATAAAGACTAGCCAAAGAACTACTATTGACAAAAAAACATGTTTAAACAAAACAATACCCACATCTCTTTTGGACACCTTGAAAATAATGGGTTAACTAAACAAAAGAACAAGAAACTTCAATTAACTCAAAAGATCTATCAGATCCAGCTTTAACTACGGGGAGACAAAAAGGTTCCTTACCCAGGAAGATTACAATTGTGACAAATTGCCACGTTAGGGCACTCTCTAGCATAGTGACCTGGTCGTTTGCAGTTCTTGCATAGATTGTTTTGGCTGGAAAGAAAAAAGAAACAGGGTTAATATTCCAAAGATTGTTAGATCACTATTCTTCAAGGAAATTCTAGTAGACAAAAACAAAAGGTATCTATGCACAAAAAAAGGAAAGGAAAAGTGGGCAAAATATTAAGGAAAAATTGTTAGACATATCCATGCAGAAGCCAGGTCATTACTGAACTTTCTGGCACATCCCAGTAGAAAGCGATAAAACTTTTTCCATTCACTAAACCTCTTAAGGAAATGAGTCCAGAAAAGCCTAACCTCAACCCATACATACTGAAAAACTACTGACATAAAATATCATAAGATCACATGATAAAAGCCACATAAATATAATAAAGAATACCCTACTTCTGTGCAGTAATTTTGTAGCAAACACTCCAGTGCAAAGAAATATAGATCCAGGGACTTCAAAATATCTTCTTAATCATCATCTTGCTTAAGCATAAGACAATAATCATGTTATAGGTTCCTTTTCAGTGTGAAACTGAGGGACAAACCCAAAATGTTTTCATTCAACCACTATGACTTCAAACACTTGAGAAACATGTGTTATTTTATTGGTAAAACCAAGTAAATTCCCATAAAAAAAAGCTCAGACTGAAAAATGACTTGCAAACCCATTTACTTCTCCATGGAATTACCACGTTCAATGTTCTTTAAATATTTATATTACAACCATAAAGAAAAAGGAAAACTTTCTAAGAATTATATATTTACATATTTGTCCTCAGGCCACTTAACTAGCTGACAAAAGAAAATTAACTAAATGATTGAAAATTAGAAAACCTGAAAACCCGACGAGATTCCGTCCTGTAGGGTGCATTACGGTAAGAAAAGTGATCAGATCGGATCTTACGATCCATGGGGGTCCGGCTCCTGCTCCTGCTGACTGAACTCATGTTCAAACTTATGTTTATCAACACCTACCACCACCGATCAGCAAAAACACCAACTCAACCAACACACTAACAGCTGCTGCCTCCTCCCTGTCCACAGTACAACCACACACCCATGATCATCCATGAGCCATATCAAGCCTCTCATTCCCTCCAAAATATAAACACCAAATCCCAACTGTAAAACACATAACAGTCAACAAGCAATCCATCTTATATCAATTACAAGCCACTCAAGTGAGCACCAATTTCTTGATGATCCCACGCCTCAATGAAATTCCTCGAGAAAAATTCAACCATCTCTTGCAAATAGTCATCACCCCAGTAGACATCAGGCCCAGAAACTCATGAACAAACACATAAACTCCAATTCACAGCCGTCCATCTGTGCTACTGCTACACGGACAAAGATAATCGGACAGAATCCAAGAGATGATTAAGACAGAAAAAAAAATGGAAGCAATAGCATTAACTATGAAAAAAAGGAATGGCCGATTGAAGAAGAGCTTCTCCGTTGCCAAAGGAAACAGTTGTAGCTCAAAACAGAAAATAAGTAGAATAAAGTGAACATATAAGATAGCAAAATCCAATTGGAAACATGGTCTAGATTTCTCTCTAAGACTTTCAACTTTAATTGTAACAAAATAACTTAAAAGTGATACAACAATTCAAATTTTGTAAAGAGGGGATTATTGGAACTATCTAGGTGGTTGGAAAGCCAAAAAAAAAAAAACTCAGTTTATTAGTTTGCACAGGAGATATTCTGTATAAGAACCATGTTACAAACTACAAAATTCCATTTCCCGGTTTAAGAATCACCGCTGAACTGCCTACTCATTTACCTTCATAGTTTAAAATTATGTCTCATCAGGACTCCCTTTTCTTCCCCAAAAGGACTCCAAACCCAGCAACAGATGCCCTCTTCTCAATATATAATATGAGAAGCTTAAGCCTTTTTTTTTTTTTTTCAAAAAGCTGGAAGAAGAGACGATTGACACAATCTATTTTAAATAAGTCAGTGCCGTAGTAACATCCTGCATTTTGTAAATTGTAACCTGCGCTTAATTGCAAAGACGGTTACACACCAAATCGTGGCCTGCCATTTCCCTTCAATCATAACCATTAACAAACAAAACGATTCAGGCACATTTGCCATCAATCATCATATCCAACCAAGCAAAAAGAATTCAAATGTATTTCAAACCTTAGAAAAAAGAAAAAGAAAAAAAGCTAACAGAAATCAACTAAAAGACACTACAACGCAAGTCCAATAACAATTCATGGAAACAATAACTTTGTTAACGTATAACCTGCTCCCACAGCAATAAGAGTGACGCAGGGGGCCTAGCATTTGTTTTCCTCTCTTTTTTGCTCTCTAATTCTCTCTTCGTTGTCCGAATTTGCATGAAGAATAAAACAATACTAACCAATTATCGCAGAAACAAACAATTCAACCTCTAGAATCAATGATTTAATACAAAAACTGAAGATATAAATTAAAGTTCAGATTCTAACGACAAACCAACGAAGAAAACCCTAATTACCGGATCCAGAACAAAATTAATCGAAATTGAAAAGATAAGGCAAGAACAACCCTAACCCTAGCAGAAGGAACAAAAGCGAAAATTAAATATTAGAATCTAAGGAATATAAAAAAAAAAAAAAGTACGAACCTGACGCTACTGGCCGCAGTCTAACCTTCTGTAAAAGATACGGCCGAGAAGGAAGGCATAAAAAATTAAAAATTTAAAAAAAAAAAAAGTGAAAAAGGCAAGCCGTACGGACCACCCCAAGTTCGTTTACGGCGTGAGAGAAGGATTTGGATTTTTGAGGGGGAAGAGCAATGGCTAATAATCGTGCTTCTGAAGCGAAGGGTAGAGGCAGGATCCGGTTATAGAAAGTAGTCGGAAGTTATTGGGTCCGACAACTTCAATCCTCCTCGAGCATTGGGCTGATGAGTTAAACGGATGTCTGTGTGACTGTGTCTTCAGCCGCGAGGCCCAAACTTGATTCAGAGGAGAGGCTTTTCTCCAGTCTCACCAAGAATATTTTTGTTGAAATAAATCAATATATATCAAATTTATTTTATTATGCTAAAAGTAGAGTTTTTTAATTTTATAAGTGAAATTAAAATAATAATATAATTTTTTAAATATATACTAAAAATATATATGTCATCATTTTAATTTTACTTGTGAAATTAAAAAATTTGTTAATTTATTTGATAATTTATCATATATATATATATATAAATAAAAAAGCTTCAATTTTATGATAATTGAAAGTTTCATAAAGTTTTTCTTTAAAAAAAATGAAAAGGCCAGATTTAACATAAATTAAAATTGTTACTATGCACATGAGTATTTAATTTAATTAGTTTGTACGGTTATTTTAAAAATATATATTTAATAAATTTATAATTTAAATATTAATTTTTGTTTTTTTTTTATTCTTAAATTACAAATTTTTTTGTGAAAAAAATATTACTATTTTTTATGGCGTGGTATTAAATTACAAGACTAATAACATACACTCAAATAAAAAGAAAAAAAAAATAGACTAATAGCATATTTGCCAAATCCCAATGATTTTGGGTAGAAAAATGAGCATACGAATTTCAAATTCTTTATTAGTTTTGATTGCAATATATGTTAACAGTTTAAAAACTCCACCAAAATAAGTGAGTTATCCTAACTAATTCATATTAACAAGTTGGTTTTGATTAGCTAGTTACTATCTATATTTGAAACATTTTTGGTGAATAAATCAAAATATTTGAATAAAAAATTATCCAATACATTCTCAGTATTTAAAATTCAAATTATCCATTATTCTAGGTAAATTTGTATTTATTTCAATGAACCATTAATTCTTTCCTTAATTATCACAACTTTCCTCTCATTTTCAACAAAAATCTTGAAAAAATTATCCAAACAAGGCTTTAAAGTGGTCAACTTCGAATAAATTTAATAATTTAAAATATAATAAAATAACACTATAATAAAATTAAAATATATATTTTATATTTTTATATTAATATAAATTATGATACATAATTTTCATTTAAAATTATACTATATGAATATATAAATTACCATGTCTAATTTCAATAACCATTAAAGCCTTTGTGTGATACCAACATTCTTCAACCTAAAAGTAGAACAAATAGCAACCCTTGCTTCAGCTTCTTCACTTTTTGTTTAAACCAAAGGATAAAGGGTACCCCACAGGCCCACACCAAAACGACCCCTCCTGGCTGCCTCGATCGCTTTTGCCCTTTTGGTTTACAAAACAAATTGTGCACTCACATTTTGTGACGCATGTGAACTTCACTGACAAAACCCAAATTAGTGTCGGCGCTTCTTCGCTTTCCCCTTCACTCACGCTCTTCCTCGTGACTCGTCGTTTAAACTATACTTCCTACTTATAGTAATACTAATAATATTTCCCGATATAAATCGAACCAAAAGGGAAGAACCACACCCCTTACTCAAAGCCCCAACGCAATGAAAGTGATGAAACTCTCCTCTCTTCTTCATAAACTTCTTCTTTTCATTTCCCTTCTTCTTTTTACAGGATTCTTCCCTTTGGTTCAATCCAGCTACCACGACTACTCTGACGCATTGTCGAAATCAATTATGTTTTTTGAAGGGCAGCGTTCGGGTTTTTTGCCACAAGACCAACGTATAGGATGGAGGGCCAATTCAGGATTGAGTGATGGGTGGATGTACAACACGGACTTAACCGGTGGGTACTATGATGCTGGTGACAATGTTAAGTTCGGGTTCCCTATGGCTTTCACGACGACAATGTTGGCCTGGAGCGTGATTGAGTTTGGAGATTTAATGCCGCCGAATGAGCTGAGAAATGCTCTTGTGGCAATTCGTTGGGCCACTGATTATTTGCTTAAAACTGTCTCTCAGCCTAACCGAATTTTTGTTCAGGTATTATTAATTAGCAATTTTATGGTTACTTTTTTGGTACTGCTCAGTGCTCAGTGCTCTGCCAGTAGAAGCGGTAGCGGTGGCTTTTTCATTTCTGTGATTTTCTGAATTGGGAAACTTCGGTTCATTGCTGTAGGCTTCCAGTTGAACTAATCCATGACTGGGTAAAAACGTGGCTAGTGGCTCTACTCCATTGTTGTCGTTTACTAAACAAATTTTGCCCTGAAAATCTTACTTTTGATTCTTGGGATGCGCATTTGGCAGCGCCAACTGCTCTGGAAATATTAGATGGGAGCTGGTAATGTCTGTAGAAAGGAAAAACCAAATCCATAATATGGGATCCAAGAATTCTCCTCTCTCGCAATAAACCTTTCTTTGTTTTTTTGTTTCCTTACAGTCTTAAGTCAGCTTTCACTCCTTAAATCGAAGGACTGAAAGTAACAGGGCATGTTTAGTCAATCGTTAATGCAAAAACTAATGCTTATTTTTAAAATGTTAAAAGTGTAATTAAGGTTTGACGCTTGTTGGCTCGACCAATTTTTCCTTCTGACAAACTAGTCACGTGAAGCTGGAATCTGGACCATATTCTTTTTTCTTCTTAAAAAATTGCATGGGTTAAGTTACCGTCCCCATCGACCTAAACTTTATGTTTCCATATAGATAGGGTATGTCTCTGTTGCTTGTTTGATCTCCCACCCGCTCATTTTGCACGCAATGAACATTCCCCAACAATGGTCTAATGTTAATTATCTTAGTATCTTGGTGTTAATAGGTTTTTTATTGATTTGCCATTTAGGTTGGGGATCCAAGTATAGATCATAGCTGCTGGGAAAGACCAGAAGATATGGACACGGCCAGGACTGTTTACGCCGTGGATGCACCAAACCCAGCTTCTGACGTGGCCGGTGAGACGGCGGCCGCTCTTGCAGCTTCGTCCATGGCGTTCAGATCAGTAGACCCAGGGTATGCGGAGACATTGTTGCGGAATGCTGTTCAGGTTTTCCAGTTTGCTGACAATTTTAGAGGTGCTTATAGTGACAATTCCAATATTAGAGACGGTGTCTGCCCATTTTACTGTGATTTCAGCGGGTATCAAGTAAGTAAAAGTTGTAATAGAAATGGGTTTAACATATTTTATATGGTTTAATTCAATTTGATTGGGCTTTTTTTGGAGGTCAGGATGAATTGCTTTGGGGAGCAGCATGGTTACGGAGAGCCTCTCGAGACAACTCTTACCTTAGTTACATAGAAAACAACAGCAAAACCCTTGGTGCTGATGACAACATTAATGAATTTGGATGGGACAACAAGCATGCTGGTCTAAACGTGCTTGTCTCCAAGGTCAAAACTCGTTTAATTTCCTTATCTTCCAAGCATTTAATTGCTTGCCTTTTCTGATAGTTGACTTTGGTCCCTGTTTTCAGGAAGTGTTGGAAGGAAATATCTACTCTCTACAATCATACAAAGCCTCAGCTGATAGCTTCATGTGCACATTAATCCCTGATTCATCTTCGTCCCACATCGAGTACACCCCTGGTGGCCTCATCTACAAGCCTGGAGGCAGCAATTTGCAACATGCAACAACAATTTCATTCCTCCTCGTCGTTTATGCTAAATACCTTGATCGTACCTCACAAACAGTCAACTGCGGGAACCAAGTTATCGGCCCGGTTTCTCTTCGGATTCAGGCAAAGAAGCAAGTTGATTACATTTTAGGTGACAATCCGATGGGATTATCGTATATTGTCGGTTATAGCAACAATTTCCCACAACGGATTCATCATCGTGGCTCATCTTTACCGTCGGTAAAAGATCATCCTGAATTCATCGCTTGCAAGGAGGGTTCGATTTATTTTAATTCAACGAATCCTAATCCAAATGTTTTAATTGGTGCTATAGTTGGAGGACCTGGAGAAGATGATGCCTATGGCGACGATAGAGCTGATTTTAGGAAGTCAGAGCCAACTACTTACATTAATGCACCACTTGTTGGTGTAGCAGCCTATTTTGCAGCTAATCCCAATCCTAGCTAGCACAAAAACAACTTGCTTTTGTACATAGTCAATGAAAACTTGCTTTTGTACATAGTCAATGAATTTTTTTTTAATTTTTTATTAACAAAGCACTTATAAAAGAAAATAAAAATGATGAGAATTAGAATCTACGTTGATATACTTCTTCAAAACCTCTTAACTAGTAAACCGGTGGAAGCCCCTTTTTTTCTCGATTTTGATAGTAGGAAATGGTGTCTCTCATCTTGAATAAAGTAAAAGAGTGAAGAGGCCAATTAGTTCATGACTTTTTTTTTTTTTTTTAATATAGAATCAGAAGAACTCCTTGTGACTTTAGAAATAAAGGGAATTCAAGAGCTTTTCTTAAAGGCGTAAAATCCCAATATAATTTACCTTTAAATTTTATCAATCAGAATGTTTATTCCATAACTTTTTATTTTACGTAAAGTATACATGAAATTAATGTTAGCAATTAGCATGTTATGCTTTATATTTGCCAATTAGAAATGGGATGTGCTGGTTAAGAGTAAGACCATGGACCACATAATTACCATGCGATGCAAATTTTATAAGATATTTAGAATTCATTTATATAGATGATAAGATAAAATTGAAAACATAAGAATTACCATAACTACGATTTAAAAAAAATTTAAAAAAATTTATATTATATGAATCTTATTAAAATTATCATTTGAAATCAATTGATATTATTATAAATTCAACTACATCATAATAAAGATACGATAAATTTAAATTTTCACTTAAAAAACATTAAAGATCTTTCAAATGTCATTTTCAATTCAATCTCTTTTTATTAAAATAAAATATTTAATAAAAAAATTACTTCGTATCAAAATTATAACATATTATAAAATTTAATGAAAATTAAAATTAAATTTATAAAACGTCCACACTGTTGATAACAAAAATTAAATCTATAATTTACAAATCAAATTTTATTCTTATTATTCATATTTATGTTTTCCAACAGTCACCAATTTTATTAAATTGTCTCACGCTCATCCTCGCCGGCAACCACCGTACATCGGTCACCGCAGATTCTTGCCTTCCTCATTATTATATCACTTTTTCGGCGGCGAAGCTTAATTATAGGCCGATCCGGGTTATTAAACAAACGCGTGATGCTGTCGGAACATCCGTGACAATATAACCTAATTTTGTTATAACTGGCAGTACCAAATTTTCAATAACGCGATAATGTTGGTTAGGGATAACTTTAGAAATGCCTTCTTTTTTCTTTTTTTTAATGTTAACCATCGTATATATGAATATTCCAAGCGAAGAATTTTGTTGTAAGCGACAAGTTGCAATTACTTTTTAAAATTTTTTTAAATGTCTTAAAATTATTATTTTTAATTTTTTAACATTAAAAACCATAAAATTTTAATATTAAATATATTAAAATTAATTTTTTTTTTAACTTTGTAAAAGTTAATATAAGACAAATAAATAAAAATAAAAAGACTATTTTTCGTTGAACAAGGGTTCAATTAATTAAAGTCTATTTTCATTCAAGGTTAGATTAAGTTGAAAGCCGCTATCCATCGATAATGCCTTTAGACTTTATCTTAAGCCTTGACTACCCCTCGTAGACGAACCTTGAAGGAATCTTTAGGTTTTCAAGGCATTGGTTTTCATCAATCTTTGTGTTATTAATTTTTATTTTAATAATTAGTATTTAATTTTTTATAATTTTAAATATATGTATAAAATATGTTAATTTAATATGTTATTTATTTATTTTTAATAAAAATTTAAAGATAGATGAGTTGTTTAATCTCATAGGTCAATATAAGATATATTATATCTGACAGTTAAAGACAAGTGATTGTAAATAATGAATTCGAGATGATCCCAATAAATAATCACCAACAGAATTCAAATCAAAAATCTCTTCATAAAAAATAACGATCTTGATCGATTGAATTAATCACTTATTAATTTATTTATTTATATAATTACAATTGAAATCTAATTTTTGTTTATTCATAAAAATCATGGTCACGTAACCAATTTTATATATGCTCAATTTTTTGTTCTGGGAATGTATTTTTTTAAGAAAGTGAAATCAGATAGCTAATTGAAGACTATGGGAAGATTTAAAGGATGTTGATGAAGAAGTGAAGATGACAAGATAATGCTTAAGAATTAAGAACACAATTTAAAATGGTGGTTTCCCACGTATGGGCTTCACCATGTTTCTAAATTTCCAACAGCAAAGGCCTTGGTTATATGACAAGTATGGATCCGGGATGGGCACCTAGAGTGAAAGCCCAACCCACTAGCTCTAGCTTATGACCTTCATTGGGCTTTTATCTGTTCGATGAGGTACAACTCATGCTGGTTCATAATTATCTAATATACATATTATATTACAACGTATAATGTTATATGAGAAAAATTATTTATGTGAATATTTAAATAGATAATCTATTTTAATGACACATTAGATAATACTTATATTATTTTATTTGTCAAATAAATTTTTTAATAAATTATTTAAATTAAATATTTTGGATAATATTTTAAATTGAAATCAAAATCTATTTGATATTGAAATTTTTACATAAAATTTGAATTCAAATAAATTAAATCATAATTTATCTTTTTTTTTATTTAATGGCAATTTCAAATATATATACTTAATAAACTTTTTTTTTGTTAAATAAATTTATTTAATTATTTATTTAAATTTAATATTTTTAGATAATTATTTAAATTGAAATCAAAATCTATCAAAGATTGAAAATTATTTAATAGATTATTTAAATTTAATAATTTTAGATAAGTTAATGAATTATTGATTAGCATGTACTTTTAAAGTAATAAAAGCTTACATCTTTACATGAAAATATAAGACATTTGAATGTTGATAAAAAAATTAGATAAAAATATGTTTTTACTTTAAAAACAAATATAATGTTTTATTAATATTCTAATTCAAATATTTTTATATTATATATTATGTTAATTTATTTGTTTCTCTTTAGCCCGTGACTTTTTTTTTTATTTTGCATAGATAGATTATAATTAACTTTTTGCATTATATATATTTTTGTTTTATTCATTTCTTCAATGTTAATATTTTCTATTAATTTATTAACCTATTTGCTCTTATTATTGTGTATCTTTAATATTGACAAATTAATATGTAAATTTATATTCTTTGTTTCCTTTTGCTATACCTTTTATTATTGAATTTCATTGTCTATAATTGATGGTATGAGAATAATGATGATCATTACCATATCTAGCCTACAATAAATGCTATCAATTATGTTAAAAATGATTAAAACTAAAAAAAATATTTCAAAAAAAGTTTTTAAGTATAACATAAAGAATCATTTTTTCATTTTATCTAAAAAATTACTTAATTTTGTTGACATATATAAAAATAATTGTTAGCCTTATATATTTGTGTAATAATTACTTGAAGTATGTCAAAAATATAAACTAATAAAAAGAAAATGGTTATAGTCAAATTAATAATTGTGATTTATTGTTCAATCATATATATATATATATATATATATATATATATATACATATACACCCAATCAATATTATGATAAAAATAATTATTAATCTTAACTATTTAAATATTGATTATTGATTTTTTATCCCAAAAAAAAATCATAACAAAATTTTTAGTATTTAGCAAATGAATTGAAGAAAATATTTTTTTTATGAAAAATAAAGGATTTTTATAATTCTTGAAAATTTACAAAAATTTATACTTCTTTTAGATGAACAGTATAATTTATAATATATTATATAAAAATTATTATTTAATTATAACTTAACATTTATAAATGTATAATTATATATTAAATCAATAATTATAAAATAAATTATAAAATTATAAAAAAATTAATAAAAAATCTCGTGCATTGCACATGTTAAAAAAGCTAGTTAAATGATATAATAACACTTTCTAGGGTTTCTCATGCTTTCATCTCTCTTTATTTTTTATATGGGATGATACTTCATTTGATCTTAAAACTATTATAAATTTTAATGTAATACTTGTTAAAAACTTTTTATAATTAAATATTTCAATTTTAATTTTGTATATTAAGTTATTTTAATCCATTCATATCATTAGAATAATATCAATGTAGCACTTAAATCTAAATGTGCATTACACGTGATTGTCATAAGACAGTGATGTAGATGCAATGTGATAATTTTGTTGTTGTGTCATTAGTAAAAATTAAAAATTAATTAAAATTTTTTTTCTTATAAATTATAGTTAATTTTTTTTTAAATAATATGTAATAGTCACATTTAAACCACGTGGTAATTATATTTTATTCATGTTAATATTTAAATATCACACTAGTATTATTTTAATGGTATTAAAGGTTAGAGTAATTAATATATGAAAATGTAATTTAGATACTTGATTAAATTTTTTTTATTTTAAATATCACATTAAAGAAAGTATAATAATTCGGAGGTTAAATGAAACACTATCTCTTTTTATAAACAAATAATAATACAAAAAAAAAAAAACATATCTTAAAATTTGAATCTTAAATTTATTATCACATTTAAATATTAGATTTGTTAATTTCTTCTTTTCAAAATTGCCAAAAGAAAATGAAGATTATATTTTATTTACATGAGTTTACAATTGAGATAAAAGTTTTGGATTATCATTCTACACATCATCAATATGTGTTTTTAGATTTTACAGGTTAAAATATTATTATATTTTTATTTATTAATTATTTTAAATTATACTTCAATATCTAAATCTATAGTCAAGATGTCCAAAATGTAGGCAAAATCAATATCCGTTGTAGTCTAGCTGGTTAGGATATTCGGCTCTCACCGGAAAGACCCGGGTTCAAGTCCCGGCAACGGAAAATTTTTACGACTAAAATTGTGTCGTTTTCTTCTCCCCTTTCTCTGTTCTTCCCGCTGATTCAACTCCCGGCAACGAAGTCGTTTTTTGTCCAAATAAACAAAAACAGTGTCGTTTTCTTTTCTCCCCTTTCTCTAATGTATCTTCTCGCTGATCCGCTCCCCTGCAAAGCCCCCGAAGATTGATAGCTCGTCATTTTTCTTTGCACGTTGCCTTGTTGAAACGCCACGTTTAGTCCATTCCCTCAAATTCAAGTCGTCTTCTTCTTCCGTGTCCTCTTAACTCCAGAATATAAAATGCCCCACTTTTCCTATTCTGCATTTTTGGGCTTGCAATTTTCTGAATGATTTTAATTTTGTACGTATATTTCTCATACTTTCAGTTTCTCTCTGTGTAAAGTTTCTTGCTTTCTTTTCCCATTTCATCAAAGTATCGAACTTCAATTTTTTTTTCTTGCTTTAGGGTTTATATTAATTATGGAAAGAATCCTTAAGTTTTTTTTTTTATTTGATATATGCAATATTTTAAGTTCTTGTTAGCCGTTTTGTTTTAATTTCAACATTATGGTAATTTAATTTAAGGTGTACTTTAATGGTTGATTTGAGAAGTTGCTTGATTACTATAATTTCTGCTCTTAAATGTTGTTATTTGGATCATGCCTTCTGTTCTTGGACAACAAGAAAGGAAGAAAAAAAAAAGAAATCCTTTTGGTTATACTTGTGTTGTTCTATATGAGGGATTCGCTTTGATACTATTTGGCAAGGGTTCTTTATAGAAGATTCCTGCAATGTTCTATAATCTGCTAGTTTGATGTGTTTTGCCTTCCTTAGTGGAACTGACTCTTTTTTTATTATTCTTAAATTGTTTATCTAGAATATGGTTAGATGAAGATTTATAGAGGGGATTCAGATTTGTGGTTTTTCAACGTGTCGTGGTTATGTGTTTACCATAGGATGAGTACATGCTTATCTGATGCCAATTTTTTATTCTGTAAACCAAATAATATTACCTGGTCGGCTTATTTGGTTTGTCTGATGTGTAAAATTCAACATTTGCCAAGTGGAAGTGTCGCAGTTGTTCTGCATTATGCTCCTGAAACGAGTTTCTTTGATTTGATGAAGTTGTACGATGTATAGCCTTGTCTTTCTTTCTGTTATTGACATTGTTTACAATTTTGTAGCTATGGATGTAGAAGGTAGTACAAGAGAAGGATCTGTTTCCTCTGTTATTCTTGAATCATTGGAATCGACACGGAAGGGAGATAAGCTTTCTGCTGAGGATTTGCCTTGGGTTGATTCCTGTCTGATTGCAGATACTGAAATTTTGAAAAGTAATTGGACTTCTTTCAAAGATGTTTTGCTAGAGATCATTGGTGACCAACTTGAGTTGCTTGACTCTCCTGCAACTGGAAGTGATGGTTTTGCTGGAGGAACTGTAATTACTGCCAATTACTTAGGTGGAACTGATCACGATCTTGTTGTCATTCCAATTAATGGTAACACTGTAAGAAACACCAATGGTATTCCAATCAAATGGACTGGTATTCGGTCGCCATTTTTTCAGGATGATTCCACTGAAACATTTCGGAGATATCCATTTCTGCCTACATACAACAAGGAGAAGAGTACGGATGGAGCTATTGATTTGGGACTTGGATTGAGTTTATCTGCAGCTGATACGAATTCATCAACAGTTGATATCTTCGGTGTCTGGGATTTGGACATTCCAGCTGAGGAAGATGATTTTATTAAACAGTTGTACGAGGCTATTGCAGAGATAGAGACTTCCTTTCAATCAATGCCATTGGCTTTTGATGATTTAATGGCATGGAAAGATTTGAATGATGAATCTGTAGACGAATTAATTGCTGGCATTGCAGATCTGTGTTTAGATACTATTAACTTTTAGTTAAGTTGTCTATCCATACTAGAATCTTGGCATATACATATGTAGATTTGTTATAATGCCAAGATCACAGACATTAACAATGAGGTAATAGGCGTTTGGTTGTTTCATTTGTTCAAGACGCCCTTTTGTTTTGCATAGGATTTGAAATAAGACCAAGTCATCACGTAGAATTGCGAGTGATTTAAACCCTGACCTTGGCTTAACTCTAAACGTGCCTTTATACGGCCAAGACAGCTTTGCTGGACATCACGTAGCCTTTTCATTGTAAATGCCATATCACTGTCTATTGAGATTGAGAACTCTCAGGGCAGCCTATTCATTCCTTTAGAATGAAAACCCAGTTTTTCTTTTAACAAGATCGAGCTCTGGCTACAATGGTGGGGATTGATTGGTCTACACAAATGATACTCAACATTACAACCACGATGGTTCTCAGTTCACCAGAGCAAAACAATACCTTTGGTGAATCTTTACAACAGATGATGGGTTTTCTCCATTAGCCATGCCGAACGATGGGGTCAACAAAATCAAAAGGGTACACCTGATGATACGGATTCACCTGGCCCACATGGCACTGAAAAATCTCAATGGACTAGATGACTTGGCATTCTGCCAACCGTCCGGCCTGGGGTTAATTCACAATTTCATCAAAACCCTTTACTTAAACCATGCCCATTAATCAGAACAAAATCAGAACCTCATGTTTACTTTCCGGACGAATCTCTCAAGCAGCTCTAATTTGGAAGTACAGCATAGTGAATGTGATGCATTTGTCTATACCCTTATGACATTAGAAGAATACGAAAAAAAAAATCTTGGTTTTTCAAAGCCCTATTATTTCAAATAATTTTTACGAGGTGAATATAAAGCCATCCATATCAACCACGCATGTAGCCTGCCAAATGTACAAAATTATCATCCACATGGCGCGATGACATTGGTCGATGCACGACAGCCTCAAATGTGACATCTTATGACTATAGACTAAACAACTATAAATCCAGTGAGTGAGATTTGCATATGTGGTAAAGGAAGGCCAAGATTGACGAGATAAGATTTTAGTGAAAAAGCCGACATCGTCTGCTTCAAGAGCTTCAGCGGTTAGCCAAAGAAAAGAGAGAAAAAAATGGCATCAGCTTCGGCAACTCTCCTCAAGTCTTCACCTATCCTTGATAAGTCTGAGTGGATTAAGGGCCAAAATCTCCGCCAGCCTTTAGTTTCTTTTGTCAGGTGCCACCCCACATCCCCATCGGTCTTCACCGTCCGTGCCAGTTCCTATGCCGATGAGCTTGTTCAGACCGCGGTATGTACTAAATGCTACTCCACTCTTCTTATAAAAATCCTCTGATTTTAGAGATAGAAGTAGAATTTTTATGTTTTAGCTCAGCCTAGTTAAAAGTGAAAGAGTCTAAACTATGTAAGACATCATTTGACGTGAGTTTGATTTCTTTCATTTGGATGTAGAAAACAATTGCATCCCCAGGTCGTGGTATTTTGGCCATGGATGAATCAAATGCTACATGTGGGAAGCGTCTGGCCTCAATTGGCCTAGAGAACACTGAGGCTAACCGCCAAGCATACCGTACACTTCTGGTGTCGGCCCCTGGCCTTGGCGAGTACATCTCTGGAGCTATACTTTTCGAGGAGACTCTCTACCAATCCACCACCGATGGAAAAAAGATGGTTGATGTTCTTGTTGAGCAAAAAATTGTCCCTGGTATCAAAGTTGACAAGGTAAAGCCAATAACAATTGACCATATAGCATCCACACATACATATCTCAAAGGAGGCTATAAAATTTGTTTGATCAGAATTGTACTAAGCACTAACACATGTAATTCAATGATGATTAAAAAAAAACAGGGTTTGGTTCCCCTCCCTGGTTCCAACAACGAGTCATGGTGCCAAGGTCTTGATGGTCTTTCCTCCCGCACAGCTGCCTACTACCAGCAGGGTGCTCGTTTCGCCAAATGGTACTCCCATTGTTGATAAATTCTCACTCATATTATACATTGCAAAAGAAACATCCTTATTTAACACTAGCTCTTTTTCATTGACCAGGCGTACTGTTGTGAGCATTCCCAATGGTCCATCTGCCTTGGCAGTTAAAGAAGCAGCTTGGGGTCTTGCCCGCTATGCCGCCATTTCTCAAGTAAGTCAACAGATCAGCAATAATTATGTATACGGTACTAGTTATATATATTTTTTCTACCACACAGTATGTTTGTGGATTGTTACTGAGAAAATTTTGTTGCTTTGTGTTGCAGGACAGTGGATTGGTCCCAATTGTAGAGCCAGAAATCTTGCTTGATGGTGAACATGGAATCGACAGCACTTTTGAAGTAGCTCAGAAGGTTTGGGCTGAGGTTTTCTTCTACCTTGCTGAGAACAATGTCATGTTTGAGGGTATCCTTCTCAAGCCTAGCATGGTCACGCCTGGTGCTGAATGCAAGGACAAGGCCACCCCTCAGCAAGTTGCTGACTACACCCTCAAGCTCCTCCACAGGAGAATCCCCCCAGCTGTCCCCGGAATCATGGTACATTTCTGTACAAACATTGTGATCTCAAAATTGTTTGTATAAAGTAGCAAAATCCAGTACTAATCGATTGAACCATTTCTGTTGAGCAGTTCTTGTCTGGTGGGCAATCTGAGGTTGAAGCAACCCTTAACTTGAACGCAATGAACCAATCTCCCCACCCATGGCACGTCTCATTCTCTTATGCCAGAGCTCTCCAGAACACTTGCTTGAAGACATGGGGAGGCAGACCCGAGAATGTTAAGGCGGCTCATGAGGTACTTCTTGTACGTGCCAAGGCCAACTCATTCGCTCAGCTTGGCAAATACACTGGTGAGGGAGAATCAGAGGAGGCCAAGAAAGGAATGTTTGTCAAGGGCTACGTATACTAAGATGCCTTAAAAAAGCTACAGATGGGATGATGAAGAATTGAAGAAGATGGAGATATCTGGATATCGTTTCTCTCCCAATCTGTTTATGCTTTGTAGCCCTGGAGACTATTTTTGTTCTTGATTACAATGTACTTTTAGCCACTTAATAAACTTGTTGCTGATGATTAGTTGGTGTGTACTTATGTATGCATTATCACATACTAAAATGCTAGAATTTCCTTTTTGTGCTCGAAAATTTGGGTAAACTCTGATTAATTTCTGAATTATCATTTCTCATCCTGCGTGATGATGTTCAAAACTATTTGGTATAGTTTACATATTCACTGCAATTTGCAATTTTTATTGCAGGCTCTGTCATTTAAAGCATCTGGTAATAAAATCATGCCATGGGAGGGTATTCTTCGAACTGCCCACTTCTGTTGTCTTAAAAATTAGTACCGTTAGAATATGCTTAATGAGTTGAATTGAAGATGTTGAAATTACACTTTGCTTCTCAAAATATTCGTCTAACTTCTATGGATTCCAACACATGAGAAGAAACTTGAGGAAGAAAGTAGCGGCTGGTAGGATTTTATTGGATACTATCATTGCTAGTAATCACCATTTTCAGCTGTTGGTGCGAAACTTTAGCTCAGATCGTTTATGCAACTATCATTAAGAATAGATAGACCACCAAAATGACTTAGGTATCTATGTAATTTAATTCCCTATATAACAGTCTGCCACTGCTTGTTCTGCTTTTCATCCCCAAGATCCCAGCCTAAAGAAATTCACGAGAAGCAAATATGGGGAATTTAGACCATTTTCCTATTGATTATTCCTATTTTTTTCACTTAAAAGTTTGATCTCAACTTGTCTTTCTAATCACCTGCAACAATGTTGAAGGAATTTTAATTGCAACGACGTTCACGAGGGATCCTTGGCATTGGAACAAAATATAAATGTCACAAACTTCACTACTCTGGTTAGGCAAGAACATTGATTTTGGTACATGGTAAAAGTTAATCTTCAACAGTTCTCATTTTTTGTGCGAGGAATGAAATAGACAAAGCCTAAAGCATGGGGAAGGAAGACATATCTGACAACGACCACAAGCCCGGTAAATACACAGATGTGAGAACTCATCCAGCAAAATCTGCAGCCAAAAAGTGATGTACAACATAATTTGATAAGAAAACTAATTTCAAAGAATTCAATCATCCATGCAGTAGAAAGAAGGGTTATTTGGAGGGCAACTATATATATGTTTTAATTTTATTCTAAACAAAACAAGAACCTCTATCATAGACTAATGCCCTAAGAAAATGAGCTACTAAACATGGTAGTTGTGTAATTTAATAAGAAAATTCTCAAACATGATAGCAACAAAACTTGAGATGTAAAACTGTACTAATGGATGGAAGCTTAGTGATAGAAAGGTACATCCCAACCAACAAATTTGTAAGAAAAAAATATCTGTAACCATGGAAAGTTCATCAAGAACAAATAAACTATCAACTGCAGCGAAAAATATTAATGTTTCGTCAGTAAAGTTTTGTCCTTGCCACTGATAAATAACAGTAGTATAATTTTTGTATTCCTCTGTCACAATCAGATTACTTTGTTTTACTCATATGCCTAAAATAAGAGAGCAAAGACAGGTAGGCAAGGAGAAACCAACATGCTACTATCATTTGTGTTCAAAAGTTATTTAGCTGTCTTATCATGCATGAAGGTTACTTGCATCAGACACCATCTCTCTTGAGGATATTAGCTCAACTTGCGCCCAGGACAGAAGCCTAGAGATTCTTACTCGTGATTATAGAAGTTAGGAACTGCTCAATGGGTCAAGCACTATGCTGAAAAACCTGACAAGTCTTTTTCAAAACGCCACCTAAACACAAATGTCAACTCTACCACCCTGGGGAAAAAGGAAATTTCTTTGTTTCTGTTGCTTACAGGGAATGCCAGGTTACATGGACTTCTCTGCATACAGTTCCAACTTTCTGTCATTTTATTTCAATTTTAGTAACCCGTATCATGTTTCAGTTACAGCATCAGCGGGAAAGGACTAATTTTATATCCTGGTGATGAAGTGGCACTTGCTCATAAATACAACTTCACCTTTACGAAATTATACAAGATCTCCAGACAAGGACAAAAGCAAAGAAAGACATATTTCTAAAATATTAATATAAGGTGATTCTACAATAATTTATGATGATACCGGCAATAAAACCCATCACAAGATAACCAAGCCAAAACCTCCCACGAGGAAAGCTAAGATAGAATCTAGAGGTCAAGTCAAACATATGGCACTATGAACAAGACACAATTTCAAAGATCCAGTTCAAGATTTACACCGTAGCGAATAGGATATACATGCAGAGAAAGATGAGACCAAAAAAATATATCCTCATCCATGTCTTCCAATCAGCAACCCAGAAGCAGCAATAATTTCATGCTAACTTCATCAGAATCATCAACAGTGAAGGAAATTTTCTTTTCTTAGTTCATAGTTCACATTAGTTGACAATTTCTAAGTCATTCAGAACAAATCCCATCCCGAAGCGACAAACAAAATAATCCACCTAATATGACGAGAAAATGTAACCACAAGAAATGTCTTGCGTTAGAGACACATTCTGTGTGCAAAAGGCTTTGTCATGTGAGAGGAAGCCAACCTGCTTGAGCTATTCTATTAATTATTGCAACTATATTAATTTTAGATCACATACATTCACATATGTAACGAGCATATATAATAAAAGTATCAAGAAATGCCCAGAAAACAGAAAACCCTCAGAACCAAATGTTAGCAATGCTCTTAAACAAGTGAACAATATAAGTCAGGGATAATAGTTATACCTAGCTCATTTTTTCGGTCCATCTTTTGAAGGATCCCACAGGGACCACACTCGCAGAGTCATGATTATTGCCACTTGAATCATCCATGGCTTGCTCCTTAAACATGAAGCAGTCACCACATTAATTAGGTTTTAAAAAAAATCCAACTACACTGCTTAACATTCAAGGTTAAGAACAAAAAAGCTAGTAAAAATGGACAGAAATTTGGAAAAACCTATACCTGATTGGTTGAAGCTTGCCCATGCATCCGTCGGGGCTTGGCATTTAGATCAATCAATTTATTACCCACCTTTCCATCCCCATCAGCATTACCATCAAGCACTGGAACAGGAGAGAGTCTATGATTTTTCTGGTTCTCTCTCGCTACAAGCTTAGGTTGCTGATTCTGATCCTTCCTTACTTCATTTGGATGAAGCGGTCGCAATCCCAGTTCCTCCAGAGGACCAGGCTTATCCCCTGGAAACTAAAACAGATAGGAAGAATTTTAGCAGGTTTTCTAAATATAAAAAGGTAAAATCCTGTCTCCTAAAGAGTCACAAACCTCAACTCTCTGTCTCAACAAGAGATATCTCCCATGGGTCCTTTTACCGCCAACATGTACAATCATATCACATTGCAGGCAAAGGGAACTGCCATCTACTTCACAGTAAAAGAAACCTACATACAGAATCAACAAATGAACAAAATGAGAAAAAAAAAAAAAGATTTCACAATAATTATACTATTAAAAAAGAAAAAAAATCATACCAGGTGCATTTTCACATATATCACAGCGTGGGACATCGCTGGGGTCAGCTAACCCAACTCTCACATGTCTATTTGCAAGCTTGTTACACATGTGAACCTGAAAACTCCCAAATCTCGATAAAGTTTCCTTATTAATTGTCTCAGATTTTGCCCTTTTTAACACCTTCTAATCTAATTACTACCAAATTTTTTTTAAAAAAAATCTTGAGATGATTTCACTAATTTCAATTCCAAAGCTCAACTTCGATTCTGAGAGCACATTAAAAGAGTATATTTCTAGGAATATTCAAAGTCAAGATCAAGACTTCCAGTAAATCAAACTGTGCGTACATCAAGTATACGTTTAAGCATAAGTAGACGTGTCTAAATACGCAGAGATTAAAATGAAGAGACCTTTTCGTCGCAGGAACGGCAAAGAGTGGCCTCGTCGGCGGCGCAGAAAATGATCGCGGCGGCCTTTTCGCAAACGTCGCAAAGCATTCGCATTCTAGTTTATCTATTGGCTTGACCGTTTACTCCCTTCTTCGCTTCGACTGCATTCTTTCACATAGCGAAAACCTGATCAAGATCTCCAAAACAGGAATTCAACGATTCAGCAAATGACTATTCATACAAATTCAACGAGAGAGGATGAAAAGGATTTTGTTAAAAGGAGAAGCTGAAACAGAGAAACAAGACTCTTTTGTTTCATGTCTCGGAGAAACTGCGAGAAAGAAATTGCCAAGAAAAAAACACAACGCTGACTCGCAGCAGTATGTAAATCCCCGTACTCGCTTCTTTCTATTTTTTAACTCAAAATATGTAGATTAGATTTAGATCCATCACTTCGTTTTTTCTATTTATGGAAAATATTAATAATTCATAAATTTATATTATATTTTATATAAAAATTATATGTTATAATTTATGTTAATATAAAAATTTTAAAAATAATTTTTTATTAAATTTATTTATAATTTTTTAAAAATTTTAAATCATATTATTTTAAATTTTTATTATTTTATATAAATAAATATATTTAGAAAATCCTCCGCTATCGTGTGGAAACGTGTCAGCACAAGAAGGCGAGTACAGAGTTGTTTAATTACGGCAAGCGGTAAATCTGCGAGTGCTGAGCTGTTGACGCCATGATCTGTTAAATATTTTTCTGCTGGTGACCTTAAGAATAACAATAACCGACGCGCTTATTGAGGATGTGGAAGGTACGATGATGGCCGGTAGCATGGCCCACAGCACTCCTGGTTGGTGGGTTCCACTCGCCTTACCGGCAGTCAGCTTTTCGAAGCTAGCTGTATTCTATGTTTAAGGTTTGGTGAGTAGCCATTTGATTACCATACAAGGATCCTTTTCTCTTTTAATTATCCTTTTTTTTTTTTTCAGGAATTTGGATTGTCTTATTAAAAAAATATTTCCTTTTTATTTATTTTACACCACTAAACCCCAAGGTTAGTTCTTTCATCTGCTGTAAATTGACAGCGAAACTAAATAAGTGAAAATTTATATTTAATTCATTATTCGTATATAAATTTTATATTTTATTAATAAATTTAATCAAATTAATGAGTAAATTGAAAAAGATTAATTTTTATATATTTATTTATTAATAAAATATTATTAAATAATTTATTGATAATATTTAAAATTTATATACTAATAATATATTATTTATAAACTCATAAACAATTTTTCATTGTTGTCCGGTACAAGAAGTTTTATTTTTTTAATCATATTAAAAATAATAAAAAATTATATACGGAATAAAATGTTTGGTGTGTAAATCGAAATTACACATTAATTAAGTAAATTATTAAAAAAAAGGTATTAAAAAAAATTGAAAGAAAACAAAGGGAGAAAGGGGTTGATGAATTGAAAGAGCCAACTGTGGTGCGCCCACTTCCATCTGGCGACTGGTTATGAAGGTGGGAAGGCAAAGGAACAATGAAAGCTCCCCTGAAACAATTTTGATCCACCAGTCTCGTATCCTGCATTGACCCACCCTACATTTTCAAGGCCATCGCTTTTTCCCTCGTTTCCGTTCTCGGACGGCTCCAGAAATTTTTTTTTTTAATATTTACTTATAATATATACAAATTTATTAATTTTATTAATACAAAGAATATTAATGAGAAATTTTAAGGTGTTTAGTGAAAATTTTTTATTCTTTAAAGTATCTATTAAAAAAATTTTCTTTTTTAATTTTTTAATTTTGAAATGATCATAAACGCCATAACTCATAAGTAATTGCATTTTACTTCAGACAACCTAATGGGGCAGTGGTCATATTGGGCGGGCTACAACAGGTTCTTTCTTTTTTGGAGAATTGGGCCATGTAATTGGATCAGCCGAATTAGGGCTGAATAATTAATTAGTGGATTAACTTTTAGTTTCCTCGACAATTTTTCATTGGGATTTTCAAGAGTGGCCAATTGGATAAAAATAAAAATAAAATTAAAAATCGTATATAAATTTGATAAAAAAGTTTTTATATTTAATATATTGATATAAATTATGAAATAATAATTTTATTTTTTTTACGTATTTAACACAAAATAAATATAATATAAATATATAACATATTAAATATAAATTTTGGATGTATTTTAATTACCATTTTCAATATTGATGAACCATTAATTTGACTAGATAGATGAACAAATATTATAAATTAAATTCAATTATAGCCTACAAATAGGCTTTTGAACATTCCAGATTTTATAAATTCAGCACGCTCGAGCAAATATTAAAACTTAAGAAATTTTATTTTATTTTAATTTAATGGAAATTATCAATTAAATCCTTTTATTTAAACGTTAAACGCTGCGTTGAAAGATGCCAAACGCTGTCGTCTCAGTATCAATCGGCCCGTATCTACAGTTAATATAAAATGCTGCCCATTGCCGCAACCTGAAAGGCAGAAACAGAGTGGGAAGAGTGACAGAGGAATCTAGAGTTTACAGAAAACAACAGCAACTAAAATGAGCGGAGCCTCGACGGCAGCGTATTTAGCTCGAAGAGCAGCGCAAAAAGAGAGAGTTCGGATCCTCTACCGCCGTGCCCTCAAAGACACCCTCAACTGGGCCGTCCATCGCCACCTCTTCTATCAAGATGTAGTTCCTCAATTTTCAATCTCCCAAGATCTCATCTTTTCACACTTATTTCTTTTTAAACTAATTCAATCTTTATTTTTAGGCCTCTGACCTTCGCGAGAAATTTGAAGCCCACAAGCATGTGGTTCGTCTTTCCCATTTCCCATTTTCACATTTTCTTGTCGTCTATTGTTAATTAATAAAATTTATTAATAAACTTGAATGAATATTTGTTTAGTCTTAGATTTTTCATTTTACTGTACTGTGAAGTAATTTCATTTTTTGGGGGATTTCATTTTTTTTTTCCTTAAATGATGATAATTTGAGCTCATTGACATCCTGCATTGCACCTGTTAAGGACTCATGTAAATGGTGATTATCGTGGTCGAACCGTTTGAATTGTGATCGTTTAGCTTTGTGGTTTTGCACCTGTATCTTTGGTGATTTTGCATTATACAATTTGGTGGGTTTTTGCAGGAAGATCTTGACACAATTGACAAAATGATAGCTGAAGGTGAAGCAACTTATAATAAGTGGCGGCATCCTGACCCATATATTGGTAAGTGCTGTAATAGCTTGTTAGTGGTTTAATAAGAGAGTTTTGGCTTGAATTAATGGGATATGAAAAACTTTTTTCCACTGATGCGTAGACTTGTCTCGAAGAGACAGGTATATTATAGAAGGGGAGAGTTGAATGGACTGGATGTTGAATGTTTATGTCATCTCAATAAGTCTTGTGCTAGGAATTTGTAAATGTATTTTTAGATTCATATGTTCTTTTGAACTTTCATTTGAAACAATTGAGAGGAAAATAGCTCAAATTTTGAACATGGGATGAGTTCTTGTCCATAACTAATTAACTATTAGTTAGGACTTCAACTTCTTAGATGGTTGCTTGATGTTACCAATGAGCTTTAATTGATTGGGAGAAACAAGATACATGAGAGCCAAGGATTGCAGATGTTGGTGAAGAGAAATGCTACCAAACTATAACTATGTCACTTCGCTCTCATTGCTTAGTGGCATATCTTTTCCACTTACATTCTTGTGTTTGGTTTCCAATAGTTGGTTATTACAGATTAGGTCTTGGTCTTGTTATGTCATGTGACTGATTGACTGTGAATATAGGTAGGGTTATTATGAGGTGCATATTTTCCAGTTTTAAACCTATTATGCTGTTTGAAGCTCACATGTTTTGTCCATTTGCAGTTCCTTGGGCTCCTGGTGGTTCCAAGTTTACTCGAAACCCTGTCCCACCATCTGGGGTAATTGTTATGATTCATTTCTTGCTAATCAGTCTGCTATTTCTTTCATTTTACATGTTACCTTTCTTATCCATCATTCTTGTTTTATATATGCATTCCTATTTTCTGAATTATTCACGTGTCTAAACCTTTGTAAGTGTAAGTGGCCCCTTTCTTGCATTTAGAGTAGACATGCACTCTAGGTTGTTCATATTTCTTCCTCTATATTGATCATAGCATTTGAAAAATCGTATTTTCAGCAAACAATTTGAGATTTATCCTTGCACATTCCATGCCGTCCTCCCATTGCCCTCCTCTATGGTTATCCAGTGTTCACAATGATTTCATTATCCTGCAGATTAGAAGAAGAAAACTAGCTAGAGAAGTCTTTTTCTTGTCTTGTATTGCTACTTTATAGCGGATTGTTAGGTTCTTTCTTCCCACTATTTTTATAGTTATTTCTTCCTTTAAGCAGGTTTTATCATTTTCTTGATCAACTGTCAAAATTTTATCTATATTGCTAGAGAAAGGTGGGGTGAAAGGAAGGGGGGAAGTCATCATGTCCCATAATGGGGTTGCAACCTCCCAATATATGTAGTGCAGTGTTGTTTTATATTGTTGCTTACATAGATGACCTAGATCTTTTTGGTGCTGTCAGCCACTATTACTAAATTTCTGACTAGCTTTATTGCTTTTCATCCGGTTCTGATTTTTCATTCTTGATGCAGATTGAGATTGTGTATGATTATGGTCGAGAAAACAATGATTAAAACATGCATCTTTTTTATCCCAACAAATAAAGGTTAGCCAGCCATATACATTTAGATTTACATTATTCACTGTATAATTTCCTTAACAAAGTTTTGGTTTGTCCCAAATAACTGGCTCCTGGTTGGTGGCACTTTTCTTTAAAGTTTAGTTGAAAAAATCTCTTGGATTCATATTGCAAATATGTTTCTATGTTAAGAGAGGAGCTTCTCCACTTGTACAGCTGGGTGTAACTATGAAAATGTGAACTAAGTTTGAAAATAAATTTTTTTTTGCATAGATAGGGTGATTAGTGTGTTGAAAGTAGTAAAAATTATTTTTGATTTGAATTCGACAGAGTTTTTATGATACACTTTCCCAAAATTATTCGAGCTTATGTATGAAGTGATCAATGTGTTTTTTGTCACCAAATCAATTTTATGGGATGATATTTTACATGTTTGTCTGTTCCCAATTTTGAATGATGTTTGCATTAAGGTGCCACTCCTCTCCCCAACCATCCTCTTTGATGAGAAAATCCCATGCTGAATCACATAGGCAGTGAATAAAAGAGTCTCTCCCCTTGCTCTTCCCATTTGGTTATTTCTTTAATGTTGAACTTTTAATTTTCAGTTGATGCAGGTCTTGAGGATCCTTGAGTATAACGAGGATAAAGGGCAACAGCTACTTTATATTCATTCAAGTGAGATGAGATAACATGAAGCTTTAATAACATTCATGTTGATGCTCCTTTGTATTTACTGCTGTGTGTCTGGATTTTTTTGTATTAAGATCATTGCTCAGATTGAAGGTACCAAATGCTTGTGTACATGGCATACAAACTATTTTTCTCTAAATTTCATGTCTTTCTGGCTACTGGGGGTAGTTGGCCTTTGTGCCATTGGAGACATTTGGATCAGTGCCCTTTACATGTTAGTGTCAGGTATGGGGATGCAGCGGCTGCAGCCTATGAGCTTTAGGGAAAAACTAAATTTAAAGACATCGCCCCTGTATGGAATTAGCATTAAGAAAGGTGTGGACAAAATGTCCCTGTACGCCATAACACAAACAATAAACAAATATTTTCTCGACTTAAAGACTATAAAAATGTTTTGCCAGAGATGGGATGTAACAAAAATGTGATTGCAAAATTTGCAATTTGGTGGATCATACGCTACTCTGACACAGGAAAAGTACCAATCTTTCAGCAAAGGGTGGATGCGTAGGGGAAAGGAAAAATCACAACTCTTAACATGACAAATCTCGGGTTGGAGCTATTCTGATCATCACCATTAAGATTCATAGTGAAAAGTATATTTTTGTCAAACCGTTGCAACAGGCGTTAACCAACAAAAACTATGGAAAACGGCCCTGAATTCGACATACATTGGTAATTTTCCTGGAATGCTTAGAAAAAAAAAAAAAAAGTGCTCCCATTGCAAAGTTTTATGTCATTGTAAACTCCGTTTTATATTTCTCTTTGTTTTCTCTTGCGATGGACGACGACAAATTGAGGACGAGGATGAAGAAGATGAAACGCAGGCATGCAACAATTACACCTGCATTCTTGCGTATAACTGGCTCTGTGGTTACGATGGTATTGCTTTTATGGACCATTTCCTGCGGATTTCATTTGACAATGAAACCTTGGCGGTACACTGCCGTTGCTGCCAGGGCTTTCCATGTCGGAGTCACCACAATGGTCTTCGGATTTTTGTTTCTCATCGTGGGACTTTCCATTCTGGCAGACATGGTTTTGAATATATCAGAACTGTTGCTGGAGCTATCTGTCATTCGTCGAGGTAATAACAAGGGTGCTTATCTGTTTCAATTTTTTTTTTTCGCTTCAATGTCTTTACACCTAGAGCATGCTAGGCAGTCTGGTGGTATAAAGAGAGAAAATTGGAGGAAATTTGCTGGGGATTGGATATTCATCGCCAAAAGTTTCAAGGTGAAATCAGGCTGAGGGTAGTTAGACATGGAAGATGAGAGCCTGGTCTGTAATTTGATAGATAAATCAAATTCAAAGTACCCCTCCCAATGCCAAAGCAATAGGAATCTGTTTTAATTGCTTAATTGCAAACTTTCTTTCTCTCCCATGAAACAGGGCAGGGGACAAGGAAAATCTCCAAAGCTACTGCCAAAGCCCTGGTAACTATAATCACAATGTTCATGATCTTGTGGGCCATGTATACCGGATTTAGGCTTGCAACTGAATCAGGGGAGAGCAAGCATTATCTCCTGACAGTTTCAATTGGAGTCACCACGATCTTCTTTGGCTTAATTTATTTCATCATTGGAGTTGCCATTGGTCTGGAGCTTGTGCTGGAATTTTGGACCCGAACACAATAGAAAGAGAAAAACAAAGAAACCGGCTTTCATCATGGTTCTAATGCAGATGTTTAAGTGTTTTCCTTGACATTCCTTGTCCCGCATTGTTACCATACTGATATCAAAGGAGAGTTCAGCCCTGGAACTTGAGCTCTCATGCAAAAGCTTGTTCCCTCTGACTTGACACTGGCCTCATCCACGTTGGAGCTAACAGGCAAAAAGGTTGAAACATAACAAAGCAAGGAAATGATTGCTTTCAGCACATGGATTGTCAACATACAAATGATCTCTCATCTCTTCTTCTATTTTACATTCAGCAGGTGCTCTTAATCCTGTCAGACAAATAACATCTGTATCCATGTAGATTTTACCTGTATAGCAATATTCAGAAATCACATTCTATCCAAGATCCGGATACAACAAAAACTTAACTTTAAAGTGCAAGGCCATGCTTTATGTCAACATTGTCTGATGCTCCTCAAATTAAACCAACTAAACCCTTCAAATATACGAGGGACAAATGCATCGGATTCATATCCTTTTTCCATGCCAACATCCATATCAGATTTCCAATAATAAGCCATAACCTTGTTCATCCTAAGGCCATAAAAAGATAAACTTTGAAATTTCTAATACATAACAACAGTCTAAAGAAACAGAAATCCCTGTCTAAAACTTAAACCCCATAAAAATAAAATAATTCATCAAAAAGCCAAAAAATTGTACAAATTCTGCTCATAATCATAAAGAAAAGGGAATTTTTCTTTAGTAGAGCTTGAAGGAGAGAGGCCAAGGGGTGGACCTGGGAACCTAGACCTTGTCCTTGATACGCTCTATCATCTTCTCCTTCTTGGGTCTGGCGTTCCCATACGATCCTTTGAATCTCTTCCCTTTCTTTGTCTTTTTTTCACCCCTGCCGCACAGGATCGGGGCTCCCGCCGCGACTCCACTCAGAGAAGCGGATGTTAGAGGAGGCTGCTGCGTCATCATCACTCTCCTTGCTGCTGCGCTGCACCACTGCCTCATCGCCATTTCCTTCTAACCTTTCTGCTCACAATCTCTCACTACCATACCAGGGATGGAGGCTGAGAAGCAGACGATAGAAGCCTGAAATCATTTATTCGTTAATTGAGCTTCATGTTCTTTTGATTTGATCAAATGGACTCCTTTTGAACCAAGCCTACGTCTGAATATCTTTCATTCCGGCCCAAAAATTTTAGGAATTGGAGATTTGATCTGGGCCAATTAAATTCAAGCAACATTTCACTATTTTTTTTGGGATAATACCCCATTTCCCTAAGCTGTTAAACTTTTTTCTAATATGGTATATAATAAAAAAATTTTCTAATCAAATACCTACATTATATTTCCCTGTATCAAATTGTTTTAAATCTTAATATCTTTAAAATAATTCTAATATGACATTTAAATATCCACGTGGATGTGATTATCATGTGATTTAAATATGATTATCATATGTAATTTTTAAAAAATAAATAAAAATTAAAATATAATTTTTTTAAAAAAAATTTATTTTTTTTTATTCTTTACAAATAACACATACGAATCATATCATTATTACATGATAGTCACATGTCATTCACGTTAACATTTAAGTATTATATCAATATTATTTTACTGATAGTAAAAAATTAAGATAACTCAATACACAAAATTAAAGTTTAGGTATTTAATTAAAAAAAATTTTAATTTAGACACCAAATTAAAAAAATTACAATAGTTAAGACTCAAATATGGTTTTTTTTTTCCCTTAATGATCATTTTCCCCGGCTGAGATCACTTAAAACAAACGCTTGAAAAGAAGTGTCTGTCTGGTTTGGCTTAGTCCAGAGTTCAGAACCCACACTTGGAAACGAGTGATGGAGATGGGGTTAAGTTTGGTGTGGCTCCCAACTAAACACGACCCCTTTTTTTTTTAACTCTTCAACGTACAAAATCCATTGTCTTCGTTTCAGGCATTAAGCTAACAGCCAAACTGTAACAGGGAGAGTTTCATTGTAAAAGAAAACCCATGAAAATGGAGGTCTTTCGCAGTCCCACTTCTCTTTCATATTCGATTTAATTAGGTTCCTTGGAGATTTTGTTGACTCTTTCAAGGTTCTTGCAGGCAAATTAGATGGCTGTGTCAGTGACAGAAGCTACTGGTTTCATAGGTAAAAGATTGGTGCAAAGATTGCATGCAGGTAAACCATAATTATAATTGAAGACTTCTTTCTATATATTAATTTTTTTCAGGTTTTTTTTTGCCACAACTTAACTTTAATATAATTGAAATGCAGACAATCATAATCATAATGTTCATGCCTTGACACGCTCTAAATCGAAAGTAGAGTTAATATTTCCTGGTAAGAAGGTAATGAGTACTTTTGGTTTTGTTCTACATTGCTTTCTACTTGGAGAAGTTAATAAAAATTTTATTGGCAGAAAAGTGTGAACCTTTGAGAGGTTGAAACCAACATACATACATACATACATACATACATACATGGAGATGTAAATATGCACAGACTTAAAATATATCCATAGACATTGTTATATTTTAAGATGGGCATACAACCTTAAATCAATAAGCAATAGGTGGAGTGATTCTTGTTATATTTATATGCCCAAAATATCTCAATCTAATTGATGTGAGATTTATTTTATTTCCATTTAATACTCCCCTCAAGTGGCATTGATCTTAGGTTGGTTATTCATCTTAAAATTTAATATAATATCAGAGTAAACAGTATCTTGTTCATTGATCCCTTCATGATACATGTGTTATTCCTACGAAGCAAAGTTGATGTTGATGCCGTACGATAGGTTTTTTATGCCTAAATGTGATGTTCATGCCACATGATAGGTTCGTTATTCCTATATGTGTTGAATTAGGGGTAATTTAGGCATATAAATATAACAAGTATCTCTCCACCTATTGCAAATTGGTGTTAAAATTTAACAGACATGCATGTAATTACATGTGGTGCAAGGATTGCATGGAAGGATCAAATGTTGCTGTAAATTTGGCTAGAATGTCTACAAGCACAAGATGGTCTCCCGAGGAAAGCCCATAATCACTTGGAGGACATAGTGGACCTATTATATGAAGCTTTGTCTAATCTAATCTTCTATGTCTCGATTTACTTAAAATTTTTGTAATTTCCCAAAACCAAATCTGGGTGAATAAATCATTGATGTAGGAGCAAAACTGAATTGAAATTGACTTGGTGCTTTGTGTATCTAGCCTATCTCTTTTCGTCATATCCTGCTATTAGCCTACTAAAAAAAAGTGATCAACTAGATCTTCATTCTTGTTCTGTTCTCCCTCTTGTTTTCCATTTAAGAGTGTATTTATCATGCTCATTCACTTTTCTGTTATATTATTATTATGAGAATACGTGGTTCATCCTCCAGATTTGCTTACCTAAATTCAGGAGTTATAAACGGTACTGCACCAAACCCTGTTAGGTTGGAAGAGATGTGTGATCATTTGGGAAATTTCATGGGCCGACCATCATGGCTTCCTTGTGCCAGACTTTGTCCTCAAAGCCAGTAATAGGGGAATCTGCTACAGAGGTAGGGCGTTTTCTGCAACTACATCCATCCAAAACACATACAACCAATTGGGCTTATGTTGTTCGAGGTTCTGGAGGGGCAAAGGGTGCTCCCTGCAAAAGCCAAGGAGTTGGGTTTCCCATTTAAGATTCCTTATTATGTTAAGAATGCACTTAAATCCATTATTTCGTACAGACTACAAGATATATGACTGTCTTATTCAACAATCACACATCTGCTGCCGGAGGTTCAGGTGTAGTTAAGTCGTTTGATAATACAACATCCCAAATGAATATATAATTCTGTTGCTTTCCTTTATCGAGAAAGGCCCAGTAAACATAACAAATGTGGATTAATCAACCCTTTAATGAGTACTTTCTCCCTGTAAATGGCTGGAACTTCGGATCTTCCTTCTTTTGAGACTGATCCGGTTTAGCCTCTTTTACAGATTCCTCCAAAATCAAAGAAATAACCATCTTATATCTTCATTCTTTTCATAGAAACGAATAACATAGGAAAGGTAAATGGTAAGCAATTTGAAAAAGAGAATACAAAATTGCTGTGTACCTGTTTTGCTCCTTAGGACGGTTGACATTTGATCCAAATACAAGCTTGCCCTGAGCCTGGCGTGCAGTACTTTGTGAACTAGATCCCGAAGGTTGGCTATTATTACCATTGGAAACAACAGGTCCCTTGTCTTTGGAACCAGATGAAGAAACTGGTGTGGGCTGCTGCTTCAGAGGTTTCCCATCCAAGCGTCTTCCTGTACCAGTAAAGGTGCTGAACTTTGGTTCAGCCTCAGCTGGAGCTTCTTCAACTGAAGGAACAAAGATGGTTTTCCTTAGAACAGAACAAAAGCCATCACTAAGATTTATCATGAACTTGAGTGCACTAGCCTACACAGATGTATAATGGATGTCTTTCTAGATGTCTCACTAGTCAACAGAGATTCATAAATTCCCATGAATTAGAATTAAGTAGAGTACAACAAGACAAGAAAAATATCCCAACCAAGTATAGTTGTAGAAACATTTAACTTACTTAAAATTGTACCCAAAAGAAAATCCCTAAAAAATGAAAAAGAAAAACCAGAACTGGTATTAAGATAACCCAGTAAAATCATGAAAGATGAGTTAAGAGCAAGATAAACCATTCCAGGATCTATAGCAAAATATTAGCTTTTCACCTTGAGACGGTGCCTTGCTTGACGAAGTGGGTACAGCAGGCCTTTCTGGCTCCTTGTAATCCAGGGGAGGAGCAAAATCCACCTCACAGTCTGTCTCAATGATACTTATTGCATTGGATGGCTTTGTCTCTATGATATCTATGCAATACTTCTTATTGTTATATGCCACCATAATACTGTCCCCAGTGGTTAAACAGGAATAATTCCTTAGTGTTGTCTCTAAGCTGCATAATTCAAGTGAGATTAAAGATGAAAATGTCTAAATCTACTTGGAGTGCAACAGGCACAGTAAGAAGAAAAAATCCATAATAGCTACAAAATATGATGCAAAACAAAAACACATTCAAGGAGCTTTGTTCCTCACAAGTCCAGGCCAAATACAGAAACTCATTTGGCTTACATGAAGCAAAATTACACAAAATTGTCAACATATATGATACAATATATGAATTGATAGAACATGCGTCTCAATTTAAAAAATTCCATTTTCAGCTGAACATCAAACATTAAAGAATCAAGCATACATATATTCACAAATAATCCACTCACATAGCTTTTGGGTTTGAAATATCCAAAAAGTCCTTTGTGTGGGGATGCAATTTAACATGGGTCCCCTTCGGCAGAGTTACATTTTTCACCCTCACAATATCTCCCTCTTGTAGGAGCAAATTCTCCATCATCTACAGGAAAACCATTAAAAACAATGGGGCATCAATCAGATAAGTAGAAGATTTCTTAGATCTCAATAGACCTAAAGCGATGCCACAATACTACTAATGCGAAGCATATACAAACCGAAAGATGCATTGCCTACCAATATGGCATATAGATCATGCCTTCTTCTGCAATAAACTCTAGCACTCCACAATGAGAGACACGCTCAGCAGCATCATTCCAAAGCTCAAATAACATTGGATAATCAATATGAACAGATGCTGCATAACTTTAGTCACGCATTAGCATTCTGGATTATAAGATCATGACACAGGAGGAACCAAGATTATTTACACAAGTTAAATTAATGCCACAATTAAAACAACTAACCTAAGCAATCAAGGGCCGATGGAGGCATTATAACTGAAACACGATGAAAAAATAAATAGTAGGCAAGTTGCACAGAAAAAGGAACATATTAGAATAACTACATGTCTGAAAACTTACTTTTATCACCACTTTCAATTCGTGGCTGCAGCAAACAAGCAAAAGAAGCATAGGATCACAATCATTAGAAAAAAAAAAGTAAAAAAATTTGCAGGATTAGAGATCATATACCTTGTAAAGAACAAATCAAGTATGATAAGTTTTCCAAACCAATGACAGATTGAAGCATATCAGCAATCTGAAGCAAGACAAGATAAGATAACATTCTACTTGTCGGACCTTTTCAATGAAAGATGCAGGGTAACATAGATAACTCTGCT